TTGAATAGATATTTCATCTTTCACCTCCTCTCTCTACTATCTTTGAAGCTTTCTCAAGGCTCATGTCTTCTTGCCAGCCAAGCCAGTTTTGGGGTTTATCGTCTCTTCATGGTCACCTCCTCTTAAAAGGGTTTATTTGAAGAAAACTCTTTCTACCCCCAGTCAGCTTTGATGGAGGGACCCAGGAGCTCCTGACCTCTTGAAGACACAAGCATTACCTCAGGATTGCTATTTGGTCATCTGTGCTCAGGGAATGGGACATGAGTATAGGATGCAGCCAATGAGTCCAAGGACCAGCCTCAGGCCCCACTTAGGCAGCATATAACCTACGTATGACCAACTGCCATTGGATGGGAGCGGAGACGGGGGAAGAACTCCTTGCATCCCTCCTGGAAGACCCAGAGAGTTCAACATCACATGTTCTGGAAAGGGGAAGAAGAAAGTGAGAGCAGAAGTGTCAAGACATTTGTTTGGAAGCTGAGTCAGGAGTTCTTGCTGGCTCAGTCCAGTAAAGGGTTTGCTTTGTGGTCTCAAAGAATCAAGTCCTTTAGCACTGAGCTAGAATATACATGGCTCAATAGTAGGGCACACGGGAAGCTCAGGTCAGCTCCACAAATGTTCTATAGGTTTTGCTGCAGGAATTTTATGATTACCCACTGTTATAGTTATAGGTGTAAGGTATTGCTGTTTCACATGGAGCAGTTTGGTGATGAAAGGGACAGAAAGAATACTTTTGCATAAAGGAAAAGAATTAAATTCAACTGATAAAGGGCATAAAATCCTACCTTTTTCATATGCCTGAAAGAAGAAAGAAAAAAACCTTTGGTTTATTACTTTTTTAAGGCAACAAAGATTTATTCGGAGCCTGTTGTGTAGTTGTGTAAGGACTTGCAGATATGAACGAAGGCAAAAAAAAAAAAATAGATAATAGTCCTGGAGTCCATCCAGCTTAGCTTGCTTTTATAGGCCATGAGGACAGTGGCTCCTCAATCAGCTCCTGATGTCCCTTCACCTTAGATTGGGGACTCCCCTGATCTAACCCCCTAATTTTTTTTTTTTTTTAGGCAATTGGGGTTAAGTGACTTGCCCAGGGTCACACAGCTAGTAAGTGTCAAGTGTTTGGTCAGAGGCCAGATTTGAATTCAGGTCCTCCTGACTTCAGTGCCGGTGCTCTATCCACTGAGTCACCTAGCTTCCCTCCCCCCCAATATTCTTCCCACATGTAAAGTCTTGCTGTGTTACTAAATCTGTGTGTGTGTGTGTTTGTGTGTGTGTGTGTGTGAAGAAACACACTTGTCAGATAAGATTTGAGCAGTTTGGTTAAGAAAGTGAACTATTTTGCAAATATAAAATTTGAAATCAATTTATAAAAGACATAGGGTGATACTTCATTTATATGTTAAGTCTGATGGTTTAAAGTAGTGGTGTCAATCTCAGATAGAAACAGAGACCCTTAAACTGTCATAAGGCTCCCTGCACACTGCAGCACTGCTTGTCTCACACCTTTGGCTTAAAAGTTCAGAGAAAGAGGCAACTAGGGAATAAAGCACTCAGCCTAGAGGCAAGACCACCTGGGTTCAGATGTGGCCTGTGACACTTATTAGCTGTGTCACTCTGGATGAGTCACTTAATTTCTGTCTGCCTCAATTTCCTCAAATGTCAAAATGGGGATAATAATAGCACCTACCTTCCAGGTTTGCCATAAGGATCAAATGAGATAATATTTGTAAAACACTTAGCACAGTGCCCAGCACTTAATAGATGTTTAATGCAATTTTCCCCCCTTTCCTATTAAAAACTAATAATGAGTATTAAAAAAAAAACATTTTAAGGACCGTTTTGAGAACGAATTAATGGCGAGAGCTGCAGGTCATTATGGTTCATTAGTTCATTTGCAGGTGAAACTCCAAAAAATGAAAAAAATCATGTAATTTATTTGGAAGGTGAGAGATTATTTAATGAGGACTGTTGATTTGATAGGGGAAATTTGTTGTGTTGGTAGTTGTAGGAGGCTCTGATTTAAGCCACTGAAAGTATTGGGACTGAGACAGAGTTTTGTCAGGAAAAACCTGGTGGAAGAAAAAGACTCAGTAATGGATAAAAAAAAACAACAGGAAATTGGTTGCACATTTGCTGAAGAAAACAGCAGCTGGAGCAGTGGGCTGGCCATAAGGCTACTCATTCCTGATTGGGTGAAAAAGACTGGAGTTCTAGCCATTGCCCTTCAGCGCCACTTAGAGTATAAGAGAGGTGAAGCCTTTTGGAAATCCCTCTTGTTCTTTCTGACTTGAGATGGAAAAACTGAAAAGAGAAAGAGGTTGTATTTGCAGCTGTTTCATTGTATAGGAAGAGATGCTGGGGTAGAATTGGATGATGTAGAATCCCGGTGAGAGGAAAGCTGGTTAGGTGTGCTAGCCTTGCTAGATGAGCCAATCGAGGTGCTGGGCTGTAAGCTGCTAAAATCTGATTGTGGTAGTTGTCTGTGCTTTCGTTCATAGGTCCAGCCTTTCTCTTCTGTTGATGGAAGTGCTTAGAATATGAACTGATGCAGAGTGAATTGAACAGGACCAAGAGAACATTGTACACAGTAACAGCAACATTGTAACGATGATCAACTGTGGAAGTCTTAGCTACTCACATTAAGACAATGATCCAGGACAATTCCAAAGGACCCGTGATGAAAAATGTCATCCACCCCCAGAGAGAGAACTAACTAGTGAACTCTGAATGCAGATTGAAACAGCTTTTTTACTTTCTTTACTCTTATTGTTTTATTTTGTTTGTGTTTTCTTTTGCAACATAGCTAATGTGGAAATATCTTTTGCATGATTTCACATATATAATTGATATCAAATTGCTTGCCTTCCCAAGAAGGGGGAGAGGCAGGAGGAAGGGAGAGAATTTGGAAATCAAAAATTTTTTAAATGATTGTTAAAATCTTTTACATGTAATTAGGAAATATTTAACAAGATAATTTTTTTTAAAGTGAGCTATTTCAATGAAATATTTTTAAAAAAGAAATATTTAATAAAATAATTTTTTTAAAGTCCTTAGAAATATAACTTTCCCCCCTCACAGCTGCTTTGGCTGCATCCCAGAAGTTTATGTTGTCTTTCTAATTGTTGCCCAACAACTAGATGACAAAAATGTGTCATGGACTTGGAGTTAGGAAGATCTGAGCTCAAATCCTACCTCACGTGCTTCTAAGCTGTGTGACCCAAAAACCACACCAGCTAGGTGGTGCTGCACTGGATAGACTGCCAGGCCTAGAGTAAGGAAGACCTGGGTTCAGATCCAGCCTCAGACACTTACTTGCTGTATGACTTAGAGCAAGTTACTTAACTCTGCCTCAGTTTCCTCCTCTGTAAAATGAACTGGAGAAGGAAATGGCAAGCCACTCCAGTATCTTTGCCGAGAAAACCCCTAATGGGGTCATAAAGAGTCGGACACAACTGAAATGATTGAACAATAACAAGACCGTAGGTGTCCTGGATAGATAGCTGGACTTGGAGTCAGAAAGGAATGAGTTTGAATCCTGCCTCAACAGCTGTATGACCCCAGGGCAGTCTCTTAATCTCTCTCAGCCTCAGTTTCCTTATCTGTAAAATAAGAATAAGAATTAATAATAAATAAATACATCATAATAAATGCAACTACCTTGCAAGGTGATTGTGAAGATAAAAAAAATAGCATGTATGAAGTGCTGTGCAGATCTCATTGTTGTCATTTTCTCTGATGTCAATTGTTTCTATGATTTGTTCTCACCAATTCTTTTGGGTTAAATTAGTCTCTCTTGAAGTTCTAGACTTGTTAGAAACAATTTTTGCTCAAAGTGCCAAGCGAAAGTGCTAACAAATGAATGGAGAGATATTTACAAAACTACTAACTACTCAGATGAACAGAACAGGACATAGAGAGTGTAAATAGCTGAATCTCAGGAAAGGGAATTGGCAGGAGGGCCTTGTGAGCAGTGCACCCCTCCCCCAGCCTCCACCAGTTTCTGCTTGACTTTTGACCCAACGCTGAAGGAATCCTGCTTATTTTTCCTTGTCCTTGAGCTTTCTGGCCCTTTTTCAGATATTTGCTAGGGTTTATGTGGAGAACTGGAGGCTTTTTCCTTGACCTTTCATGACCTTTCTTTAACTTAAGTCAACCACAGTCTTTATGGGGAAAAAAAAAAGCAAAACACAAAACTTTTCCTATTTTTTGATAAGTAATTTCACCACGGGAACTACAATCTAATCTCTAACCACTCTGGACCTCAGTTTTCTTATCAATAAAATGAAAATAATTCCTACAGTACCTATCTCACAGATTTATTGTGAGGATTAGGCAAGTTATAAAGTGATAAATAAGTTTTCAAGGAAAAAACCACTTATCTGACACAAATATTCTTAGCAGCCTTATTATAATAGTGAAAATCTGGAAATAACGGATGTTTGTTCATTGGGGAATGGAACAAATTGTGCTGTATGAATGCAATGTGGTATTATCACGTCGTAGAAATGACAACTATGAAGATACAAAGAGATTTGGAAAGATGATTTTGAAGTGAAGAAGAACAAAGATTTATCGAATCTGAGCAAAAAGGCCCGCACTAATTACGACTGTGTGGTAGCAATAAAACGTGGAAAGTAATATAGAAAAGTAGTGTGGAAAGATGTAGAAATAGGTAGGGTGTTGAAATTAATGTGCTTGAAAAAACTAAACCTCAAATAACAGAAGTTTATGATTTTAAGTGTGATTGGTTTTTTAAATTCTTGTTTGTGTATTTTGTTGCTGGTTGCTAAGTTTGCCATTTTAAGAAAATAAATGCTTTGGGCAATAAGGGTGTGTATAAAACATTCACATATCTCACACACACACACACACACACACACACACACACACACACACATTCAACTTGGGCGGTCACTGTGGGGGAGGTTTTTTCCTTCTGCTACTTAGAGCCAACACAATCTGCAAATAATGTAAAACTCCATTTTTCCTTCCCTCCCCAGAACACTGTGTTAAAGAATGGTACTGAGGTCTTTGACGCTTGGGAAAACCCGCCTCCTCCAATATATATGCAGTTCTATTTCTTCAATGTCACCAATCCAGATGAAATCCTCCAAGGCGAAAACCCTCATGTAGAGCAAGTGGGACCATACACCTATAGGTGAGTCTTAAATCACCCCCTGCTTTGCTGAGCCAAGAAAGGCCCCAATATGGTAGCCTTCCAGTTACAACTGCACCTGTAGGATTTATTAGTTTGAATTGACTTTGTACTGGGTCCTAAAGATATTCGTACCCACTGGACTATCCATACCAACTCCCTACCTCATTAGCTGCATCCTGGACTCCCCACATGTATCCTAGACTTCAGACATAGGTATACTTCGGACATCTATCTTGTCAAACAAGACATTGATTGGTGGCAGACTGGACACCCCTCAGACTGCCTAGACTGCTAGTTCACTTAGTGAAGTAGCAAATCTAAAACCACACCTCCCTGGGGCCTAAAACATCTGCATGGTAGATACAAGAAGTGTGGTCCTTTAAGAACTGACCACTCCTTAACCACTCCCTAATCCCACCCACATCACCTAATTAGCCTATTTGGCACATGTTTTATTATAGTTTATCCTATATAAACTTTAACTGTACCCTTCTAAGGTTGCAGGTTCCTTAGGAACTTTTACCTGCTGAATAGTGTAAAAAATAAACCTTTGTCAACTTGACTTAAAGAAGCTTGAGTCCGTGAATTCATTCCAGATGACCCTCTCCTTTACTTTGGACCTTGGGGGGTCCCCGAACCCCTCAAACAACTAGAGACAGGTACCTGTTACTGATGGGGACCAGCTCAACCTGCTGTATGTGTTCATTGTGCCTGTCCTGAATCCTGCTGTAGTTCAATCAACCACTAAGCATTTATTAAGCACCTACTATGTGCCAAGCACTATGCTAAGTAAAGTAGATGAAAAGAAAAAAATTAACTAGTCCCTGCCTTCAAGGAGCTAATGTCCCATAGTGGGAAATAATGTATATACATATCAGAAGCAGCTAAGTAGCACACTGAACCTGGAGTCAGGAAGACCTGAGTTCAAATCCAACTTTAGACGCTTATTTTTTTTTAATTTTAATAGTATTTATTTTTTTTCCAGTTGTCTATAAAGACAATTTTTAGCATTAATTTTTACAGATTTTGAGTTTCAAATGTTCCCCCTCCTCTCCTGCCCTTTCCCTCTTCCTTAGACACTAATAGTTGAGTGACCCTGGACAGGTTACTTTAACGCTCTGTCTGCTTCAGTTACATTGTTTATAAAATAAGGGTAATAATAGCATCAATGTCCCAGAGTTGTTGAGAGAATAAAATGAGGTAACATTTGCAAAATGCTTTGCAAACCTTAACATATTATCCAAATGTCTATTTGAAGCCCTATTCTTTTTACTGTCACTGTCATACATAAACACAAATGTATGCAATGTAAGCACAGGCTAATTTCAGGCAGTGTAGGAAGCATTGGCAGCTGGAGGGATCAGGAAGGGCTTCAGGGAGGAGGCGAAGCCTGAGCTGAGCTTTGAAAGAAGCTACGAATTCAGAAAGGCAGGAGAAGGGAGTGGGTACATTCCAGGCAGAGGAGCCAGCCTGTACAAAAGCATCGCTGTTGCTTGTCCTTCGTTCTCCAAGAGGATCAAGGATTTCAGGAGGTGACGTCTTGACTCGCAAGTGAATTGGATTCAAGTGAGGTAGGGCTGTGCAAAGTCATCAGCCCCACTCTGGAGCCATTCGGAGAAGATGGAAAGATGGAACCGTGGGATGGCGTGAGTGGAGAACAGTACATAGGCCAGTTTGACAGCAACACCATGTGTGAAGGGGAAGGCTAGAATGTCATAAAGAGAAGGAGGCTGGAGCTAGGTTGTAAAGGGCTCTTTACCAAATGGAAAGGCAACAGGGAGTCACTGGAGCTTTTTTAGAAGTGGGGTGACATTTTTAGACCCTTGCTCAAGGATTATTTATTTTGGCAGCTGTGAAGAGGCTGGTCTGGAGAAAAGAAACACTTGAGGTTGGGAAATCAATTAGGAGAAAAGAGATGTGGCCCTGAACTCGGGCCCTCTGAATGGAGGGAAGAGATGTTGTGAACCTGGGATGAATAAGACTGGACGCTGATTGGTTAGATGTAGTGTGTGAGGACCAGGGAAGAGCAGAACATGACAGAAGTTGTGCCAGCGGGTGACTGGAAGGATGGTAGAATCCTTGAGAACATTCAGAAAGTTAGAGAGACAGGTAGATTTGTGGACAAGACAACGGATTCCATCTGGACGAGTTGGGTGGGTTAACATACAGGATTGAGCCATAGTCTCAATGTTTAAAAATGCCGCTGTCTCAATCTCAGTTGTAAAAATAGAAAACCAAACTGTTTTTGCTGAGAATTGATCACCCTATCTCACCTAGATTGGAAGTACAGAGGATACTCATGGGCCCATTCCCAGTGCTGATCGGCACAGAAGCTTTAGCCAGCTTTGTTTTTCTAATCTGGGCCAATTCGCTTCTCCTTAGGCACCCCAGTAGCCCTACACTCCCAGGGGCTCACCATGTTGGTAGCAGACCTGCCCAATTGGCTTTGTAGATGGAACACAATCCTTTGCTTTGCGTTTGGAATATGAGAGTTTTTGTGACCAATCACCAATCCAGAGGGCGCTTCTCTGTATAGCAAGACTTAAGGACAGGGACAGATAAATTTCAAGGAAAGATCCATGGTAAAGAGGTTATGCAGTAGTTAGCAGCTGTGATGACTGTGATGGTCGGTGGCCTAGCTGGTGGTGGAAGGGATGGGTGCAGAAGACCTGGGGGAGTCTTTAGGGGGAGTTTCAATCAGACTTAGAACTTTCCACATCTGTGTTTAGTTATAGAGTGGATCTGGCTCTCCTTCCCTAGGAATAGAAAGTGCTTTTTAGGGTTTGAATTGGTAAAGAAATAGAGACAATTTTGGTTTTTAATGCCTCGTCGACCAATGGCTCTATGAAACTCTTCCTGGTTTATAATTTGGGATCACTGACTGTGCCAGTAATTGTAGAATGAGGCCTTGGGTAAAAGAGGAAGTGATTCAGGCTACTCTCACTGGACACAAATGGATGAAAGTCAGTGAAACAACCGACAGGAAGAAGACTAAGCCAGATTATAGAGACTTGGGAGATGTCGACTGAGTGGACCAGTCATCAACCTGAGTCTCATCATAGTATTTTCCCAAAATTCCATATAACAGTCAGACACCCTAGCATGGGAGCCCCGTCATAATAAACAGTAAGTATTTGTTGAATAATAACTATGCCTAATAATAATAACAGGCATTTGTATAGAGTACTTTAAAGTTTACAAAGCACTTTTATGTAGTATTTCATTTGATGTTCACAACTACCCTGTGAGGTGGGTGCTATTCATATCTCCATTTTACATATGAAGAAATGGAGGCAGGCAGAAGTTGAGTGATTGCCCAGGTTCACACAGCTATCAGTGCCCGAGGTAGGGTTTGAACTCAGTCAGAATGTTATTGTTTTGGGTCAAAGGCCAATACATTCTATAGGACTACAAAACTTAGCTTGAGGAATTTATTGGATCATCATTGTTTGTTTTCTGTGATAGCTGGGTGTTCAGTTTTTCTTTTGGGAAAGGTTAAAGGTAAAATGGCTTACCTGTGAGGCAAGGCTCGTATGTGTGGCAGGGAGTCTGGTTTGTTTGCTTTTCAATGAGATCACGTTGGCCTTGAGAAGTGAGTTTATTCCTTTTACCAGTGCTTGGTACAGTTCTTAGCACATAGTAAGCCCTTAATGAATGTTTACTGACTGACTGCTCAATAGACATGGACAATTTGCACACATGTACAATAACAAATCATTTTTCCGAGCATTTCTTTTGAATGAGTTTTCTAGATAATTTGTAATCCCCTTAACTTCAAAACTTTGACAGTCTTTAACTCTGTAGGATGGAGAGCTTTCTCTAAAGGACATTTGGTCACTGAGTTGCTTAGAATAGCCATTCAGCCTCTTCTTTGCCCTCTTAAATAAAAGTTTTCCTGAATATAACTGGATGGCTCACCATCATCCCATTATACAGCGACTCCTTTGGGCCTTGTTGAATATAAAGACCGAGGCTATTTGCTGGGACGGGCAGTGGTTTTTTTAATTCTTGTAGGAGTAAGACATTTCCATAGATGCTCAGCTACCTCCCTTACTGTCGCTGTGCCCGTGACTAGCGGAAAACCCTCCGCTGAGTCTGTCGTTAGGGGCCATAAGCTCTTGTTAGCGGTGCTCTCGGAAAACAGGATCTCAAGGTTTTTAGAGATGAGTGTAAAATTAGGACTTGAAGATTCCCTTCTGAGTGAAGTTTATGACATTGGTATGATCTGTTTTACCCACTCAGACTTTTTTTTTTGGTGGTGGTGTAGTAGATGGAACATTAGACTTTGAACAGTGCAGTCAGAAACAACTGAGTTCATTCCAACCTCAGACACTTACTAGCTATATGACTCTGGGCAAGTCACTTAACCTGTTTGCATCAGTTTCTTCGTGTGTAAAATGGGGATAATAATAGTATCTTCCTCACAGAGTTCTTATGAGGATCACATGCGATAATAATTGTAAAGCACTTAGCACAGTGCCTGGTGCGTAGTCCGTATTATTATTATTATTATTATTATTATTAGCATTATCATTACTACTGCTGCTGTTGCTGCTACTACTACTATTACTACTTGTTTGACCTAGGGCAAACCCATCTGTTTTAGTTTCCTTATCTTTAAAGTGAAGAATTATCTTCACCTACCTACCTCCTCCGCAGTAGTTATAAGGATCAAATGAAATAAGAAATGTAAAGTACTTGTAATCTTACGCATTCCACAATTGCTAACTCTTACCATTTCCCTTACTCGTTAGTCTGAGCTCAGCTCTATTCTGGAGGGCAGCTGAGGGGGCGGGATCAGTGAGGCAGTCTATATGGACACTAATCAAAAAGTCAATCAACATTTACTGAGTGCTTCCTATTTGCCAGACACTGTGCTAAGCCCACTGGAGAAGGAAATATCAAACCATTCCAGTATCTTTGCCAAGAAAACCCTGTGGATGTTGTGGTCCACGGAGTCAGGAAGAGTCCAACACAACTCAACAACAATGTACTAAAGAAAGACAAGAAAATGGGGCAGCTAGGTAGTGCAGTGGATAGAGCCAGTGAGGACCTGAGTTCAAATCCAGCCTCAGACACATGATACTCACTAGCTGCGTGGCCCTGGGCAAGTCACTTAACCCCGATTGCCTCGCCAGAAAGAAAAAGAAAAAAGAAAAAACAAAGAAAGACAAGAAAAGTTCCTTTCCTTTAGGAGCTTGGAGTTGAATGGGAGATGAAACATGCAACCAACAATATTCATACAAGAGAAGTAGAGGATGAATTGAACATAATCTCAGAGGGAAGGCATTAGCATCAAGGGGGATTGAGAAAGGCTTCTTGCAGAAAGTGGGGGTTTAGCTGAGAAATGAGGGAAGCAGGAGGTGGAAATGAGACTTGCTCCTCTAGCTGAACCAAAATGAAGACCTTTGGCCTGTATATAAATGTCACGCAATCCTAAGGTCAGCTGGGATGCTATGATCTAATCAACTCATTGAGTTGACTAGAGATGAGTGTTCCAGGCATGGAGGGTAGATGGCCAGAAAACACGCACAGAGTTGGAGAATTGAGTGTTTTGTTTGAGTAACAGCAAGTCAATGGATCATGGAGTATGTAGAGGAGAGTAAAATGTAAGAAGGCTGGAAAGGTACAAAGGGGCAAGGCTATGAAGGGCTTTAAAAGCCAAAGAGAAGATTTTCTGTTTGATCCCAGAGGTCATAGGGAGTCACTGGAGTTTTTGGAATAGGGGAGTGACACGGTCAGAGTCGGCTTTAGGAAGATCACTTTGATGGCTGACTCTGAGATGGACAGGGGTAGGGAAGGACTTGAAAAAGAGACCAACCAGCAGGATACTGTAATAACCTAGGAGTGAGGAGATGAGGGCTTGCACTAGGGTGGTGGCAGTATCAGAGGAGAGAGGGGGACATATATGAGAGGTATTATACAAAGGTATAAATAATGGATAGGACTTGACAACAGAGAGAGTGTGATAACTAGGTTGTGAGCTGTGCAAATGGGGGTATGGTGACGCCTTCAACAGTAAATCAGGAAGATAGGAAGGTTTGGGGGGAAAGAATAAGTTTCGATTTGGACATGTGGAATTTAAGATGTCATGCAGTTCATGATGTCCAAGGAGCAGTTGAAGATGTGAGACTGGAGGTCAGGAGAGGTTAAGGTACGTCAATATATCTGAGAATCATCTGCATAGAGATAGTTACTGAATTCATGGGAGCTGCTGATATCACCAAGTGAAATAGTATAGAGGAGGAAGAGAAGGGAAGGGAGCCAAGACAAAGCCTTGGGGGACACTTGTGGTCAGCAGGCGTGACCAGGAGGAAGAGTCAGTAAGAGAGATTAAGAAGGAGCCATCTGGTCAGATAGGTGTGAGGAGACCCAGAAGAGAGTGGTGTTGGGAAAACCTAGAGAAGAGAGAGAGGAGAATAGGGTGATCAACAGTGTCAGAGGCAGCTGAGAGGTCAAGAAGGATGAGGGCTAAGACAAGCCATTAAATTAGGCAGTTAAGAGATCATAAGTAACCCTTTTCAGTGGCATGATGAGGCAGGCAGCCAGACTACAAAGGGTTAAGAGAGTGAGAGGAGGAGTAGTCACTATTTGTAGATGACTCTCAAGGAGATTGACCATGAAAGAAAGGAGGGATATAGAACAAGAGCTAATGGGGAGAAGCAGCTAGCTGGCACAGCCCTCAGTTCAAGTCTGGTCTCAGTCATTTATTAGCTGTGTCACCCTGGGCAAGTCACTTAACCCTGATTTGCCTCCAAAAAATCCCACCAAAAACAAAAAAACAGCTAACAGAGTTGGGTGGACCAAGTGAGTCTTCTCTGAAGAAGGGGGAGACATGAGCATGTTTGTAGGCATCAGGAAAATAGCCAGTAGATAGAGATTGAAGATTCTTGAAAGACTAGGGATAGATGGAGGGAGCGATCTGCTGGAGTCGATGGGATGGAATGGCATCACTTGGACTGGTAGAGGAGTTTACCTTGGCAAAGGGAAGAGCCACCCTCCGGGAGATGGAGGTGAAGGAGGAGATAAGGAGGGGAAACATCTGGCGATGTGAGATGAGGACAAAGGGCTAAAGGGAAATCATTGAACTTTAGAGCCAAGAAGAACCTTAGAAATCATTCAATCTAGCTCTCTCATTCTATGGGTGAGGAAACTGACATGGTCACCATTTTGTGAAAGCTTTTACCAACTTGTGAGGCTGGTAGTCATGTGACTTTGACGAACTCAGGATCAGGGGATGTGGATATTTAAATCCTAGCACTGCCATGGGCAGTGTGTGTGACCATGGGCAAGTCAATTAACCTCTCTGGGCCTCAGTTTTCTCATCTGTAAAATGAGAAGGTTGGAAGAAGTTATCTCCAAGGTCCCTTGCATCTCTATATCTGTCATCCTGTGATCCTAGTGACTTTGTTTTTCTGAGTCTCTGTTTTCTAATCTGTAAAAATGAGTTGACTAGATCATAGGATCCCAGCTGACCTTAGGATTGTGTGACATTTGTATACAGACCAAAGGTCTTCATTTTGGTTCAGCTAGAGGAACAAGCTACGTGTCTCCTGAGTGTCATTTGATTGTGACAAAGACAGTTGCTTAGGGTAGCCAGCCTCACGCCCAGACTGTCACGAGGGTTTAAGTAGATGGTTGGATGTGAAACCTTGGCATTGCCTTTTTTAGAGCACATTGATTTCTCAACCACTTGTAGGAGAACTTGGAAAACTGACAGTGATTAGAAGCCTGTGCGATTACATTCAGAATTTTAAAATTCCAGTTCTTGAAGTACAAACTTGGAAAAAAAATGAATGTTAAAAGTCAACTCAGAGTACATCAGTTAAGTAAAAAAAAAATGGCATCCAACCATAAAATAGGATAGGGATTTTCCAGAAGTAATAAAGTGTAGGGGCAGCTAGGTGGTGCAGTGGATAGAGCACCGGCCCTGAAGTCAGGAGGACCTGAGTTCAAATCCGACCTCAGACCAAACACTTGACCTGTACTAGCTGTGTGACCTTGGGCAAGTCACTTAACCCCGATTGCCTCACCAAAAACAAAACAAAACAAAACAAAACAGAAGTAATAAAGTGAAATTCTCTCAGATCACCAGGAGACCAATGACTTAGATGTCTGCTTTTGATGTTTATTGCCTATGAGACCACAGGCAGGTCTTTTAACCCTTCAGCCTCAGTTTCCTTAGGTGTAAAATGAGGATGTTGGACAGGGTAGCCAGGTCCTTCTGATGCAATACTTGCCCATTTCTATGATGCCCTGAGGATCATGGGAGTGGGAAGGGGAAAAGAAGGAAGTGCTAAAAATTGCAGTCCTTTGGAGAGGGATCTGACCGTCATCTTATTTTCTTTTGTCGTTCTAGCTTTCATCTGTAGTTTTCATCTCACGTATAACACCCAACCCCTGACATTTTCTATTAAGTCAAGAAAATCAGCTTTCATACCAATGAAGGGAAAACTTTTACTTGTGAAAGTGGCATCTATTGTTAGACAAAACTTCAAAAAAAATTTTTTTCCCCCTGTACTCTAGGGAGTACCGACCTAGAGAGAATATTCACTTTTGGGATAATGGAACAAAAATATCTGCAACCAACCCCAAGAGCTACATCTTTCAACGGGACCTATCTGTTGGAGACCCTGAAGTTGACTTGATCAGGACTTTAAATATTCCTGTCATAGTAAGTAGATTTAATGTTGTGATTGAAGCAGTTGGCGGGTGGTACAGTGGGCAAGTGTTATGGACTGAGAGTCAGGAAGACCTGAGTTCAGATCTCACCTCAGATAATTATTAGCCTAGGCACCACACTTCACCTTTCTCAACCTCAATTTCTTCATCTATAAAATAAGAATGATAATAGTAGCACCTTCTTTCCAGGGTTGCTGTGAGAATCAAATGAGATAATATATGTATAACACATTGTAAACTTTAAAGAGCTATATATTATTAAATTATAATGATGTATTAATTATTACATGTATATATGTACATGTATAATCTAGCATTGTGTTATACAATAGTTACGTTATTATACATAATAATTATGTATAACATAGCCATTATAATAACCATTATTATATTATTGTATAGTTATTATTACAATATTTGCATTAGGAGAATGGCAACTTTGGACTTTAAAACATTCTTACTAGTCTTAATAGTATCCTAGAATTATCAGTTGTCTCTTTTTTGCTTCCTTTAGAAAATTTAAACACCAAATAGAATGGACGTGTGTGTGTGTGTGTATGACAGAAAAAGAGGATTTTATGTGAAACTATAGGTCTCCAGTCATGTTTAGCTTATTTTTCTTTCTAAAGTTCTCACGGTCTTTAAATTCTATTAAAATTTGAGGTTGGAGATTTTGGTTCTGCTTTCTCTTATGAGGAGGTCAGGATTAGCATTTGTGCTAAGAAATCAACTTATAACCGGATGTCCCAAAAGTTTTAGTGCAGTTTTAAACTATTAAAGTTTCTGACAGGGTACTCAGAAACTCTAACTGTTGAATTCCCATTTCATTTAATTTTTTGTTTGTTTGAAATTTAAGACTGCTAAGACATTACCAAATTCCCCAACTTTCCAAATAGACACCTCAATGCGTCTGAAAGAACCTTTTCCCCATTGTCTTATTTGATAGTGGCCAATGAGAGTTCTAATGAAACTACAAGTTGAAGTCAAATGACCCTTCCACTAGGGACTTCCTGGATAGGGCTGACTTTGAGCCTCTCTGCCCTGGTTCTCCTACGGGATCTTTCATCAGTGAGATCTTATTGATGTTTCCTACTTTGCCTTTAAGGAGCAGGTTTCCAGGCCCTTTCATACCTAAGTAGTGAGTTTTTATGAAAGTCCAACAGAAGCCGCCATAAATCAATGGTGGCATTGATATGGTTGATGCTTCGGCTGTTGTCTCTTCTCTGAATTTGTTTTTGCCTGTCAGACTGCTATGGAATGGACCAGAATCAGTTTGCTAAAAGAGATCCTGGAAGGACTGCTGAAGACATACCAGCAGAAACTGTTTGTGATCCACACTGTTCACGAACTCTTGTGGGGCTACAAGGACGAACTCTTCTCGCTCATTAGTATTTTCAAACCGGACGTCCCACAGTACTTTGGCTTATTCTATGGGGTAAGTGGATTTCTCTCTTAAGGAACTCTTTGTTACCGTGAGAAATGGTTTATCCCGTTCTGCAGGGCAGACTGAGGCTTTATTGTCCTAGAATAACCTAGCATAAATAAACGGCTTCTCTATTCTAGAGCCATCGTCACTTCTTAAGGACGGCCACCTGGGTGTCTGAACATTTCAAATAGTAGGTTAAAAATTCCATAGATCATTGAGTAGCAGAGGACCATACAGGGATGTGCTGGTAAATGTCTAACACTCTGGGAAAGACACTTTTAGGTTTAATCTGAAACATTGATATTTTCTCCATCACTATCTTAAGTCTAGGCAGTCAACAAAACCATAATTCAAGCCTGGATGTGTGAGTTTGCTGATTTCTAAAGTGTCAGTGCTCACACTGAAAATTTAACAATTGGCTCTTACAAACCATTTGAGCGTGCCCCTGCGAGATAACGGAAGAGGAAGAAAGGTAATGGAGAATGCTGCATCTACGTTTGACTTGATATGTCCTTTCAAATAGATTTAGCTTACAATGTGGGAATCAAGGGGTAGGAGAAGGTGTGGAAAGGAGCCTAAAGACTGAGTTACTTTTCTGCACTCACTTTTACCTGATGCTGGACTCATCATCTGCTCTAGTTTCATTATTTGGGGGATGGGAATAATGATACCCTAACTATCTCAGTGAGATCTGGTGAGAATTTTATGCTGCTACCAGTGACATTTTATTTTAAACAGTGTGATGAGGGAAATAAAATAACCCAGGCTAGCACCTTTCTCTCAATAAGCATCTGTTAGCTCCTTCCTAAGTACCTAGCACTGTTCCAGGTGCTATAGATACTGAGACAAACAACCATAGCAACAAAATGCCAGTTCCTGCCTCGAGGAATTTACATTTTTCCATTGTGTCCTTTCTGGTTTAAAAATATTTTTTTATAGAAATCTGTTTTTACATTACTTACATTTTCCCACATAGCCTTCCTCTATCTGCCTCCCAAGGAATCTTCCTTTAACTAAAAAAAAGAAAAGGAGAAAATGTTCAGCAAAATTAAGAAACACATTGAAAAATTTTGATATCATAATTATATGCAGTATTCCACATCTGTAGTCCCCCACCTCTGCAAAGAATGCAGAGGTACCTTCTCATGTCTCTCTTTTTGGAGCCAAACTTAGTCATTATAACTTCGCAGCATTCAGTCTTGACCATTTTTTGTTACTGTTCTTCTTCCCATTTCCATTGTTGTAGTTGTGTACGTCATTCTCCTGGTTCTGCTACCTTCACTCTGCATCGGTTTATACAAGTCTTCTATCATTCCTCACAGCTCACTAGTGTTCTTCACGCATCATAGCTCATTTAGTTATTCTCTAATCAATGGACAATTTCTTTGCTTCCAGTTCATTGCTACGACAAAAAGTATTGCTGTAAATATGTTGCAGCGTAAGAGGCTTTTCTTTTTATCCTTGACCTTGGGGTATATGCCCAGCAGCACAATGTTTGGTTCAAAGGGTATAGATATCTTAGTAATTTCTTATAATTGCTTCCAGAATGGTTGGACTGTTTCAGAAGGAGCTTATTTTCTGTTGGGAGCAATAACACATACATACAAAAATAAAATATAAAATACATATAAATTAATTTTGGAGGAAGGTCAGGGCACAAGTCTAATATGATGTTTGTTACTGGTTCTAAAAGGTACAATGTAAATGCAGGCCAGAGCAGAATAGGGATACTGGAGAGATGAGGCCGAAGTGGATGGAGATGAGGAAGTGAATCCATTAATGGTGTCCAGGGAAAAGAATTTTGGTCTAGGCAGCTTATAGTGATATCTACATCTATATCTATCTATATCTATATTTATATCTACGTGTGTATATATGTATGCATAACACACATGCACATACATATACATACACACTCACACACATTTATTTATTTATTTATTTGTGCTTCTGATAACTTAATTCCAAGAAACCCTCAGCTATGTTGCCCTAGGGGACTTTGTGGAGTCCAATATAGAGGACCACATGGGTCTGTGTAATTTTTTCAGGTCAAAAAGGATAACCTAATGGCATCTTTAAATAAAAATCTTTAGCGACGTCTCAGGGGTCCATTAAGCTACATACCTGGGGAGATAGGGATTGGGACTGTCCCTATGGTAGAGAACTCTCCACTGAGTGAACTTCCTCTACCAGTTTAGGTCAGTATCTTTTCTGAATCTATAGTTTTTGCTAGTTGCCTAGAGCGACTTGATCTGCCCAGGATGTGTCAGAGGAAGGACTTGAACTCAAGTGTTTCTGACTTCAAGCTATACTGTCTCACCACCTGGGAAGAATCAAGCCAGACAAATATTAATTGATGATGCATTGATGACAATAGATAATTAGGAGGTCTGTTATGGTAGAAGATCATATGCTCATACATAACTATTTGGTGGGGAGGGGCAATGTTTAGTCCTTTCCTAGAGGTAGCGAGGGGGTGCAGTGGATAGAATGCTGGGCTTGGAGTTAGGAAGCCCTGAGTTCAAATCCAGACATTTATTAATTTTGGCAATTCACTTAACCTGTTTGACTCAGTTTCTTCAACTGTAAAGTGAAGATAAGAACTCCCAGGGTTGTCATGAGGATCAAGTGAGACCACATTTATATAAAGCACTTTAGCATAATGCCCGACACGTAGTGAGTGCTTAATAAACGTTTGTTTCTTTCCTTCCTTCCTCTTTCAACTTATGTTCAAAATTCCTTTTTATTCTTTCCCACAGTGGCATCAAAATTAGGTCCTGAAAAGCAAAGACTTTAACTTTTGAGTGACCTTACATTTCTGCATCTTTTTTATTTCTAGAAAAATGGAACTAGTGATGGTGACTACCTTTTTCTAACTGGAGAAGATAGTTATCTTAATTTTACAAAGATCGTGGAGTGGAATGGGAGAAGGTAAAGTGGCTGACCGTGTTGTCCCACCAGTGGCTCTTTTGGTGTATTGCCCACAGTTTTCATTAATTTAAATAAGAACTAGATTGGTTAAGTATTGGACATTTTTTTTTTACTAAAAACTGCTGCAAAATAGGAAGTTTCTGAAGCTAGGTGTTTCACATATGTACAAATAACATGGAATTTTTAAAAAGCTTTTCAGATGTATTGTGACCAGACATGAATAAAGAAGCCTTTAAGAGTCTGGTCCCCACCACTTAGTTCTGACTCCTGCGGTTTATGGATGACTTTCACTTGTATTGCTTTCATGGTGGTGGCAGGTTGATATTTTTTTCAATACTACCTCACTTTGGAAATGAAACTCATTTGTGGCAAGATAGCACAGTAGATAGAGCATTGGACCTGGATTCAGGAAGATCCATGAGTTCAAAACTGGCTTCACACACTTCCTAGCTGTTTGATCCTGAGCAAGTCACTTAACCTCTTTGCCTCAGTTTCCTCTTCTGTAATGTGGGGATAATAATAGCACCCACCTCCCAGGGCTGTTGTGAGGATCAAATGAGATAATATTTGTAAAGCACTTTGCTAACATTAAAGTGCTCAGAGAAATGTTATTATCATTATCATTATTATTATAGTGAATGTAGTCAGAAGTGTGAATAGGCTCTTGTAATATTTATTCTTAATGAGTTATGCTTTAATATTTGTCATGAATGACTGCTATCACAGTGGAATATGATTTTAAATTTATTTTTACCTTAAAGACAGCTGTGTTTCTACCTTCTAGGTCTAATCTTTATGAAGGACTTTTGACATTACCCGGATTATTTTGGGGGGATCCAAGACTCTTCCCATAGGATTTTAGCATCAGAGTCATCCCTACTTTTATCACGTGGTCAAAAGGCCATTTTTATGTCTTAGTCATAATTGGGTACCACACGTAGCCTGCTTCCAGTTAAATTGTGGGAAATTCTTGCAAACTGAGTGGACTCAGAAGAGTTTAATTTATCTGATCATCCTTTGATCCTTCCCTCATCATTTCCTTTTCTTATTTTAATTACAGTTCACTTAACTGGTGGTCTTCAGAGAAATGCAACATGATTAATGGAACTGATGGGAATTCCTTTCATCCTTTAGTATCCAAAGAGGAAATCCTTTACATCTTTGCCTCCGATTTTTGCAGGTGAGAATATTAAAACTGTTCCTGGGGCTCAGCCTCACTAGAACTTTGAAGATGATTTTTTATTGAGCGTCATCAAGCGGTAAGAGCAGGTTAGATGCAATGTAAGTAATTGAATTGCTTCTGATCTATATCCATTATACTGGTAAATTATATGGAGCCCATGGACTAGATGCGCACCATTTTCTGTAATGCAGAATTTGTCCTCGGAGACTTCTCTAAATGCAACACGTGTCTGTCTAGCCAAATATAAGGAAGGGTTTGAAAGCTGTTACAATTGACTTATAAATTGTTAAGCAGTGGTCAGAAATAGGGAAAAGGAGAACTTTTGAGTTTTTATCCACACCTTATGTGAGAGGAAGGCCTAAAGCCAGCTCCTGGTTGATCCAGGTTGATTTTGGGACAAAATGAGATACTCAAAAGTCACTGAGTCATTAACAAAGGGAGGTGACTTTGCCCTAATACAGCAAGCTATGAAACAAGGATACAGTGGCATTTAGCGTCTTTAGAAGCTGACTTCTTTGCTGAGTGAAGTGAGCAGAACCAAGAGAACGTCGTACACAATAACAGCCACATTGTGTGATGACCAATATTGATAAACTTTAACCTTCCCAGCAATACAAGGATCTAAGACATCTCCAGAGGCCTTGTGATGGAAAATGCTATCCACATCCAAAGAAAGAACTATGAAAGTTGAATTGCTGTTTTTTTTTCTCTTCTGTTGAGTTTTGTTTCCTCTTTCTGATGGTTCCTCCAATTGGTTTTAATTTTTACTTACAACATCACTAATGTGAAAATATGTTTAATAGGAATGTAAATGTATAGCCTATATCAGATTGTACGCCATCTTGGGGAAGATGGTGGGGAGGAAGGGGGAGAAAAATTTTAAACTCAAATGCAAATGGAAGTGATTATTGATAATCAAAATAAATTAATTAAAAAAAGAAAAAAAGAAAAAAAAAGAAGCTGACTTCTTTTATTGTACAGTTATCCCTTCCATATCTCGGGGGTTAGGGACGCAGCGCCTCTGTGATCTGGAAAAAGACTTTTGTTTTGGCCCTCTCTTCATACCAGAGAAGAAGTCTGAATGATTATGGTATTAAAAGATAAAATATGTTGATATCATGCAAGACTGTACATATATTTTATGCATTTCTGAGTTTCTAAACTTTTTCTGTGTCATCTGCTGGCTTCTCATGTCATCTGCGGCTTCTGCAAAACTCCCCCAAAATTCCCATTTAATTTCTTATACTGACCTGAGATATATCGAAGACGTGGAAGGGATAACTGTAATATGGAAACGTGTCTGGTTAGCAAGATGGGATACGGTGACTTGAGTGATCTTCAGATGTCCACCATGTCAGAGAGGCCCAGATGCCATGTGGATGGGACCTTTTATGCTCTTCATTGAAACAAGAAGCTCTGTTAAGCAAGGCATGGTTTAGTCCAGGGGGCAGGGGAACGGGACCTGAGGCCTTCTAGGTCCTTGGGTGCGGCATTTCCACTGAGTCCAAGTTTTACAGAACAAATTCTTTTATTAAGGGTGATGATGATGATGATTATTGGATTCTGTCAGAGGGCTGCACTTGAGGACCTAGAGGGCCACATGTGGCCTCAAGGCCCAAGGGTGTGTTAGTCAGATCCCAGAGTCAGCTTTTTTGCCCTTTTAGGGAAAACTAATCTCTGTTGTGGGAAAACAGGGGAAACTCTGGTCCTATCAAACCTCATGTGAATTATTTCTACACTTATTAGTTATAAGAGGGTTTGTATAAAGATATAAACAATTATCTTTATTAACAATTGACAAATGTGTTCAATCCGTAATCAAGGGAAGACGTTTTTTATGCTCCCGGAGTGTAGGAATTCTGTCTTATTCCTCTTTGCTCCTTTCCCCCTGACTAACACAACGCCTTCCTTATACATAGTAGACACTTAATAGTTCCAAGTTAAATTAATAAATAAAAGGCATAATAATCAGGATTGTGGCATTGTTGTCAGCTGTTTTCAGGATGCTAAAGTAGTTACTCCAAGAGAATCGAGGGAGGAATAATCATATAAGACGTAGTCACAGAATCTTAGGTTTAGAGAATAAAAGGTCCTGAGGGGCCATCTTGTCAAATTCCCTCATTTTACAAATGAGGAAACTGAGGTCCAGGAAGTTAAGGGCCTCACCAGGGTCACCCGGGTAAAGTAAAACCCCTCATAACCTAGGCCCCTCCTTCTGCTTTTCCTGTCTTCTTATACCTTACTCTCTGCCATGCACTCATTGATCCAGTGACACTGGCCTTCTGGCTGTCCCACAAACAAGATACTCCATCTCTCCACCCCAGGCATTTTCTCTGGCTTTCTCCCATCCCCAGAATGCCCTCCCTCCTCATCTCTGCCTCCTGGCTTCCTCCAAGCCCAGCTAACATCCCGCCTTCTCCAGGAAGTTCCCAATCCCTCCTAATTCTAGTGCCTTCCTTCTGTTAATTATTCCCTGTTTATCCTGTATATAGCTGGTTGATGCCTATTAGTTGGTATGTTGTCTTCCCTGTTAGATTAGGAGCTCCATGAGCTCCGTGAGGGCCGGCACTATCTTTTGTCTTTGCCAAGCACAGGGCCTGGTACGCTGTAATAAATGTCTCGTGGTTGATTGATTGATGGATTGTTAAGTGGTAGAGTCATTTTTCTGCCTCCCTTGCTGGACTGTTTCTAAGGTGCTGCCTCTACCTCCCCACATTGGGAAGTGAAGGCTCTGGGCTGGTTTAGGGGAAGGGAATGAAAAGGAAAGAAAAGAGATTAGTGCAAGTGGAAGTAGGGTAATTAATGGAGAAGTAGAAGGAGGGTAATTAATAGGGAAGTAGGGAGTACAAGGAGGAGGAGAAAATCTTGGTGCTGGCAGAGTGATAAGTGTCCTTGAGGGACAAAAAAGGTAAAATTTAAGACATGATGGGACCTGAGAGTGGAGTAGAATAACCTGGTTGTGGTCAAGGAAAAATTATTGGGCTGCACTTAAGACTCACTGGGGAGACAAATAGAGCTCATCTGACGTTTTTAGGAAATGAGAAAGACAAAACCAGCATGTTGTAGTGAGGAGTGCCGGACTCAGGGGTCAGAGGACCTTAGTTTGGATACTGGTTCTATCATTGTTGGTGTGACCTTGGGCAAGTCACTTCTCTGTGGGTTTCCCCCCTTTTCCTCTGTGAATGATAGACACAAGATCACATCAGTAGGATCATAGATTAGAACATGAGCTCCTTAGGAGCAAGGACCGTCTCACTTTTCTGTTTGTAGCACCAGCACTTAGTGTATGTTGTTGTTGAGTCCTTTTTCATATCCAACTCCTCATGACCTTATTTGGGGTTTTCTTGGCAAAGATATTGGAGTGGTTTTCCGTTTTCTTTTCCAGCTCACTTTACAGATGAGGAAACTGAGACAAACAGGGTTAAGTGACTTGCCCAGGGTCACACAGCTAGTGTCTGGGGTTGGCTTTGAACTCAAGATGAGTCTTCCTGACTCCCGACCCAGCGCTCTATCCACCTGCCACCTAGCTGCCATTTAGCATACATTAATTGCTTAATAAATGCTTTATGCATTCATTCATTTAGAGCTGGAAGAGACCTTAGAGGTCACCCTGTTGAACCATCTCAGTTTACAGGTAAGGAAACTGAGGCAAATAGAGATTAAGTGACTTGCCCAGGGTCATACAGCTAGTATGTGTCTAAGGCAGGTTTCACACCCATGGCTTTTTGGCACTAAGTGCAGTGCTCCATTGACTGAAACCACATTGCCTCCATAATCTGCTACATTTGGAGCTTCTCTAGGTAGAATCTTAGTGTTGATCATGAAGCTCAAGACCTCTCCCAATGGATCATCCATGTCATGCTTGAACCCACCACCTTTGAAGCACTCAGTTCCATTTTGGGACAGTTGTAATCATTAGAAAGTGATTTCTTATACTGAGCTGACATTTCTGACTACAGCCTCTGCCCACTGAGCCTAGTTCTGCCCTTTGGAACTACATAGAATAAGTTTAATGTCTTTTTCAACTGTCATTTGTCAACCTTTCAAGTATTCTAAAGAATCACAAAATTTGAGAGTTGGATGGGACCTCAGTGATCATCTGGTCCAACCCCCAAATCCACAGCATTTCTGTCATCTACTAATTCATTAATCCAAAAAATGGAAAGTAGGTTAGTCTCACATGACCTGTGCTTGTTGAAATCAGGCTGGCTCTTTGTAATCGCTGCTTCCCTTTCTAGATATTCACTAGCCTTCTTTTTAATGAGTCATTCTAGAATTTTTCCATGGATCAGAGTAACTCATAGTTTATTATCTGTTCTCTCCCCCCCTCCCCTTTTTTAAAATTTAGGCTCCAATCCACATCTGCTAAGTTCTTTCAGGACTTAAGGATCTAGTTCATTTGGGCCAGGTGGCTTGAATTTATCCAGGGCATCTAGGTGCCGTCTTCCTATTTCCTTAATTATCTTGATTATCATTTCAGAGAGAGAGAGAGAGAGAGAGAGAGAGAGAGAGAGAGGGAGAGGGAGTGAGAGAGTGAGAGAGTGTATGGGATTCTTCCTGGTAGAGAAAACCTAAGCAAACTATGAATTGAGCCTTCTCTTCTGCTTTCTGTTGTCATTATCATTGTCCCGTCCACCCCAAGTAAAATCCCTGCTTCTTCTCCCCTCCCCATTTAGCTTAAACAGTCACTGTGTTTGTTTCCAGCTTTCCCTAACAGCCCCAGCTCATTCTTTGCTTTCCTTGCTCTGGTGGTAGGGGACTTTGCAATGCTCACATTCACCCTCAGCACCCTGACTTTGTTTTAATCTTCTGAACATTTCTTTTTTACAATCTAAGTTGCTTAATTAGTTTCCTGTGCATCCACATCGGTCTCTTCAGACAAATGCCTTTTTTTCCTTCTCCTTGGAATTGTTTCCCCTCATGTCTTTAGAATTTCATTCTTGAGCGTCTCCCATCCTTCCTGAAGCATTTTACTCCCTGAGCTCCTAACTATCTTTCCTCTGAACCTTTTGAAATCTGCTTTCCATATCTAGGCTGGGTGGAGGTGGCAAAGTCAACCTCTCCATGCAGATCTCCCCTAGGATGAAGGACAGAGGAAACCGTGCAGTGGCTTGCAGGCCCTAAGATGCCAACACTGTAGTTTGGCCGTGTTCTAATCTGGACGCTTTGCCTTGAACCCTGTGGTTCCAGCATTCATCGGTCAGTCTCATTGACTCTGTCTTTGTTTCTCTGCAGGTCAGTGTATCTAACATTCAGTGACATTGGAAATGTGGAAGGAATCCCTTCCCTTCGGTTTAGCTTACCACCTGAAATGTTTGCCAATAACTCTGATAACACCTGCTTCTGTATTCCGTCAGGAAACTGTTTGGGTTCAGGTGTCCTGAACGTCAGTGTATGTAAGAATGGTAAGTAAGCTTAAAGAGAGCTCTGGATCATGGGTGTCTGAAATGCAGAAGGTGTGGGAGATGGTTTTTGACCATGCTTCCTGGATCCTAAATCCCCACTCACCCATCCTACTGCCCTGTCCCTTAGAGGCTAAGATGGATTCAAACATACGCTGTTACCAAGTTTGCAGATCATCAGAGACATTCCTGCCTTTCTAACTTAGGGTCCTTTAGAGCAGTCAGACTCGACAGAAGTGGAATTATCCCAGCAGACCACTTGGAAAACCACAAATTGACATTATCTGTATTGTATTGTAGTTTTATTTATTTTGTTAAATTACATTTTCATCTGGTTGGGGCTGCACTCAGGAATTTTGTGGGCTGGCTGCTAGCTGTGAGTTTGACACCTGTGTTCTAGGACATTGCAAGACCTGGATTTGAATCTCACTCCAGACACTTGTTAGCTATGTGACCCTGGGCAGATACTTAAACTCCCTGAGCTTTGGTTTTCTCATCTTTAAAATAAGGCTAGCACCTATCCCACAAAGTTGTTGTGAGGATTGAATGAGATAATATATGTAAAGTCCTTTGTAAGTTTGAAAGTGATAGATATATATAAACTATGCTTTTCTTTTAAAAACTGTTGATATTTTTTGTTTTGTATTACTTTCATTTCTGAATCTATCCATTCCCCCTCCCCTATTCCACTATAACAAAGATTTTTTTAAAATGAAAAAATGGTAATTTGGCAAAACAGAGAGAGGGAGGGAAGGAAGGGAGGAGAAGTAGAAACAGACAGTGAAACAGAGTTAGGGACAGAAAGAGAGAGAGAGAGATGGAGACTGGGAAAGATGGAGAGAGAAAGACAGAGAGAATGTACACACCAAATAGAAATAATCAGAAATATTCTACTTAGCTTGACCATGATGGGGTTGGTGGTTTGTGGGTTGTTGTTTTTTTTTTATATTGAGCCAATATTTCCTACAATTTTGTCAGTTAGAAAGTCAGAAAACCTCATTTTACATATAAGGAAGACAAGAACCGGGGAAATGAAATGGTTTTCCAAAACCACTAAACAAATCCTGTGGGTAGAATTTGATGCTCTGATGATTCACCAGGTGTGAAATTCACTGTGACGCTGCTGCCTCTTGAACATTTTCTCTGGGTCAATGTTTCCAGAATTCACAAAACACTGAGGCTTGACCCCATCACCATGAAGGAGCGGTTAGCTCTGGAAACAGTGACCGGTCCCAGATGGAATGGCCATTTCTCAGGGATCCCCATTATGAAATGCTTGGGTTTCAAGGAATGTAGTAGTTTGGGAAACATACCGTATAGATGTCATTTCATGTTATCGTGCCTTAAATTTAATAGTCTTAGGAAATATGATCATTCCTTGCCCTTTTCCTACAAATCAAGATAGAAAATTGTCCTTTGCTCCATTACCCAAATAAAAACTCTTTTGGGGGATGATTTCAGGGTTAGGAATGTCTCTGGCTCAAGTGGCCTAAAGAAGTTAATAAGGGGTGTAGAAGTAGAGGATGCAATGGCCAAGATTCCTAGTTCCAACCTCTGCCATTGACTTGCTGGGTGACATTGAATAATCCTGGTTGTTTAGGCAAATGTGAACTAAGACATAATTCGAGCTTTGGTCATGAATTTCTATGTACCCCAGCAGTACTTGTAATAGACTATCAGTATATGTGTGCTAAATCAGAGTTCCTTAAACAAATTGGATTTCCACCAATTCAGTTCAGCCAACATCTATGAAATCTCTACTTTGTGCAAGGCCCTATGCTAGCTGGTAGGGGTACAAAACCAAAGCCATTTTCAGCCCCAAAGATTCTACCAGAAGTCACTGCATTCAACCCTTTCCCCTAGAAGCTGGGCGTGTGGTTGAAGGATTTTTATTCTTGGCTTCATCAATCATTCAATCAACAAGCTTTTCCTAAGCTTATTATGTCCTGGGTACTGAGCTTTGTGCTGGTACACAAAGTAAAAGTAAAAACTGCCCCTGCCCTTGAGGAGCTTACATTCTAATTGGGAAGACAGCTGAGACAAAGCAGATCATGCAAAGTATTTAAGTATCCAACAAAATTTCCCTCTGTTCTCCTGAAATACAGGTGTTCCCATCTTTCTGTCTTCTCCACACTTCTACCAAGCAGATGAGAAATTTATTTCAGCTGTAAAAGGCATGAATCCAAATAAGGAAGACCATGAAACGTTCTTGGATATCAACCCGGTGAGTACAGTCTCCTCAGGCTGCCAGAGGATTTCCTCTTCTTCACACCATTCCTGTGGGTCAGTTGCATTACACTGAGCTCTCTAAAAAATGACCTCAACTTTAATGGGAAAGGAAACCTAGCCTAGCACTTTTCAGTCCACATTACAAGACTTCCTCTTCCTCTTCCTCTTCCATAAATAAAGTTCTAAGGGCCCTGGCAAGGGGACGTTTCATAAACACCAGTGCTTCTCTCTTCCAAGTCAGGGGTCCTTAACCTTTTTTATGTTTACTTTGGCAGTCTGGTGAAGCCTCTGGATCCCTCCTCAGAACCATGTTTTTAAACGCATATGAAGGACATAAGATTACAAAGGAAAACCATTATATTGAAATATAGTTATCAAAATATTTTAAAAAACAAATTTGCTGACCCCAGGTTAAGAGCCTCTATAAGTGTTTGGAAATATACTAGAAGGGTGGCATGCTTACCTATTGCCATTGGAGTGAGTAGGGGACACAGGTTGGAAAAATTCTCATTCCAAGTTTGGAGGGAGAGAAGTGGGCATCTAGTAGCCATGATAATGGGTCCCACTAGTCCTTGGTGGGGGGGGGGGGGGGGGGGGGGGAGGAGGGAGGCGGGGGGAGGGGGGGCCGGGGGGGGGGGGGGGGGGGGGGGGGGGGCGGAGGTGCAGAGAGTCCAGTGGCAAGTGGCAGATGCAGAAGAGAATCATGATGACAGAGGACTATGGCTTGAGAACCAGGTAGAAGCGCTGGGTAGTAGACATAGGTAGTAGTAGCAGCTGAAGTAAGGGAAACTGAGCCAATGCCAGAGGGACCTTTTGGGAGTGGCAGGAGTGGAGGTGGGGGGAGAGGAAACATTTGCAGATACGATGGAAGAATGGATTTTCAATGGAGAGTGTATGATATGGAAAAAGCTGAAGCTTCGACCTGCTTGTTTTCAAACCTGGACAGATCCATCCTTCTCTAGGTAGCTCCCCCCTTTCAGGGGCTCACCATGTTGATGCCAGAGTGTGGACTCCTGGTTGGCTTTAGCCATTCTGCAGCTCAGAACTCTCAGCCTCCCTAGTATCAGGGATTATAGGTGTGGTCCACTTTGTTTAACCCTAAATTCCTTTAAAAAGCCAATCTACTTTTGGTACCTCTGTTTTCTTTCTTCTCACTCTTTGTGTCAGGCTTCATTCAATTGAAACTACTTTCTCCAAGGTTGCCAATTATCTCTTCATTGCTAAATATTTGCTAAACGCCTTCATTGCTAAAAAATTGCTAAACGCCTTGAGCGTTTGACATGGTTGACCACCTTCTCCTTCTGGATATAATAACTATGTTCAGTGGTCATGTTACTCAGATTGACACTGCATATTTCCATTGGACTGGAACCAATGACCAAATTTACATAATTATAGCTTTGAATAGTGTGAATGAATACATGCAACCACCTCTCAGGATTCATTATTCACACTCATCAAGGCCTGGATGAGCTCTCTCTGTCCCCTCATCTTCATATCTCTTTTCTCTTGGTTCCTCTCCTTTCTGTCTAACTCCGTCTCTAACTCTACCAGTCTCTTCTGCTGGATCTTTATTTATGTCATACTCATTCACTGTGGGTGTCCCCCAAGCCCCATTCCTATGGGTCTAATGATCATCTCTATACAGATGATTCCTAGTCTTTTTCTTGAACTCCAGGCCCTTATCATCAAATACTTCTTGGGTATTTTGAACTGGATGCCCCCTTAGGCATCTCAAACTCAACATGTCCAAAACAGAAGTTATCTTTCCCCCAAAACCTTACCCTCTTCCAAATTCCCTGTTTCTGTCAAGGACGCCATCTTCTAGTCACTTGCATTACAACATCAGTATCATCCTTGACTCCTCTCTCACTCATCACACATATTTAATCAGTTGCTAAATGTTATAATTTTTTTCTCTACATCTCTTACATACTTTCCCTTCTCTTTGCTCAAATAGCTACAACTTTAGTTCAGAACTTTATTGCCTCTTTCTTCCACTTTGCAATAACCTTCTAATTTATCTCCTCCCCTCAAGTCTCTCCCTTTTCCCATCCATCCTCTACTAAGCTGCCAAAGTGATCTTCCTAAAACATAGATCTGTTCATGTCAACTTCACCCTCACTCAGTAATTCCCAATGGCTCCCTACTACCTCTAGAATAAAATTTAATACTTCTCTTTGGCATTTAAAGCTCTTCAGAACCTACCCTTTGCCCATCTTTCCAGCTCTTTTAACACATAACTGCTCTCCATGCCGACTCCATGTGCCTTCGAACTATTCTTGGCATGTTCTCCCTCCTTATTACCGCTGGCTCTTAGAATCCTTGTCTTCTTTAAGACTCAACCCAAGGAACACCTCTTACGGGAGGCCTTTCCTACTTCCCACTGCTACTAGTGCCTTCTTCTCTATATTTATGTTTCACGTACAGATGTGTAGGTGCATATATATATACATATATGTATATGTGTGTAGGTACATATATACATATATATATATATATATACACATATACATACACATATATCTATGTGTTGTCTCCCCCATTAGAATCTGAGCTTCTTGAAGGTAGGGTCTATTTTTGCTTTTTCTTTGCACTCATCACAGTGTTTGGTAAATAATAATCACTTAATAAATATTTCATGATGGATTGACTAATTTCAATTTGAATTTTTAGTGTTTTGCCTAAAATGTTTTTCATCTTCAGTTTTGTTCATGTGTGTGGATTTGAGTCTTTCCCCCTTTTTTTGTAATAATAGCAAAGACTAATTAAATCCACTGGCAAATAGATGTTCATTAGTAACGGAGTGTGTGTGCGTGTGCGTGTGCCTGTGCGTGTGTATGTGCGTGTGCATGTCTGTGTGCGTGCGCACACATGCATGTGCGTGTGTGTGCTTATGCATGTCTGTGTGTGCGTGCATGCGTGTGTGTGTGTGCGTGTGTGTGTCTGTGTGTGTGTGCACGTGTGCGTGCATGCATGTGTGAACCTTTCCAGCATTTCTAGGAGCACACACTTCCCTTCCCTCTCAGCCCGCTATGAATCTGTTCTAGTTCCGTGGCCTCTCCTTACCAGCAGCTCCTTTGCTCGGGGTCCATGTGATTGAAGGACAGCATTTTGAGAGGAGGTTCTCTTGGCTCCAGAAGGGTCCCGGTCAGCTGAATCAGGAAGGGGAATTCCTGGCTTTTGTCCTGCTTCTGTGTCCGCCGGTTACTTGGCTTCAGACTTGGGTTCTCTTTGCGCGGGACAGCCGTGCTTTTGTTGAGGGTCAAAGCTCCATTTCTGCTTCCTTACACTTTCTGCATGACTCAGTGTTTTGCTAATCTTTATTATGCCATTATGGCTGAAAAAAAATAGTTTGAACCATCTTGTTACCTCCTCTCTGTAAGAAGCCAAGAAAATGAGCTCTGGGCTAGTTCTGACTCTGGATTTGGAAGCCATGCTCACAGGGTGACTCTGTTACCCTGGCATAATCTTGAGCGATGCACTTGCCCTCCGAGTGCTAGATTCCTCATTTATAAATGAGGGAGGGCGGCCAAAACCAATGCGAAGGTCACCTCTAGCTCTAGGCTCTGCGAGCCTATGTTTTAAGTGATCATTCGTAGTCTCTTTTCTTTTTATTAGAGTTCCTACTGTTGTGTTGTCCACTAAGCCTTGTAGAGAGGTCTCAGTATTGGTTGGAAATAGAATGAAATGAAATTCTAAGCAAGAAGTCACATTTATGCTTTTTAAAAATAGATTGTTACTGATATCTAGATGATGGAAAAGCAAAAGATTAAAAAAATCCATTTTACAAGTCACTTAGATTTCTCCCTGTATCCCTCCCCTTCCTCCCTTCCAGAAAGCCATCCCTCATAACAAAGAATTTTTCAAAAAAAAAAAGAAAAAAAAATTCAGTAAAATCTGTCAATATATAAAAGAAAATTGATGTTCTACACAATGTCCTATACCCATTGCTACCCTTTCCTGCCCTCAAAGAGAAGGATGAGGTATCTCTTATTTGGGGTCAGTATTGTTCTTTGTGATTTGGACTGTTTTGTGAATGTTGTTCTTATGGTGTGTCCTTTTAAATATTTATTTTAATATTTATTTTTAAATTTTAAAATATTCTTTCTTTTAATATTTTCCCCCTTTGCTCTACTTAATTTTCAGATGACTGGGATTATCCTAAGAGGATCCAAGAGGTTACAGGTCAACGTTCATGTCCGAAAGATAGAAGGATTTGAGTAAGTCTTGCCCTCACTTTTTTTTTTTTTTTGGAATAATAGCAAAGAATAATTTAAATCCATTGACAATGTGCATTAGTGACAGAGGCGGTGTCCCCTGCTGACTCATGCCCTGTGGGGCTTGGTATACAGTTGGCCTTTTCAGAGAGGCCATTAGAGTGTAGACTGCATGTCCCCTGCAATGTTTCTCATATCTATGGTTTTCCATCCTTATTACTACCACACTGGTTCGGGTCCTGATCACTTCCTACTTGGCAATCTCCCTAGCTCTTAACCATTCTCCCTGCCTTTATACTTTATATTTTTCCCTTTCCAGTCCATCCTACACACCACCCTTGGATAACTCTTTTTAGGGCATTGCCTTCATCATCACTGTCCTCTTCAAAAGAAGCTCTCCCTTGCATCCAGGAAAAATTTTTTCTTCTAGCCCGAAATTCTTTGCCTTCCACAGCCTGGCCCCTTGCTACCTGCCCTCTGAACCTTATCCACCTTTCAAACCTTCTCTCCCAAGCTCTGCGCTTGAGCCAAATAGTCTTTGAAACACATCTTGTCCTTAATCACCCGTATGCTATTTCTTTTCCCTGCAATGACTTTCTTCCCATTTCCTCCTGTCAAAAATCTGTTCTTTGTCTAAGGCTCAGCTCAAATCCCACCTTCTCCATGAAGCCTTTCCGACTTGAAAATCCTCTCTGGGTTTTCGGGACACCACTCTCTCCTGGTTTTCTTCCTTCCTATCTGACCTCTTCTTTTGTCTCTCCTTTGCTGGATTCTCCTCCAGATCACGACCTCTCACCATAGCTGTCCCCCAGGGCTCTGTCCTGGGTCCTCTTCTCTTCTCCCTCTATACTATTTCACTTGATGATCTCATCATCTCCCATAGATTTAATCACCTGCTCTGTGCTGTTGATTCTTACATCTACCCTTCCTGCCCCAATCTCTCTACTGACCTCTAACCTCACATCTCCAACTGCCTCTTAGACATCTTGAACTAGAGGTTTAGTCGATGTCTTAAACTTGCCTTTACAACATCGCTCGTACATGCCCCCTTCTCTCCTCTGACGCTGCCACCATTCTAGTGTAGACCCTCCCCACCTCACTCCTGGACTGCTGGGTCAGCCTGCCTCAAGTCTCTCCCTACTCCAGTGCATCCTCCATTCAGCCACTAAAGTGGTTTTCCTAAAGCCCAGGTCTGATCAAGTCACCCCCTACTCAGTAAACTCCAGGGGCTCCCTCTTGCCTCTAGGAGCAAATACAAAAGGCTCTGTTTGACATTCAAAGCCCTTTATAACCCACCCCCCTCCTACCTTTCTAATTTTCCAGGGCTTGGCTCAGTGTGCTGCACATAGTAGGTTCTTTAATAAGTTGACTAAGGGGTCACTCACCTTATCACTCACTTAAATCAGCTTCTAATAATTTTGGGCTGGTCCTCATCACTTCCTCCCTCATACCCCCTTTGCCCCCACACAAAATTCTGTCCTCCTAAGTGGATAGAGATGGCCTGGTAAGTGTAAAGAGAACTCGACTTGGAGATAGAAGACACAGGTTCGTGTACCACCTGTGTGACTTGCTCCCTCAATTCCTCATCTATAAAATAGGTATAGTAATACTTTGAGGCTTCTGAGAAAAAAAATATAATTTCCATAAAACAGAATAGAGAAATGTAAATTATTCATTTCTAAGTGATGAAGGTTTATCATGCTGAGAATATGCAAAGCAATGTACCCTTAAGCAAGAGTTCCAAAAATGTACTGAGGCGTGATTGCAGCATACTCGTAGGTGTATAGCCTTAAGCCCAAGTGAATGAAAGGAACATTCATTTTGGACATAAAAATTCTGGTATGTTCATTTAACAACAGGCAACGTTAGTTCATAGGCATCCCTCGTGAGTGTGCAAAATTGACACATGGAGAAGGCACTTAGTGTATTTTTGTTGAAGAATGGATGGATTTAACTGATGAATCTAGAGTTATAATTCGAATTTAATTGCTGATCTACATCCATTTATAAGAGAACTGAGAATTCAGTAAGACAAAGGAAGGAACCCCTGTTTCCTCTTTAGTCTTACAACTGTTTTCATGTTACAAGTTTGTCACTTCAGTTTAATGTATCCTTATGGTGATGGGTTGGTGATTTTTTTTTTTTGGCGAGGCACTTGGGGTTAAGTGACTTGCCCAGGGTCACACGGCTAGTAAGTGTTATAAATGTCAAGTGTCTGAGGCCAGATTTGAACTCAGGTCCTCCTGACTCCAGGGCCGGTGCTCTATCCACTGCGCCACCGAGCTGCCCCTGGTGATGTGTTTTTATGGTGTATAGAAATACTGCAAAATGTTACTATCTTTTCTTTTTTTTGTAGCGAAACTGGAGACATCAAGAGCTTGGTCTTCCCAGTCATGTATCTAAATGAGGTGAGTCTCAGGAGAACATCATGGGCTTGGTTAATGAGAAGACTGGGATTCTTCAATTGGAAAAACGGTTTGCAATGATGTCCAAGTTTTAAAAAATATATTTGTAATTTAAAGAGAGTTGAAGGAAGAGGTTGATAGTTCAAAAAACAAGCTCACAACCAACCCAACAAAAACCTACACTTGTTTGTCCTCATACGGACAATTTCTGGTGATGTGTGTCACATGAGTCTACTTCCTAAGGAGGTTCCTGAGACTCAGAATGTGGGGCAGATTGTAATCAAGAATTGGGAGAGATAGCAGACAGAAATACGTTTCTCTTTTACGGTCATACCTGTGAAGGAAAGAGTTCTGGAAGAAGTTCCCAGTGTAAAAGAATGTAAGAATGAAACAAAAGCCTGATCAGCAGTTACTAAAATGAGATATTGTATGTATATGCATATATAAATATTAATACACATATATACACACATACATACATTTATATGTACATAGAGTTATCCCTTCCACATTGCAGCGTTCTCCATTGTAGTTTCGATATATCTTGGGTTGGCATGAGAAATTAAATCGGAATTTTGTGGAAGGCACAGACAACCCATGAAGGCCAGCAGACGACACAGATAAAGTTTAGAAACTCAGAAATGCATAAAATATATGTAGAGTATTATATAATATCAACATACTTTATCTTTTAATCCCACAATAATTCAGACTTCTTCTCTGGTACAAAAGGGAAGGCCAAAAATTTTATGCTGATTTTCCGTATCACAGGGGCACCATGACCTAACGCCTGTGATGAGGAAGGGATAACTGTACACATACATCAATTATATATAGAACTGACTTACATGTCTGTATGTACACACATATGTGTATGTATTTATTCCAGTTTGTGTGTCACCAAAGATTCTAAGATCTCAGCTCTAGGGCTGAAAGGTAGACCCCTCTAGTCCAAACCCTTCATTTTACAAATGAGGAAAATGAGGGAAGTTTGCTTGATTAATGTCACACAAGTAATAAATGTTAGCGGTAGGATTTGAACCCACGGCCTCTGACTCAGTATTATTTCCATTGTACTAAAAAAAACCAAACAGACCTCTTCTTTCCTTCGCAGCTCATTGTTATGAGAAATATTGTTATGCTCCTTAGTTCCTCTATCAGGAAGCTAATAGAGAGGTACTCATTCAAATTTAGAGGGAAGATAGGATTAAATTAATGACTCAGATGAAGTTTGGGGATTACTTATGGGCTTCAGTTACCACTATTTTGAGTAACTTTCGAGGATAGTCACAATTTCAAATAAAGGAATGTTTTAACAAGAAATGTCCCTTGTTGGGTCCTTACGGGCACTCAGAAAATCTGGTCCCCTTATACTGTCCTGGTTTCCCACTAGCCGTATTATCAAGGCAGGTATTTCAGCTGCATCATAGGGAACCTAGATCATACCTTAGACGAAGAGTGGGAATCATTCATTCATTGTATCCCCAAATATTCCCATGTGAGAGATGATTCATTTGCACTTCTGTTCTGTCTCAAACAGTATTAATTAATTTCATATGATTCCATAGGGGTAGTGATTATAAGTTCTGTATATTAGGTCCCAGAGCTATGAACTGCAGATTGTAAATTCACTTGCTTAATCATGGGAGGCTCACTAGAGGCCCTTCACCCTTGTTTTTCCTTGTTATGGTGACCAAGCCTAGCATAGCGGAGGTGACTCAATTACATGGAAAGTCTCTCGACTTATTTTTGTAGCCCCAGACCACTCTCTCTTGTCCAACATGATCAGGTGACCATCTTATGACAACTTAGCGGAGATGCCTCGTGCTTCACCTGAGATCCTGCTGTTGACGTACCATTTCTAGCTGACACATCATTTCTGGCCCATGAAGCAAGATCTGAACCAGTGGTATTCTGTACTCTGTGTAGCCCTTCTAGAGTGTTCAAGTATCAAATCTGGCATCAAGCCTTATGAAAACAAGTCTCTGGAAGAAGGGGGCATGTCAGATGATGAGGAAGACTGGAGGTCCACTTCATTAGGGGGACCGTGGACCCTTTAAATAAAGGGCTCAGAGCCAATGGCTCAGAGCTCTGCCTCGGTGGTTTTTCCTGCAGATTGGGCAATTATAATTCCCACAACTGCAAAGATGTGTTTCTCTCATGTGGAATGTTTCCCTATTCACATTCATTCATTCCAGATGACTTGATGTGCAAATCAGATTGTTCTAAAGAAAAATCACAATCTGAATGTATTTGAGACACCGGTTCCTTAAAAGAAATATTGACAGAATCCTTTGCAAATCCACATTTGGTTTTATATTTTTTCCTTTCTGTTGGCCCCCTCAATTCTGAGGAAGAAAGACAAGTTTTTTTCCCCTCAATTATGTTCTCATGGGTAGGCCCTTCCTGCAAGAGTAGCAGTCATAAATTCAGTGGCTAAAGCCTCAAGGTGTAGGGGTAATGAATGAGGAGGCCCTGCCCTCAAGAAGCTTTCTTCTGTTGAGGGAGCTATCATGTACATATAAAAGTGTATACTTTAAGATGTTTATAGCAGGAAAAGGGAGACCCCTAGTGTGACCTGAACCAGATTAAAATATAGTTGGGAAATATTTAACAAAATAAGTAAAAATACAATAGAACATAGGTAATGTTGATACGTGGTTTTCTCAGTCAGTATGTGTCCCACAAGGATACATTTACATGATTTAGTGGCCCCCATTTCTATCTGAGTTTGTCCCTACTGGCTTAAAAAAATGACACATTGTACTTTGTGAAGCAGCCTGGAGGAAAGGGTCTATCAGTTATCAAGGGAAGAATGAATGTCCAACCTTGAGCTATCTCCCTGAGTGAGAGTTACTCTGACCAATGGGAATGTCTTTCCTTGTCATTCCAGAGTGTTCTTATCGATCAAGATTCTGCAACAAAACTCAAGTCCGTAATAAATACCACTATGGTCATCACCAATATCCCCTATATCATCATGGCTCTGGGAGTATTCTTGGGTTTGATCTTTACCTGGATGGCATGCAAAGGACAAGGGTCAACAGAAGAGGTGAGTGAGTGGTCGCCATGGTCTTTTGATCATTCTGTTGGATATCACAGTTGAGGGATTAACTGTCCTCTAGTTGTAAATGCATGAAGCTTAGACTCAGGGTCCTGATATTGAACAGGAAAATTCTTTGTTTACATCATTGCTAGCATAAGTTGGGAATAAGGAAACCACCAGTAGGCTTATCCCCCAAAGAGATCAAAGGCAGAGGGAAAGGACTCGTATATACAAAATTTTTTGTGATGGTACTTTTGTGGTAGCTAAGAACTGGAAACTAAGGGACTGCTCATCAATTGTGGAAAGAGCAAAAGAATGGTGATTTATGAATGGGATGGAGTATTTTTGTGCCGTAAAAAAAATAACAGATATCACAGAGAAACCAGCGAAGATTTGTATGAACGAATGCAGACCAAAATGAATCGAACCAGAAGGACGATTTACATGATAACTACAGTAACAATGCGAAGGAAAATTCCTCTGAAAAACTTCACAGCTGATCAAATAGCCACTAATCATGACTTCACATGATGATTAATGAGGAAAAGTAGCTCCCACCTCGGAGCAGAGAAAGTGGATGGTGAATGCAATCTTGGCCAAGGCCTCGACATGCGTTTTGCTTGATAGTGACAGGTATATTCCCCCCACCTAAAAGCAGCAATAAAATTTTTAGTGTATAGAAGGAAACTAGTACTATGGTGCCACCTAGTGGCCCATAAAGGACAGGCACAAGCGGGTCTTAGCAAACTGGAGGGGTCTTATTAAAATATTAACATGGCGATGAACTGTGTCCAGAAATGTGCCGGTAAATGTTTAACAGCAAGCCCTGGTGGCAAGGAATGGTGGAGGGATGGGGAGGAAGGAGGGAGATGGAGGCATGGGGATGGATGCAGACAACACACTCTAAGTCTCATCTGCATCATTTACGCTTTCTCCGTCACTTTCTTAAGTCTAGACACTCAAGCCCTGATTTGGAGTGCTTGCTAAATTTTGGAGGTATAAACATTCACACTGAAAATTCAGCAGTGGAGCTCACCAGCCAGTTTGAGCTGGCTCCAGCACGCTCCTGAGGAATAGCCTAGCTACGTCTGGACAGGCCGGTCACCAGGGTGGCCACTATGTAATGAATTCTTTTAGCCAAAGGAATTCTTGAACAGTCTACTGAGAGATGGAGAGGCTTGCAATCTGTTGGTAGAGGAATGCCCACAAGCATGATACTGCATTTATGAACTATTGAAGCAAATGCCCTGTGTGTTAGGTGCAGGTTTTTGATTGTCATTTCAGATTTTTTGGTAGTAGCCCTACAGCAGCTAGGTGGTGCCATAGTGCATAGCGCACCAGGCCTGGAGTCAGAAAGACTCGTCTTCCTGAGTTCAAATCTGGCCTCAGACACTTCCTAGCTGTGTGACCTTGGGCAAGTCACTTACCCCCGTTTGCCACAGTTTCCTCATCTGTAAAATGGGCTGGAGAAGGAAATGGTAAACCACTCCAAGAAAACCCCAAATGGGGTCACAAAGAGTCAGAAATGAAAGAACAACAAAGCAGTCCCCAGAAAGCTTTCCTGCCAGGTTGAGTCATTTTTCTTTTCCATCTCAGCCCAATAGTGTAAGGTAGTAACCTTATAAACAAAGATTATTTTTGTAAGGCACATACAAAACCCTCGGCACCTTGTTGCTGTAATTTTTGGCTGTGCCCTATTTGCACAGGAATTCTGGGACTGGTTTTCTGAGCCAGGACTTTGTCATACACCCCGTTGGTCAGATCCTCCCAGCCTACTTTTTCAGTGCTTGGATAAAGGGCCTGACCCTCCTGAACCTGACTGCTCTTTCTTCCTTGTGTTGTATATTCCTCAGGGCACCTCAGATGAAAGGGCGCCGCTCATGAGGACCTGAGGTCTTCCCACCCACTCCAGCTTGGTGAATGAACTATGCAAGCGGGCGAAATTCCAACCACTGCTTCCTTGGGAAAGCATCTTTGTGTTTATCCACAAGTCAGTCAATGAGCGTTTATTAAGTGCTTACTGTGTGCCAGGCACTGTGCTAAGTGCAGGGGATTCAGACATGAGCAAAAAGCAAAGATGGCCCCATCCCTCAAGGAGCTTACCTTCTAATAATCAGCTAATTAATTCATTTTATGCACTATTGATATGGGGGAAAATACGTCATCTGTGTTCCAGCTGGCTGCTAAATTGGGTTTTAAAGAACTGACTGACAGTGGCTGGTGATTATACTTTCTGAAATCATCCAGCCCATTGCAGATTGCTTTGTATTCATGTTTGTCGTGGGCATTTAGAATAAATACTCTAAGTATTAATGATCTGGGGGTTTTTGGGATGCCAGAAGCTCTAGAACACGGGTGGGGAACCTGTGGCCTCAAGTTCCCCACCGAAGTTTGGATTCAGTCAAAGGGCTGCACTTGAGGACCTCCAGGGCCGCAGGTTCCCCACCCCGCCTCTAGAAGTTTCATATCGCCTGTTGTGGTTAAAATGTTTCTGCATTGTTCAATATTGAGACTAACCTTATTTTTTAAGATGCCGTGTGTCCATAAAAACCAGCTTTAGTAATCACTTCATCGTCTCATCTCAAAACCAATCGTTGTGTAGGACGTGTGTGCGCCCACGGGTGGGGCCTTTGCTCTAATCGTTGAAGACGTCTCCCTATACAAACTGTCATCGTGACCATTGACACCACATTTGAGAATGACTGAATCATGGCTGGTCACATGCCCTTAGACTTGGCTTTTAAAAGGGAGAGCAGAGACAGAGAGGAGAGGAGAGGCCCACCTCCAGACTGGAGTCTAGACTCAAGATTCCCCATAAAGAAAAGCCTGCATGCCTCTGAGGCTCTCCCAGGGAAGCCCATCGCCCCAGGAGACGAAGGAACCATGTGGCAGAGGAATAAGGATTTCCAAGACAAATAAGGTAACCCCCCAGACCAAGCTTTCTGGACACTGGAGGACGATGCTGAGTTCCTGGACTGAGCAGAAGAATTTGGAACCAAGAAAGAGCTGGAGACAGCTTCCAAGTGGAGAAGCGAATGTGGGGAACTTCCCTTTTTATTGGCATTGTTAGGTTATTTGAACTCTGCAGATCTAGGGGAAGGTGTTGAGAGGCAGTATAATCTAATGCACTACACTTAGAGTCCTCCCTCGGATACTTGGGAGCCTTATGACTCTGGGCAAGTCATCTGACCTCTCTGGGCCTCAGTTTGCTCATCTGTAAAATGAAAGGGTTGGCTTTGATAAACTCTAAGTCCCTTCTAATTCCAAATCTATGAGCCTATGATCAATTCTCTAGTAATTCTTAGTTCTTTCCCTTTGTTGGGGACCCTACCCCAGTTCTTTAGTCAGGAGGGCTATAGGGTGCCCAGGGTTATTGCTTGACTCTGAATACTTTTATGGGACCACGTGGAGAGCCTCAACCATAAGACGATGACATAAATCTGTGACACTGTATAGGTTCTCTGGGGGAAGAGACACTTAGCTAGGGGGAGAAAGGGTCAACTCCTTAATGACCCCATTCTCTTCCCTTTTCAGGGACTCTCAACCCTAGGGTAGTCCCCAAGGAGGTAGAGACCCTGAGAGGTGGAAGAAAAATTAGAAAGATCATTTTAACTATTCACGTACTAAGATGGGAGTCACTACTGTTTGGCATTTTTTGCTAGGTTAAATAAAGTCTCTCTTATATTCAGTATATCGTTAGCCTGAGTGTTTGCATGGAAGTTGAAGTTTCTTTTAATTTATTTTTGTAAAGATCAGCTAGTTAATAAGAATTTATTAAGCACCTACTGTGTGTCAGACACTGTGCTAAGCAAAGAGAAAAGACAGTCCCTGCCCTCAGGGAGTTTACAGTTGAATGAAGGCAACAACAAACAAATAAATACCTGCAAACAAGCTGTGTAAGGGATAAATAGGAAATAATTAAGAGAGAGAAGACACTAGAATTATGAGGGATTGGTAAAAGTCTCCTGTAGAAGGTGAGATTTTAGTTGGCACTTGAAGGAAGCCAGGGAAACCAGAGATGAGAAGGGGGACCATTCCAGGCATGGGGGACAGCCAGAGACAATGCCTAGAGCCATCCCTTTTTCTGGAACTGCCAGGACACCATAGGAAGATCCTCTGACATACTGATCAGTGAGATGTAAGAAGACGGGAAACAGAGGCTATGTTTGCAAAGATCTTGGCGAGAGTTATATTCTGATATCCCTAGATTCAGGGTAGTGGGGTGCAAAATGAACCAAATTCTGATGTTCTTAGAAGATAACCCGGATAGCAGCATCAACTAATGAAGGTGTGTGTGAGAACCTCTCTCCCCCAAGATTCAATGCAGTCCATGGAAACCCAGAAGTATGGATCTTCATTGAACACACTGATAAAGTGACTAGTCAGGCAACTGGCAGCTGAGGGTAAGATGTTCACCTCTCTCATAGTCATCTGATTACCTTTAAGAAAAAGTGAATTCTGTTTTTAAATTGACTTAGAGGTTCTTAGAATCCTAGACTATTAGCCCTGGAAGATTCCTTCCAACTTATTTATTTTAGGTGAGAAACTGAGCTTCCAAAGAAGTCACCCCCAAGGTGACCCAAGGTCACATAGCTAATTAGTAGCAGAGCCATCATTGGTACCCCCCTCTCCTGACTCCTAAACCAATGATCTCACTAGCTGTGTGATCCTGGGTAAGTCACTTCACCCCATTGCCTTGGGTGGGAGTGGGGGGGGGGGCAATGATCTTTCCATGTCTACTCCACCATCCCTCCAGGAAGCTTTGGACTTCAGACATTTATGCTAGGTGAGGGTGAGGGTGAAAGGGATTATGTATGCGGATGGTAGGATGGGATGGTGGAGAAAGCCTTTTATTGACAGCGTTATCATGCACTTGAGGGGTTTGGGCATGCACATGTGTTCTCTTGCTTGGCAAAGTCACTGCAGACACATATGGACGATTTCAAATTGAAGAAAACTATTTTGGGCATTTGAGGAACATTAATGGTAGTGTTATAAAAATATTAAGACATAGTTTTATGACAGTGTTCTTTTCTGATGTCTCACTTGAATCAAAGATTTGCCCAGTCTTCCTTAACTAAAAAAACTTAATCAGTTTGAGGGAGGGAGAGTGATTTTTGGAAACTAAAATCAGTTGAGAAGTTTTTCTTGTTTTTAGTGACCAGACTAGGAGGGGGAAATATCTTTTTGCTAATTTAATTAAGAACACTATCTCTGTTTACCTTCGACCTGATCAGATGGGGAATCCTAAGAGGCAGCAGTTGGTTTCAGGAAGATATTTTCTCCAGTGGTGCCCCAGACTGACGTTCCTAATTGTTCTCTTTGGTAAAACAAAAATTCTAAGCTTAAACTATGTTCCTTCTTTTTAGTTCACTGTGGAATTTCATCTTTTGTTTCATGATAACTGTAAAACGTTAAGTTGAAAATTTCTTGGGGGAGAAGGGATATTTCGATAAGAAGAAGGGTTGGAACCTATCTCCAAGAAGAAGTGCTTGCACACTAATAAATTGTCTCTGACAGATTTTGACTAAAACGCAGAGTATAGATTGTTTTCCTCCATATAGTACTCTCTTAGAAACAATCAAATCAACAAGCATTTATTAAGTAGCTAATATATGCCAGGAACTATGCTAAGCACTGGGGATACAAAGAAAGGCAAAAACCACTTTCTGCCTTAAGGAGACCTAGCCTGTAAACTCGGGGCCATCTTCAGTTGTCCTGATCTATATCTTGCCACTGGACCCCTCCGAAGAAGAGAGTGAGGCTGGTGGCTTTGCACAGGTCTCCCTCACTTAAATCCAATTCACCTGCAAGCCTTCCTGATGTCATGGTCCTCTTCGAGAATGAAGGAGAAACAACAACAATAACCTTCAAACTACTGGGTACGAACAGGCTATAGACAGGATCGATTGGAGATAACCAGAGGGAAGGTACTAGAATTAAGGGGGATTGGGAAAGGCTTCTTGTAGAAGATGAGATTTTAATGTTCAAAATTGTTTTCACCTGTAATTGGGGAAAAAGAAAATATATATTAAAAAAAATGAGATTTAGCTGGCACTTGAAGGAAATCAGGAAATAGAGAAATAAGAAGGGAGAGTGTTCTAGAAACAGAAAAATTCTTTTCAAGACAATGTTATTAAATGTATACACCCATGCAGTTTGTCTGTCTCCAATGAGCTGTCATTACTCTGACCAAACCTATCAAGTAGATAGATCCCCAGTGGCTACTTGAAGAGCTACTTTAGGAGATGCTAGCTTATGAAAACTAGAATCCCAGCCTTTTCTCGGCTCTGATGCCTCGTGACTTTCAGGAAATCCTCATCCAAACACCACTGGCTATTCCCCCTCCCCCCCGCCCCCGCCCCTTGCAGCAACATGAACACAATAGAAAGAAAAGTACACATGATTCTTGGGAGCTCTGAAACAATTTTTAGTGGGAACTCAAGGTCACATCTTGGAAAGCATCACCTGGATTACGGCCACCCACTTAGTGGAGAAAAATGTGCCTCCACACTTCATGGGCCATCTTTTTTCCTGACATGTACTGAATCGGGGGCAAATGCCAGTGTGCCAAGTACAGCTGGCAAGGTCCCTGGGGAGCAAAAGTGGGACAGATAGGACCAGAGCTGAGCACAGAGGCCTCTTGACCTCTCATATAAGACCATCTCACATTTGAATTCGGCAACGCTTGAGAACTTTTTCTTGGATCATCAAGGCTTGTCATCTACTTCCCAGTGCAACCTTTATAATAATAATAATAGCTAGCATTTATTTATGCAACACTTTAAGGTTTGCAAAGTACTTTACAATTATTATCTCATTTTATCCTCATAACAATCCTGAGAAGTGGGTGCTATTATTGTCGCCATTTTACAGATGAGGAATCTGAGGCAGGCAGAAGTTAAGTGACTGGTCCAGGGTCACACAGTTATTGAGTGGCCAAATCTAGAGTTTTATCCACTATACCACTCGGCTGCCTTATTTGGTCAAACCATAAGAAGGTGATTTTAACCTTTAGGTTTTCAAAAAACATTTGGCATGTTTGTAGTAGAAACAATTTCTACATGTGTTCAAACACCAATATAATCATTTGATATTCCCTTGTTACTGGCCTTAGCCTGTCAGATTTTTTAAATTTAAAAAAAAAAATGAATAGCGTGGGATTTTAAAGAACCTCTATGTCTCCATGGTGCTGCAGGATGATACTCAATTTGAAATCTCTAATTGATTTGTGCCAATTTTCTTTCTACGAACTAAACGCATGTTAAAGATTTTTTTTCCCCTCAAATCTTATGCACATAAGGTGGCACCCGCTGTACACCAAGAATTCATATATTACTTTGTTGGATCTTTGATCTCATCAATGTGGATGCTATTTACTCTGCCACACTCCTTAACAGGAGGTTCCGCTAACACTGGGGGGGTAGGGGAGTCTTTCCCTCCATTCAATATTCTCAGTTTTGAGTGAATACCAACAAAGTCCTTGAACTGTCAACAAGAAAGCACAAGCATAAATAAGTCATTTATTAAGTGCTTACTATGTGCGAGGTGCTGTGATAAACAGTGGGAATATAATACAGGAAAAAAAGAAGGTCCTTGCTTTCAAAGAACATGGGGGAGACTGAGTTGGGAGGAGTGGGGTCTTTGAAAGGGTGGATGGGGAAGCAGGGTACCTGCACAAGGAAGTCAGCAGATCCCAGAGTGGAATCCAGAAGGTGTGAACATGGCTGCCCTGGGCACTTCATTAAAATGCAGGTTCTGAGAGGAACTGACCATCAGGGCAAGAGCCCTCGGGGATCTTCCAATCATTTATCCAACAATCTGGTCACATCCCTGCTCCCCCTTCTTTCCTAGGCATACATCTTTCTGACAACGTCTTTTATTTTGCACCATTCTTCATTGGTAATGTATTGCCGCCCATCTTTGCTCACCAGGAGCCCTGAGGGTGATCCAGACTTTTAATTCTTCAGACATTGTGGTATTCCATGACTTGCAATCATGGGACATTCCCATAAAAATACTGATGCTGAAAAAGACAGGCCTGTGTTTCAGAGAAAAGCTTGGGCTCATTCAAACCACTACTTGGTTTCCCAAATATTTCAGCCTTTCTATTCAATACTAGATCCATTCCCAGTTTCTGTCTGAGAAACCTATACTGATGATCACTACTTTATGAGCTGACCCTCTGACTGTATACCATTGTTCAGACAATAGATATTATTCAAACCATTTGTTTCTAATTCTGTGCATAGTAAAATTGGACCATCCTAAAGAGATTCGGTAACGCCATTGGAGGTTTCCCATCAATACCATGTCAAGGGTATTTAGAGAACCTCTACCTCTACAGAGAATCTGTCTTCCTTTAGACTCTGCCCGGGTTCAGAGCAGATACATTTGACGAGAGTATATCTCCCTCTTTTATTCTTCTCTTGATATTAATAGTCAGAAAGTTATCAAACAAGATCATCTCTGTTACAGCTTTCAAGAACTTCTGGCCTGAGCACGGGAGATGGCTTATTGAAGGAGAGCCTTACAAAGATGCCATTTTGTTCTGTCCAGTGTGTCCTCCCCGGGCACTAGACACAGACCACTGTGGAAGGTGGTGAGTAGTCTCACCTCTTAAAACAATGAGAATCCGTAGAGGAGAAAGTATGCTTACAGAAAACCTGTAAGAGCTCGCTAAGCCCAATTAGTTTGATCCTCAAATGCCTTCTGAATGACTTGGCTTAGGTGGGTCTCTCATTAGGCTGTCTCCATTACTCATCATTTCCCCCTTTAAGATTTTACAGCCAAGATTTTGCATTTACAAATGTAATGAGGTCACCTTTTGTGATGTGCCCTGTTATTTTGGGGGTGCAAGAGAAGCCATCTTCAGTTTCTTTGCTTATTTATGAGACATCGCATAGTTTCATTTTTTTTTTAACAAGATCTGAAATCAAATTAAATACATTGAGAGCCACTTCCTTTTCAAAACAATCTTTGGTCGACCCCATAAAGAATTGGAGCCAATTAAGAATATATGCTACTAATTGGTGACACTCATTTGAGAGACAGAGTGGCCTAAAGCTTACAGAACCTGTCTTGGAGTTGGCAAAAACCAGATTTCCCTCCTACCTCTAACACAATGACTACGTCACCCTGGGAAGGTCCTCAACCATTTAGGGTCCCAAGCAGGTCTCTAAGGTTCTAAACTGCAGAATGGCTTGCACTGGTAGAGGGGATTACCTACAGGGATGAAACAAGTCATAGGTCAAGGTCTTTACAAACCTGTCTTGTCAACATCACAGAAATAAGTGGCCAGTGTTATTCAACTCATTTTGTAGCTGGAAGACTAGTTATTAGAACCTAAATCTCTTGGCATTGCAGTCTCAGGGCTTAGCACAGTGCCTGACACATAATAGATGCTTAATAAATGCTTATAGACTGACTGCTGTGGTCAGTTGCTACCACATGACTTTTCTTCTTGTCCACGAAAGGAAAAACTATAAAAAGAGCCGAACAAAACAATTAGCTACTGCTTGGGCTTTTATTTGAAAATATGGTTTATTTTAAAAATTAAACTGGTTATTGAGCTTTGCTGTTTTTATTTCTAAAAGGTGATCTTCAGCTTTGGCCTGTCATATCTCTTAGCCCCTGCCCCCCTTTTTAACTACTCTTTCTTGTGGCCATTAAAGAAGATATTCAGAAAAGTACACATTTAGTTTTCACAATTGACTCATTTAATGTGATTCTAAGAATGCTTGTTTCTAATGTTAAAAAAATAAAATGTTTCACTAATAAAGTTATCATTTCTACAAAACTGAATCTAGAAGTTTTTAATGACACCCATATGAGTGGGTTTGGACTATTTGTCCTAATGGCAGTCTGGTGTTAATCCCAGAAAGCCCAAAGACATCAGAGAAAAGTTGGAAGGAAAGGGTGGGGAACATACCTGTTCTTCCTTAAATTTCTTTGTGCCCAAAAGTTTGTAGGGGTTTTTTCAGTCTGAAAACATTTGGGAAGAATCTGTGGCCTATTCATTAGATCCAAAAAATGTCATCATAGATTGTTTTTTAAATCTTCCTAACCTCATAATGTAGCATCACTTTACACATTCATTCACTCAATTTTTAATTATCTCCTGTGTTTGGAGAACTATGCTAGGCACTCAAGTGTATGGTCTAGAATCCCTTTAATAAGAGAATTTGTTCTGTGATTCAGTCAAAGAGCTGCACTTGAGGACCTAGAGGGCCACATGTGGCCTCAAGGCCGCAGGTTCCCCACCCCTGGTCTAGATAGTAGAGGGAAGAGGAAGGTAGTAAGTATTCATCGCACCTGCTAATGTGCCAGGCACTGTACTAAATACTTTACAAATATTATCTCATTTGATTCTCATAATAACCTTGCGAGGTACAATTATTGTTATCCCCATTTTACAGTTGAGAAAATGAAGCAGAGATTAAATGACTTACGCAATGTCACACAGCTAGTAAGTGTCAGAGGCTAGACTTGATCTCTCACCTTCCTGACTCCAGGCCCAGTGTTCTATCCACCGTGCTACCTAGCTGCCTCCTATAATCGGAGAATGATACAGATGAAAAACCAATAAAGAAAACTGAGGAGTGGTCAGAAAGGTAGGAAGAGAACCAGGAGACAAAAGGGTCAGGAAAACCTAGAAAGGAAAGGGTGCCAAGGAGAATATGATTGACACTGTCAAATACTGCATGTAGTAAGGTCCATAAAGTAGAAATTTTTGAAAAGGCCATTACATGTGGCAAGTGAGAGATCTTTGTTAACCCCGGAAAGAGCCATTTCAGTTGCATAATGAGAATGGAAGTGATATTGCAATGCGTTTAGAAGTGAGTGAGAGGAGGTGGAGGCACCTAGTGTGGAGGGTTTTTTAAAGTGTAATATGTGATATGTGTCCATATATGAGATAGAGAGTGTATGGGACTGTCTCAATATATAGCTAAAGCTCACAGGTGGCATGCCTGAATCTCTGAGTCTAGCCTGCCTCTTTGGAGAGGAGAGCTAAAGGCTGTATCTATGCTACCAGCACTCTAGCTGGGGGACAAGGAACTGGGGAATATGGAAGAGGCAAGCAGTCCTCTGGAGTGAAGCCAAGGCTGAGTGCTCTTTCAGAGAAAAAAAAAGTCTTTGAGCATTAGGTATTCATTTAGAATTTTTGAATAATTTTCCAAAAGTATTCACTTTGAATAATTTGAGTATTAGCTATTCCTCTGCTACGCCTCAAATATTTCTGGTCTAGGGGTATGATAGGTTCAGAACAAAAGTTGCTTCCCTGACTCTTCTTATGGGGAAAGATAGCCCGTAGCTTCCACTCATCAACCTGGCTCCTTCCTACCAAATGTTGGTTACCCAAAAAACCATCACACATAGCAGAATCTCAAGGAAACTGATTCATCCCAGCAAAACACCAAAAGGAAACTGGATAATTACAATAGCTGCTGGTGGTTGTGCCTGCCTCTAGTCTCCCCTCCAGCCACTAAAGTGATTTTTCTAAAATTCAGGTCTGATCATGTCACTCCCCTACTCAGTAACCCTCCAGTGGCTCCCTATTGTCTTCAAGAGCAAATACAAAATGCTCTGTTTGGCATTCAAAGCCATTCAGAACCTAGCCCACTCCCGCTTTGCAGTCTTCTTAAATCTTACTTCCTAACATGCACTTTTCTATCCAGGGACACTAGCCTCCTGGCTATCCCAGGAACAAGACGCTCTGGGCATTTTCTCTGGCTGTCCCCCTCACCTGGAATGTCCTCCCTCCTCTACTCCCTTTCCTACAAAACCCAACTAAAATCCCATCTCCTACAGGAAGTTTTCCCTACCCCTCCCCTATTCCGGTGTTTTTCCTCTCATAATTATTTCCTATTTATCCCCTGTCTAGCTTGCTTGGTATACATCTGTCTGCATGTTGTCTCTTCCGCTAGATTGTGCGCTTCTTGAGGGCAGGGGCTGTCTTTTGCCTCTTTTGGTATCCCTAGTGTGCTTAGCAGGGTGCCTGGCACATAGTAGGTGCTTCATGTCCATGAATGGCTGATTGACCCATGCCAGGAGGTGTGCAGGCCCTCAGTTCCGACTTGGGCTGGGGCCCTAGACCCCACCTTGGGGGGTTCAGCCCCACCCTAACCACCCAGATGGGGCGTCTCTGCACTGACCTCAAAGGTGGGGGCTGATTACCAGCTAATCCCATCCTTATATAAGGATGGGGAGGCGCTTTATACAAGTCTCTAAGGCGCAATTAAAAAAACAAAGCAAAACACCAAAGCTTTTCCACTACCTGCGGGGGAGGGGAGGGCAGGGGAGGAGGAGGGCAGGGCAGGGCAGGGGAGGGCGGGGGAGGAGGAGGCTCGCAGGCTCGGGCTCTCCGGCCTCTCTTTTCCTCCCTTTCCTCTTTCTCTGTCTCTTTCGCATTCTTTGTGGTCACGAGGGGAGGGGAGGAAAAGAACAAACGATCCCAATACAACCCCAAACATCCCGCCGGGGCCCCTGGGACGGGCGGCTGGGGGCGGGGGGGCGGGGCAGGCCGGCCTCCCAGACCCGGCCGCAGCTCGGAGCTGCCACCGGCAGCCTGAAGCATTTATCCCACTCCCCCCGCCCCCGAGTCCTGCAGCGGAGAGCCTGCGCAGGCGCACTTCCTCCTCCCCGCCGCGCCTCACGTACAATTCCCGATGACGTCACAGGGGCGCGACGCGGCACGACGCGGGCTTCCTCCGAGGCCCCGCCCCCCGCCGCCACCTGCCGCTCCCGGGAACCCTCCCGCCTCGATTCCCGCTGCTCGGCCGGCCCCTTCCACCGGCTGCACCGAGCGCCCCGTGAGAGCCGCCGCGGCCCCGGGGGCGTCATGGCCTTCAACTTCGGGGCTCCCGCGGGCGGCACGGCCACGGCCGCCACCGCCGCCGCCCCCGCGGGTGAGTCTGGAGGGCTGGGGAGATCCGCCGGGGACCCCTCCCTCCGGCCGCGGGGCCTCGCGTGGGCGGGAGGGGACCCGCGAGGGCCGGCGGGGCGGGGACGGGCCGGGTCCCGGCGGGGTCTTCAGCGAAGGGATTCACGGCCCCCCAGCCCCGACTCCGACGTCCCGGGGGGGAGGAGGAGGGGGAGGGGGGACCCCCGCTTCTTCGCCCCCCCCCGGCCCTGCCCCCCGCGGTGCCTTACGCCGGGGTTGGCGTGCGAGCATTTATGCGGCGCCTGCTGTGTGCCGGGCACGGGACGCAGCACTGAGGCAGCGCCTGCTGGATGCGGCGGGCCGCCCCCGGGGAGCCCCCAGTCTGATCTCGCCCCGATGACTGACTCTCGTAACGCTCACTGTGCTTTCTTTCTTTCTTTCTTTCTTCTCCTCTCTTCCCCCCCCCCCCCCCGCCGTCAGGATTTGGGGGGCTGGACGCTGCCAGCTCCACCAGCAGTGGGTTTAATTTTGGGGGTTTCGGCTTAGCCGCCAACCCTGCGGTGAACTTTAATATTGGGAGTTTCGGTGTTTCCACCAGCGCCGCGGCCCCCTTCAGTTTTGGTAACCCTCTGGCCAGCGCAGGTAGAGAGCCCCCCGTCACCCCGCGGATGGTCAAGCAGGACTCCAAAAATGGGCGCAGTTCCGACCCGGGCTTGGCCGGTGGGGGGGTGGGCCCCGATTCCGCGTCCGTCTGCGGGTGTGCCCGCAGCGGGGAGAGGGGGTGATGACCTAAATCGTGGCCCCGGTGACGTCACCCTCTGAAATGTGCACGCTGTTCCCGGGATTCTTGGACTCCTGCAGCCGTCCCTCACCTCGCCTCCATCCGTCCCCCGGAGTGCCATCCGCTCCTTGTCATCCGTGTTGCGGCGGTTCTAGCTGCTTTCTCAGAAGCAGCAAATCTCATACAAACGGCGAGAGGGCCACTCTGCTGTAGTGCCCTTTATGGATGCTCTAAAGGTTTGCCTGCCCCTCTCACTCATCGTTTGAGTTCAGTAGGCAGGAATTTGGTTTAGTCACCAAAAGGCACCACGTTCTCCTAAACGCTGGCGAGTTGGCTTAGCATTCTCTTGGTGTCTTGACAGGTGCTGCTGCCGATTCCAATGTGAAACTGTGGTTTTAAGACTTTTTTTTTAATTGGCAAAAGGAGATGCACAAGTATTTGTACTTCTATAGATTTTTTCTTCGAAAAATCTTTTAGCTCAGCTGCCTGTGTATGAATTAATTATTCCATGCTTTTAGGTGATTCTTAATTGGTCACTTAATGTCCATTGCCAATTTTTTTTCCTACTGAGGATTTACTTTCAGAAATATTTTTGCTGCTTGAAACTGATTTTTGGACAATTCTTTAAATTCTTTTGTGAATCCAATGTTGTATAGACTCCATGTTCAAGCCTTCACGTGCTTAACTTTGAGCAGAGATGTGAAAATTTATATAAAACTTCTTAGGATACAATAATCATGCGTTGTCTTCTTCCTGTAGTATTTTATTAAACTACAAAGTACTTGCATTCTTTTGAATTCCATTTAACAAATATTTATTAAGCATCTGCTCTGTACCAGGCACTGTGCTGGGTGCTGGGGATTCAAAGATGAAGAAAACAGTCTGTGCCCTCAAGGGGCATACAATCTGATACTACTTTAATACTCTTTTACATGTCATTACTGCGTAAAATTAACAGTAGAGGAAAATGGAGTTTTGTGTTTGATTTGTGCTTCTGAATAGAGCTACGACTCAGCAAAAATAAATGAGTGTTTATTTTGGATTATTTTATAAAATAATTCAATGTTTATTTAAAAAAACACTGGCATTTCCATTTTTATTGATTGCAGTTCATGTATTAAATCACATCAATATCATATTTGTAGAATACTTCACTATTTTTTTTTTTTTACCATTGATAAGTTTCTACTTGTGATTTTATAAACTGTAAATTAACTATTCAGCTTCTTTTATACTCTGGTAAGTATGTGAAGTGCACCCTCAATTAATGATAAATTGTGCCCAACTGATGACTTTAATTTGGTACGTTTGGAAATAATACTTTACTCTGAACTTCAGAGTATGTTGTGGAGCTTTGCAGAACAGGATGATATGTTTACTGAGATGGAGGTCTCTGGCCAAGTATATCTTACTGAATTTTTTTTTTTAAAGTGTGGATCTAAAGCAAGTAAGGATTAGGCTACATACATTAATATTTTATGAGATTGTAAACATCTAAAATACGGGCAGGATTTTTTAACCTTTTTGGTGTCTTGGTCCCTGCCTTGGATAATTAGTGAAGCCTATGGACCTCTTCTCAGAGAGAGAGAGAGAGAGAGAGAGAGAGAGAGAGTGTGTGTGTGTGTGTGTGTGTGTGTGTGTGTGTACATCTGTATGTCTGTGTATAGATGTAGATATGTAATATGCATGAGATTATTTTTTAAAAAAACATTATACTGAAATATAGCTTTCAGGGCATTTTTATAAAATAAGTTTCCCAATGTGAAGCTGAGAATAGAGCCACTATTTAACCAAGAAAGCACACTAACCCTGATGTTTCCGTGTCCTTTTTTTGTGATGTGCTAGGTACGTTTGGAGGGTTTGGGACGACCACCACAACAGCGAGTTCTGCATTCAGCTTTTCTGCTCCCAGTAACACAGGCACAAGTGGTAAGAGCCCAGACGGGATAGAATTAATCACAGAACTAAACAGCATTGATACGGGCTAGTTGGGCAATTGCATTTTTTGGTAATGCTTTTGTAAACCCAATTTTTTCTTCAAAGGTCTCTTTGGTGCTACTCAGAACAAAGGTTTTGGGTTTGGTACTACTGGTTTTGGCACCACTACAGGAACCGGTACTGGTTTGGGAACCGGGCTAGGATTTGGGACATTCAATACACAGCCGACTCAAAGTAGTAAGTATGAGAAGTTTGTTGCATTCCTTAAAAGTTCACGTGAGTTACTATGTTTTTTATGTTTCTGAGGAATCAGAATTTAATCATGAACCATTTGGTCATTTCACATTTTTCATCATGGTGTGACCTTCTGTCATAGAACTTGATATACTCACGTTATGCACCTTTCACTGGGCCTTCCTCATCGTCAGCACATCTTGTCTTCCCCCTTGGTTGATTGCCCTTCTCACTCTGCACGTGTCAGAGCCTTTGCTTCTCTCCCGAGCCTTCCTCACCACCTGCTCCTCCACCTTGCCCCTTCCTTTGCTAAAGGCTCTCTCTTTTCCCTGTCTCTTCTCCATAGACCCCCTTGGGGCCATCTTCCCCTCTGCTTTCCCCGTTCTCTGACCAAGGAGCGGCCCTTCTCCCTGCCCCAGCCAGCACTTGTGCACGTACGTGCCCGCGATCCCCTGCCCCGTCTGGTCCTGCCGATGGCACCTTCAGTCATCCCCTCGCCTCTCAAATCCTCCGCCTCTTCTTTTCACCTGGGTCCTTCGGTGCTGCCCTCAAATGTGCCCAAGCCTCCTCCGTCCTTAAAGCTGCACCTTACTATCTCTCCTCCCTCTCCCAGCCAGACTCATTCAGAAAGCCATCTACACTCGCTGAGCCTGCTCCTCTCAATCCTTGGAGTCCTCAGCCCTTGCCAGTGGAGTTTCCAACCTCCACCCTCAATTAAAACTGATCTCTAAATCGCCAGTTCCGACGCTCTTTTTTCTGTCCTGGTCCTTCTCCACCTCTCTATGGCATTGGTTAGTGTTGACCACAGTCTCCTCCTGGGTGCTGTCCTTTCCAGGTGTTTGTCAGGTGACTCATTACCTCACCGAGATTATTTTAAAGGCTTCCTAATTCGTTTTGAGAGATTTGAAAGTCGGCCCCAGCCCCCCACCCCCAACACTCAAGTCCATCCTAAATACTGCTGCCCAAGCAGTTTTTTTGTACCCAGATCTGACCATATGAGTCCCCTACTTCACCAACCAGTGCTTCCTTTTGCCTTTAGGATAAAATGTGAACTCCTCCGCTTACTTTGAAAATCGGCACAAGCTGACCCAGACCCATCTTTCTGGCCTCCTTAGATGTCACTCTCCTCTCACGCTCTTCAGTCCAGCTGGGCGGGCCTTCTCTCTGTCTCTCACGCACGGCCTTGGTGGTGGCCATCCCCTCTTCAGACGTTCTGCTTCCTCCCCTCGGCCTCACGGAAAGAATCCCCCCTTCTTGCATGATGCGTGCTAAGTACCGCCTTGTACATGAAGGCTCTGCTGAGCCCTCAGCTGCTGGTGCCCGCCTGCCTTGACTTCCTGGTGTTTATTTGTATTTGTACTTTTTACATTTTTATCCTCTGTGTGTGATTTATATGGGTAATTCTTTTCTCTCACATTAAAATGTAAACTTCTCGAGAATCAGGATTGTTTCATTCTTTGTCTTTGTGCCTCTAGTGCTTGGCACATGGGTAGGTTCCGAATATGCTTGTCAGTTGCTTGAAAAGTAATAATTTACTAGGGATAAAAGACCTGTTACAGTTACTACATTTTCCCAGTCAGTAGCACCAGGATCACAGAATCGCAGTTTTGAGGATTGTTTATCCTAAGGATTCCTTCAGATGTTTCCTGCTATTTTTGCACCCTTTCCTCACTCTTCTCCCCCAATAATGAAATGGATTTCCAAGCTGCAGAGAGGAGAGGAATAGTAGTGTATCTTCCTTCATTTCTTGAAATGATGGGTTTTCAGTTATCTTTGTATGTCATAGTGTATAATATGATCTGATATATTGGTTGATGGAATTTTTTTGCACTGAAATTCATTGAAGTTGTGGCATGTTTTTATCACAAAGGTCTTCCGTTGTTCTCAAGACAGATAATAGAAATTGATCCCAAAAGACAAGTTTAATCTTACCTGTATAACTAGATGTGAAAAATATTGCCTTAGGGTAGTACTCCACTGCGCTATAATATGACTTAGTATTAAGTGTTCTCTTCCGCTGTGAGTAAGATCATATCCCTTGAAATAATTACACGTGATAGAGCCTGGTAGAACAAAGTCTGGCAGTCCTCTGAGGGCAGTACATTTTTACAGAAGTTTTGATTCATAACCAGAAGTGATGTATTTGAAAAGGTATTTAATGCAGCAAATCAAAACAGTCTAAATATCATTTGTGGTGATCTTTAAAGGCCATGACTCAGTCTTTCCATTTCCTATGGAAGAATCAACTCCAGAAGAGACTACAGTCTATGTCTTGCTGTAGATATGCTGATAACTATGACCTTTGTTAACCTCTGGATGTATTAAGCTTTAAGTAAAAAATATTACGGAATCTTACATATTGTAAAATAAATTTGAGGACAGCAAAACAGAACCCCCTAAAATATCAGAATGGAATAATACTGATTAGCAGCAAAGCTTTCGGAACTGGATCTGATCATCTGTTGTCTGAGGGTTTCATATGATCCATTTCCTGACTTCTCAGTATTGGAACCAATGGGAATTTGGTCCCGGAGCCCTTTGGTCCTCAGAACAAGCGTTCTGACTTGCTACAGCTTATAAAGTGCCTTACAGACGTGCTATTATCAGAGTCTCTTTTGCAGGCCAGAAAACCGAGGCTTGGCAAAGTTAAGGGACTTAGTCATGTAGCTAATCCATATTGGAGGCAGGGTGTGAATCCAGAGTTTCCTGATTCCCGGTCCAGCACTCTATCCATTTGGAATTATTAAAAGTATTTATTCAGCTGAGGTTGTTAATGGACGATAATAGAGTTATTAAAGGACAAATGCCATTAGAACCTTTTGTTCTGCGTCTCCCTTGATACAGGCAAGAGTAACCTCCCCATCTCTTCCTCAGCTTTAGGTGGCCTCTTCAGTCAGCCTGCCCAACCCCCTGTCCAGTCTAACCAGCTGATCAATACAGCAAGTGCTCTTTCTGCCCCAACACTACTGGGAGACGAGAGAGATGCGATTTTGGCGAAATGGAATCAGCTCCAGGCCTTCTGGGGAACGGGCAAAGGCTACTTCAACAATAACATTCCACCTGTGGAGTTCACCCAGGAAAATCCCTTCTGTAGATTTAAGGTATGATGCTGATCTTTTTCAACAGCAAATAGGAGATAAGTTTATTGCGCTGTTTAGAGCAGGCCTGCACCACCCGTGGCACGCCAGGCACGCCAACGGGTTTCGGGCGGCCCGAGAAAAACGTGGAGGAAATCCTTCGGCAGCCACAGGTGGTGCAGGCCTGGTTTAGGGCAACTACCTCTTTCTCTGAAGACTAAAATGTTGCATTTCAGTGTGTGAAAGTGAAGTTGAGTGCCTTTTATTTAGTGATCTGAATATGGTATACTAGAATGCGCATGTAGAGTATTTCGAATGTTTTGCTAAACATACCTGGCCTGTATATCTGTTATCCTAACAGAAGAGTCGCTGGTTTAAAGTGGACACTGTCAGTCTTAGAATTAATTGACTTGGCCAGACTTTTGCCAATTGGCCGCCATGGCATAGAGCCGCTTATCTCCTTAGTGCTCCGTACACGGGACTGCCAGGGCCGTCCCGGCAGAGAGGGCAGAGTCATGTTGACGCCAGCTGCATTTGGTCGGTGATCTTTGTAGTGTGACGGCGCTCCGCCTGCAGCTTGTGCCTCGTCCCCCTCGGGAGGCCTGGCGGGAAAGGCCCCTCATGTGGAAGGAGAGCCGGATGCCCCAGCTCAGAGCATTGCCACGCGGGCTTCAGGGTGGACACAGGCACGTACGGCGGCATCAAGCCATACAGACCTTAACATCAAGAAGCTCACAGTCTGCAAGCAGCTAGTTGATTCAGCGGATAGAGCCCTGGCCCTGGAGTCAGGAAGACCCAAGTTCAAATCCGGCCTCAGACACAAGCCGTGTGACCCTGGGCAAGTCACTTCACCCCGATTGCCTCACACACACACACACACACACAAAAATAAAAAAACCCCAAATGGGGTCATGAAGAGTCAGACACAACTATGATGACTCAGCAACAACACACTGTCCTGGTTGTGGTAGAACCAGAGATGGATTCACGCTGTGGACACAGAGCTGACCCAGAAGGCGCTCTAGAACATATGGGGAGGAGGGCAGCTAGGCGGCGCGGTGACAGAGCACCGGCCCTGGAGTCAGGAGGACCTGAGTTCGGATCCGGCCTCAGACGCTTGTCACTTACTAGCTGTGTGACCCTGGGCAAGTCACTCAACCCTGATTGCCTCGCCGAAAGCAAAGAATTTGGTACAGTTCCTGGAACGTAGTAGGTGCTTAATAAATGCTGATTCTTCCTACCAGCGACGGTCTGGTGTGTGTACAGAGGAGCATAATATAAGGTAGGTTGTTATGAAGACAAAGGAAAGATTGAGAAAAAATGCATCCTGGGAATATTAGAGGCAGTTTTAAGGGCGAGGGAAGGGAATGAGCATTTATAGGCAATTCATCATTTGCAGAGTTGAGCTAAACATCTCTTATTTTTACATCAAAACCACTGACGTGTTAATTTTAAAAAATTCTGTTCTTCTCACTTATTCTCATAAAATGGAGAAGTGGGTATGCTGGAGCATTTAAGTGACTGGCCTGGGATCTGTAGTTTATCTTTCTGTATCCCACTTTTCTGTGCTGTCTTTCCACAGGCGGTGGGTTACAGCTGCATGCCCAACAATAAGGATGAAGATGGCCTGGTGGTTTTAATTTTCAACAGGAAGGAAGCAGACATCCGAAGCCAGCAACAACAGCTAATAGAATCCTTCCATAAAATTTTGGGAGGAAACCAGACCCTTACTGTCAATGTAGAAGGCGTGAAAACGTTGCCAGATGACCAGTACGTATACACCGTCTCGTTGTTCAGACATACTTGGCGATAATGTAGCAGCCTCATTCTGTTTCGTATGTGTTGTTCCCATGCCTCATACACTGTTCCCTTCCTGAAACGTATTTAAAATCACAGAATATTTTGTCTTTGTTTCAGTATTTATTTGCTGTTTATGGAATGCTTACATTTATTTTTCTCTTGGTTCTGAATTTCTTTACTTGCTTAAAACTGTTGATCTTAATTGCATTTAGTTAACTATCCACTTAGAGGAGAAAACATTCAGCATGCTATTGTGTCCATTAAGTGTTAGAAAAATTTCGTGAAATGTTAGGAGGTGGAATTGTGAACTGCTTGGGTATACAATCGTAATAATAAGTAATAACTGATGTTAAGGCTTTCAAATTTACTAAAATCTCATTTGAGCCTTACCACAACTCTATGAAGTAAGAACTATCAGTATTGGCATCTTCATTGTGTAGATAATAAAACTGAACTGGCTCATTTAGTTAGGGTAAGTGTTGGGAGAGAAGAGCCCAGGTTGGCCTGATCCTAAGTAGGTGCTCTCCTGCGATCTAGTTTCTTAATGAGAAATTAATTCTAAGATTTTTTTTATGAGGAATTGTTTCCAAGAAGATAATAAGCTTAAATGGTTGGGTAAAAAGTTTTGTTAAATTGACTTCATCTCAGTTCAGCCAATAGAGAGAAGTGAAGTGACTCCTGGTTACCAAGAGCTGTCCAAGGTGCTAGGGGAGGAATGAAGTTTACACATAGCACCCCTTGGGTCTTGGAGGGACACCAGAGATCTACCCAGTTAATGTGACTGCTTATTAAGTACATTAGAAGGCACCAAGCCAGTTGCTCTGTGAGGCTGAGAATGTCATTTTTGCTGGGGGATTGTGAAAGGTTTCTAGGAGGGAGAGACCATTGGATTTGCATTTTAAAGGATGGGTAGGAAAATGAGGGGAGAAGAGGGAAGGAAAGGAAAGAAAGCGTGTTTGCCTAGAGCCTGGACTATGTCCAGAGGAGTAAGATGAAGTCAGACTGAGAGGTGGTATGAGGGCACTTTGTGAAGGGCCTTGGATGCCAGGCAAAGAAGCTTCGATTTTATTTGATCATCATTAAAGAGCAAAATGGGATCAGATTTGTGGACAGAAGGAAGATGAGTCTGGTAAGGGTATGAAGGGTAGCAGAAGGAATGGAACGTTGGCTTAGCTGAGGCAGGTAGAAATGACTTTATTGGAATTGGTTTTTAGTAGTTAGCTGTGTAAATTACCTGGTTCATCCATGCAGATTGGCCGTTTCTTGCTTTTGCACTGGCCATCCCTCGTGCCTCCTCACCTCTCTTCATCTAAGATTGAGCTTAAACATCACCTTCTACACGAAGCCTTTCCTTTAATTAACTTTATTCATATTTATTCTATCCTTAAACATGTACTTGTCACCTCCATTAGAATAGAAGTTTCTTGAGTAGAGATTGATTCATTCTTTATATTTGTATCTCTCCCACTCTTGGGATCTAGTAGGTGCTTAATTAATAATTATTGATTGACTGTTACACTGTTAAAAGTTGGAGGGTTTTAATAAAGAACTTTTCATACCGTTCATAAAATTTCAAAAGTAACTTTAAATCATTTTGATAGCACAATGGAAAGTTAAAAGTTTTCTTATTTAAGGTTTAATAAAAGCCTAATATTATTCTGTACTGTAGCTGTCATTTCTGATACTAATTACATATATATCCTTTTCTAAAATCAGATATTTGCATTTATATCTACTGCTGGAAAATACAAGCTTGATATCATCTTATCTGAAATTCCTTTTCAGGACAGAAGTTGTTATATATGTTGTTGAACGTTCTCCAAATGGCACATCACGCCGAGTTCCAGCTACGACGCTATATGCCCATTTTGAACAAGCGAATATCAAAACTTCGTTACAGCAACTTGGAGTTACCCTTTCTATGACTAGAACAGAGCTCTCCCCCGCCCAGATCAAGCAGCTTTTACAGAATCCTCCTGCTGGTATGTACTACAGGGTTAAGATCTGATCAAATTATGGACTAAACAAAAACATCTATACAGAGTTTTCTGCAGAAATGCTGAAGATCACCCGTGACATGTTTGTCTCAGCTGAAGGTTTTTGGAGGATGTTAAAAAATTGAAACTGTTTTGTCCATTGCAGTTTTTAATGTTTCTGAGTTTGATCAAGAAATTTAAAGGGTTGACATTTATTTTGCTGTTTCACTTACACAAAATTGACATAATATTATTAACTAGTTAATAACCATTAACTAAGTAGTTTGTATTATTTAGTGTTATTAAAATTTATCGTGAAAGTTAAAGCAATAGAAATGGGCGTTTTCTACCATACACATCCATTACAGCTAATTGAAACATTTTTGTAAAGAACAACCACCGGAGAAGTGCCTACTATGTATTAACAAGCTTTGTCTTAAGTCTGCATGTGGCTACAAAGATGAATAAGATACAGTACTTGACCTTAAGGACTTAGTCTTGGGGAAGCATGGGGAACGAGGAGATAAGATGTTTTTACAAATAAACATAAAAATAGAAAGTAAAAGTGCACAGGAAAGTGTTAAGAAAAGTCAAAACAAGTTGGAAGACCGCTTCTTGCTGGGAACAGTCACAGAGGATATCATGGAGGAGGAGGCATCCCAGTTTAGCAGGCAGAGTTTGAGAAAGGGCTGACATGTTTGGGGTGTGTGACATATGGTGAGGGGCATGGGCATCGGGGTATCTGAGTAAAGCCGTTTTGGCCGAGCCATGGGGTGAATTAAAGGAAGTAACGTGATGTAAGTCTGAAAAGGTAGGTTGGACCCAGGTGATTATAGAGGGTCTTAAAATCCACGCTAAGGCCTGAGTGTTATTCAGTAGGCAGCTGGAAGCCATTGAAGGTCTTTTGAACAGCAAAGGGATACATCCATAGCGGTGTGATAGAAAAATGATCCTGGCAGTGGTGTGTGCGTAAAGGAAGAAGGGGACCATGAAGCTCTTGCAGGTAGTTCAGGCTGTAAGGAACGAGGATCGGTGGCTGTGGGAGAGAAAAAGGCAGAGGCAGGTATAAAGCACAATAGAATTAATGTATCATTACTAAGTGGTCATATAAATGATTCCCAGGTTTCAGTCCCACATGACTGGGAAAGTAAGGATGCCATTAACAGAGATAGGAATGAGGAAGCGCAGAAAGAACGATGAACACACATATATGGATATATGGTGCTCACACCCACACCCACCCTGTGCCTGAAGTCAAAGGGAGTGTTGAGGGCTTGATGATCCGCTGGGTCAGACGTTGGGAAAAGTCTAGAGGGGATCAGGATAGAAAAAACATGCCTGTTGTGATCGTTGGCTACTTTTTGAAATAACTGCTTAGTTAAAGTGATGGGAATTACAAAGGGTTGAAGGTGGAGAGAACGTGAAGAAAGCAGTTGTAAACTACTCTTTCTGAAAGTATAGAAGAGACAGTGAGGAGCACTGGGATAGTAACCAGAGGGCCTGGCGTGGTCAAGCAGAATTTATTTTAGAACAGGGATACCGAAACATTTTTGTAGGGAGAGTCCGAGCCAGTGATAAGGTGAGATTGATGGCGTGATGGAGGATGGGAATGGACCAGGGTTCTAGAGACCGAAAGGGGTGACGTCCAGAGCTTGGGTTTGCCTGTCCTCACCCATCCTTCCTCCTACCCCTTGCCTAGGCTAAACCACCATTCTCTTTCATGTCCTCCAGGGTCTTCCTTTCATTCGTGGAGTGAAAAGAATATTATCTTTTGGTTGACATCAGCAGACCAAACCATGTCTAGGGGAGGGCAGCCAGCACTGAGAAGGAAATTTGCCACATGTGGTTGAAGGAACTTGCAGTGTTTCTCCTCATGAGAGGACGTAGGGAAATGAGGGTGAGGAGGTCTCTTGATCCTTGAATAGAGGCGTGATTGCATCCGTTCAGGACTGGCCTCCACGTTGCCCATCACAGCCCATCCGTGCCTGTCGATCTTGTGTGGGTCTAATCCCTGTCTTCCCAGAGGGATCCATCCAATGGGCCGGAGGTTTTCCTTGCTTTTTCCTGACATTTGAGGTCCCAGTGGAGCACTTTGGGTGGACACCTGTCATCCATCGTTCTGTCCGTATGACCGGCTCATCTAGACGTTTCCATGATGACTCATGCACTTCTTCTTTGGATATATGGTGCTCATACCCACACCCACCCTGTGCCTTTCCATTGCCCTCGGTGATAAGTCATTTTTAAATCTTTGGAGACATTTGTGTTTCATGCCTTATTGCCAAAAAGCAATACCAGCAAACTATTAATATTGTAAAGCTTGTACTTTCATAGGAAACTTGAGGTCAAATCAAGGAGCTTTACAGTTTCCTGAAGGTAGCCCATCTTGCTTGCTTTCTTTAGGCTAGACCATTTGTACTCTTTGTCTCAGATATGTATCTATGTATCTGTATAGATATATAGAATTTTTGTGTGTGTATATATATGTGTATATATACACACACACACACACACACACACACACACACACACACACACTCTCTCTCTCTCTCTCTATAGGGTGTCCATCCAAATGCATTTTGAAATCTGAACAGTAGATGTTCTTCATCCGCTTGGTCTTTCCTGTGTGGATGGTTAGGCCAAATTCCTTTGAGTGATTAAAAATCCTTCAGAGAGGGCTCCGCAGTGATCTGGAGCTTTGTGCATTCAGTCCAACATCAGAAAAGTGGAGCAAGTGGAGGACCTCATGATCCACGGGGAAAACTTTTTCAGTTTGTCGTCTGCTGGATCTCTTCCATCCCCGTGTGCGAATAATTCTGGCGGCATACATCTCCTTGTCCCACCCCTTGTTGTCACTCGTGTCTGACTCTTTGTGACCCCATTTGGGGTTTTCTTGGCAAAGTTACTGGAGGGGTTTGCCATTTCTGTCTAACTTACTTTGCAGATTAGGAAACTGAGCATACAGGGTGAAGTGACTTGCTCAGGGCCACACAGCCAGGTTTGAACTTGGGTCTTCCTGACTCCAGGCCCAGCTCTCTATCCACTGAGCCACCAAGCTGCTTCCTGTCATTTATCTCTTACCTGATGTTTATTGTCAGAGGATTGCTGAACAGGATTATTTCTGTTGATCTTGAGATTTTTCTTCAAATATTTGGGTGTTGTTATATAGAAGAAAGATTAGAGTTATTCTGCTTGGCTCCAGAGGATAAAAATGGAACCAATGTTTAGAAACTATAGATGATGAATTTTCACTTAAAATAAGAAAATAAGTAGAGCTATCCACAAAAATCGACGGGCTTATTCCAGAGGGATTACGTTATCAAACTCTGAAGGTATTTAATGCAGAGATGAAGGGTTTACTTGTCGGGGATTTTGTGCTTCAGGTAAAAGGTTGGACGAGAGGACCTCTGAAGTCCCTTCCAACCCTGGGGAGGCCAGTTCTATAGAGAACACAATAAGCCAAGCCAGGCCAAGGCATCTGTGAGCCTGTGGTGAGGGTCCCATCCTTTCCAGGCTCGCCGCACTCTAAGACAGAGTATGTGGCTGTGCTAAGGCCTGTGTGCCATGCAGAGGCATTAAAGATGTGTAATTGCTTGGATAGCCTAAATTAGATTGCCTGCTATCTTGGGGAGTGGTGGGGATGGAGAGAGAAAAATTTGGAACTCAAAATCTTATAAAAGATGGATGTTAAAAGCTACATTTACATGTAATTGGAAAAAAGATACTATTTACCAGAAAATGTGTATTTGTAATGAAATATTCAGTTGAACCCTTTCTTGTGTTCCTTCACATCCCGTGTGCCCCTTCCTACCTACCTTGCCTATTTATAGTTTTTTGAACTGAATACCCTAGAACAGGAAATGCTTTATTCTATAATTAGTAATAGATTTAACATTTTCAGAGACCTGCCTACCTTTTGTGTTTTCCCTAAGTTTATTCTCTAAAACTCTGGTTGCTAATATTTTACTCCCAAACTTAGAACTTCTGACACATAGTCAGACTCTTTTGAATTTTTTGCCGTTCTGAATTTTTATGCATCATGTTGTGTTGTGAGTTGTGTTGTGAATTTTGTGGTGAAATACGAATTTTAATAGAACTTCGTAGTGATCCTTTACGACACAGAAAAATAAAAATGCTTTTTACGATCAATTTTTTCTTTATTTTCCCATTATGGTCTTTTTGAAAAAAAATGCATCACTGTAGGCTTATTCTTTATTTAATATACTTGTCAGAAGTAATATATTCAGAAAGATTTCTGAATATGTTAAAAACATAATAAATATATAAATATACTACAAATATAATAAAAATACCTTTTTTTATTCTATGGTAGGTGTTGATCCAATTATCTGGGAACAGGCCAAAGTGGATAATCCTGATTCTGAAAAGTAAGTCTTTCTTGATGGTAATAATTAATTTGATGGTATTAATAGTGCTTGCTACTATGAAGCAGGATAGAGTCCAAGAAAGTGTTAATGAGTGAAATTTATTTTCAATGGGGTTGGTAAAATTTATTCTCATGAATGTTTGATTTTTGGAGCTCAGGAGGCAATCTGGTATGGGGGAAGAATATCAGACTTGGGAGTTAGGAAATCTAGGCTCTAGTCCCAGAGCTGCCGCTGACTAATGGTGTGACCTTGGGTAAGTAAAATGGAGTTGGACCAAGGTCCCTGACCTCTCCGAAATTCTTTTGTTCTAATAAAATCAGCATGGTGTAATGGCTGGAGTTGGCCTTTCAGTCTGGGAGACATGGGTTCAAGTCCTGTCTCCGACACATGATAGTATGCATACTCAGCGCCCCAGGGAGTTTCCCTGTGTGAGGCCAAAGGTTGTTGATCTGGGTTGGTAAAGGGATTTTCCTCACCAGAGGTTCCTCAGAGCGCTGAAATCACAGGTCTCAATCAGCACCCTTCGAAGCTCCAAGGGAAATCAGCAAGTGTATTAGGCATGAGATTGTGACGATAAATACCATCTTATCTGGTAAAGACCTTTACGTTGTTGGTCGTTTATAAGTGTCTGCGTGGAAATTAAACACCTTGTTTCTGTAGGCTAATTCCTGTGCCGATGGTGGGTTTCAAAGAACTGCTCCGAAGACTGAAGGTCCAGGATCAGATGACTAAGCAGCATCAGACCAGATTAGATGTAAGCACTTAGGTTTTCATCCCCTGGTACGGGGAGGGGTACCACGAAGTCGTAGAGAAACGGGATTCCTGTCATTGTACACGCCCTACCATGTCATGGTAAGGCTGAAAGTCTCAGGAAGGGTAATACACTATGCATTTATCAAGGAGTAATTGTAGCTTTTCACTGTTGCTTCCTTTGTAGCACACAGGTGTGTGAGAACACGAAATCGTCCAATTATTTTATGAATTTAGAATTGACATTTCTTTGACTAGCACGGAAATACTTTGAACGTGATCCTCTAAATGCCAGCTGTTGTAACAATGGAAGCAGCTTGATTAATTGGTCACTTCTGATTCCAGGAAGATAGTGCACACTTTATCATGAAACTTCACATATTAAAACAGTTGCTTTGTACCTCCTGTAGTGAGTGTTGTCATGAATGTTGCTTGTGATAGGATTAATGAAGAACAAGAAAAATTTTAACAATATTTTGAATGGTTAGATCTGCTTCAGAGCACTTTACTTCCCTCATTTGATAGAATCACAGAGACTTGGAGATGAAACAGAGCTTAGAGGCTCGTCTAACCCAACGTCCCACTGAGCAGAGGAGCCCTCTCTAGCAGCTGACACACAGTCACCTGGTGTGGGCTCAGTGTGATGGGGACGTCTTCACTTCATAGTGAACCCTGCAGTGCCTTCCTCTCCGTAGCTTCTGTGCATTTTGTGCTTGTTCGGCTCCTTGAAACAGTGAGAGAATTAGCCCCTCTCATGTGTGATTACAGCTTCATTTCCACATGGGTCCCTTCCTCCTCCTCTGCCCAGGGAGCCTTTCCTCGTAACAAGGACAAAACACAAAAGTTCACCCAGGCCGTCACGCCTGCAGGACTCCACCCTGAGGTTCCTGCCTCGTCAGTGACACGTCCGTGGGCCAGACTCGGCCCCTGGAATGACAGACAGGGTGTTCTTTGCATTTCCTGGTTGTCGTGTGTGTGTGTTGTTTCCTGCTTTTGCGTCCTTGGGTCACAGCAGCTCGGGCTCATCTTCCCGGGGCTCTCTTGACTTCTTCCTCTGCGCTCCTTACTGGTGCAGTAACCTCTGTGTAGTCCCAATCAGAGAGCGCTTAGTTTGTGGCTACCACCAGAAATACTTGTGTAAACATTCTGGTTTGTATGGGACTTTTCCCCTCACTTTGACCTCCGGGATCAAATTCTGATCGCTTTTTTAAAGCACGTTTTTCCAGAGTGGTGTCCCCAGTTCGTGGTTGCGCCAACAGTATACTAAAGTGCTCATTGAAGACAGTTGTTCCTCTCCATGAACTCCAGTTGGTTGTGGGGAGGGTGCCCTAAATCTGCCTCTTTGCCCCCCTGGGAGGCTGCAAGGTCACCTCCCCCTCTCTGAACCTCCCAAGCTTGCTGGTTGTGTTAGTGGGGAGTTCAGTGGGCCTGCCACAGGCCCCTGGTGGGAAGGACGACTGCTTCTGGTCTGTCTCTACCATGATCACTTAAAAGGCAGTTCCTGAGTTTCTAGTTTGATGTGATTCTGGGTTTCCTAACAAAGATTTTAAAAAAGGTGGAAAAAAAAAAAAGTTCTGCAAATCCAACCAACAGATGCGTCATTTGTGAGAGCACGTTTATACGGTATCCCAAACTAACTCAAAATCGCCTTCACATACCACAAGGAAGGGAAGGCAGCACACGCACTTCCCCATGCTATGGATTGTTCTTTGTTGTTAGAACGAGACAGTGGCATGGCTCTTTCTAACCTAACATTGTCTGCAGGCTGGATGTGGCATGGTTCTATACAGAGGAGCTAGCCTTCTTCACCAGTTTAATGCACCCCTGTCTCCACAGAACCTCATCTTCCTTGGAGTGATCAGGGGCCAGGTGAACCTCGGCTATCTCACTTGCTAGACTTGTGGCATTTTAGTATCTAATAAATTGTGGTGTCCAGCACTACTGCGGTTTTGACAATTTAAAAGTGAATCAAAGTACCATTGTAATAATTGTACTTTTTTTTTTTATTCATAGATTATATCTGAAGATATCAGTGAGTTACAGAAGAATCAGACCACCACTTTGGCTAAAATAGCGCAATATAAGAGGAAACTCATGGAGCTTTCCCATAGGACCTTGCAGGTAACAGAACAACAAGGAGTCGCTTTCAGGGCTGTTCAAATCCAGTTATCTGATTGAAAGACGATTCCAGCGTCCTTTTCTTTAAAAAATGAAAAGGCCCGTTCCAAGTAGACGTACGTGAAAGGCTTGTCTGTACCCTTTCCGTCACATTTGGTGCGTTTTAGTTTATAGAAAGGAGAAGACCCAAAGCTTGGCCAGAGGAAGGGATGTGCTCATCCGTGGCCCAGACACCTGTCACCAGCAGGAGACGGCACCGGCGGTGACGGCCGCTGCTCGAACTCTGCTCGCTGCTTTCTTTTCCTCTTGTTAACTCTGCTGATCTTTTTGGTTTCTCTCTTCCTCTTACTTGTTTGTTTCTCCTTTGCTTTTGTCTTAGAAACTCAGCCCCCGGCAGAGGGCATTCTTGGTCTAGTGAGGGCCATCTGAACGTTGACCGCCATTATTACTGTTGCTCTCGTGGCTTGTGGGAGCACAGGAGTCAGAACTATCAGAGACTCGAGAGGTCATCTTGTCTAACGCCTGCCCGAGGCCAGATTGGTGAAGGTCAGCCGTCACCCAGGCAATAAGTAGGACTGATCTGAACTTAGCTTCTTGTAGCTATAAAGCAACAAAGATTAATGTGGACTTTAAAAAAAAAAAACAACTAAATTCTAGGATATTAGAATGGGGATCACCCCTTAAAACTTGAAGGAAGTTTTAGGACAAATTAAAATTCCTTCTTCACACTTTAGGTACTATTTTAAATGAATGTCTGTAGACTTTTATTATATGGAACATACATATTTATCAGCCTAAGAGATAACATATCTGTATACACACAGTCACGTTAGCAATGGTGTAAGGAAGTGCTTAGGGTATTAGTTAGACTTGGAATCCTGAAGAGCAGGGTTCAGATTCAGCCTCAGACATTCAATAGCTGTGTGACCTTGGGCAGGTAAGTCATTTTAACTTCCTTTGGACTCAGTTTCCTCCGCTATAAAATAGGCATCATAATACCTACCTCCCAGGATTGTTACGAAGATCAGATAAGATAATGGATGTCCAGTGCTTTGCAAAGTCCATGGTGCTGTTTGTAAGCGTGAGCTGCTGCTGCTGCTGCTGTTCTAGTCAGAGAGCCTGGCTGCAGATGCTGCCTCTGCCGCTGATTGGGACCTTGGGAAGATCACTTCCCCTCGGCAGAATGGGAGGGTTGTCTGTCCGGTAGCCTCTTCGGTCCCTTCTGGCTTTAAATCTAGGATTCCATGAATTAGCCTAAAGCGAGGCACGAAGAGCTCGCGTGCCCCCGGCTGAGACTTAACGCCAGGCTGGATGAACCGCTGACCTACACCAGCTGGACGTTTGTGTACCTGAGCCGAGTAAGACGGTCACTTACTCAAGTCCAACAACTTTTCCAAACATCTTCATTCCGGGCAATTCAGATTTTGATTAAGGGAAGCTAATTTGGATTTGAGATAGTCTAACATGAAAGCGGCTTTTTTTTTTTAATTTTCCAGGTTTTCAGATATGCTCCTCCCCCCACCCCCTCACGTGCCAGTGGATTTTTTTTGTAATAGAGGAAAAGAACAAAGTACAGTTTAACACAGAGGTGACATTCTCCGGGGCACAACGGAAGAGGAAAAAGGCCTTCTCACTAGTCACGTGTCCCTCCTGTTGTAGGTCCTGATTAAGCAGGAAATCCAGAGGAAGAGCGGCTATGCCATCCAGGCTGATGAGGAGCAGCTGCGAGTGCAGCTTGATACCATTCAGTGTGAACTCAATGCACCTACACAGTTCAAGGTAAGCGAGGCCCGGCGCTCGCACAGGACCGGGACCTAAGCAGGCCCGTCTGAGAAAGTTCACGTGGAAGGAAGCTTCCGAGGAAGGGCCGGCTCCACGCTCTCATCTCGGCAGACGGAGAGGCTGCTTCTTGAGAACTTCCACGGTGGAATAAACACTGGCCCAAGCACAGGCAGACTCCGGAAGTTAGACTGTTTCCAGCTTCACCGTGACCCTAAGTCAGTGGTGCTTTTCAGTAGCTGGAGAGATTTCTATTGCTTTTGAGGGGGAGCCTTACCAATGAATGTTGTGTGGGCCAGACCACATACAGACGCGGCCATTTTGTGCCTTTCTGTTCTCAGGGTCGCCTGAATGAGTTGATGTCCCAGATCAGGATGCAGAATCACTTTGGAGCTGTGAAATCTGAAGAGCGGTATTACGTAGATGCGGATCTTCTGCGGGAAATCAAGCAGGTGAGTGTTGCACCGGACATGGATGGAAGACGACTTGATTAGCACGAAGGTCTGAGTTCTGTTGTTACTTCCATCAGGACGGGACAGATTGTCTCGCTCCCCTTTTTTCCCCTCCACTATTGTTTTGAAAGCATATTCTAAAAATCCATAGGGAGGGGCAGCTAGGTGGGGCAGTGGATGGTCAGGAGGACCTGAGATCAAATCTGGCATCAGACCAAACACTTGACACTTACTAGCTGTGTGACTCTGGGCAAGTCCCAGTTGCCTCCCCCCCGCCCCCCCCCAAAAAATAATAAACCAAAAAACCTGTAGGGAAGGGTAAAAAAACTTACAGGGCAGCTAGTGGCACAGTAGATAAGAGTGCCAGGCCTGGAGGCAGGAAGACCGGAGTTCAGATCCTGCCTCAGACACTTCCTAGTTGTGTGATCCTGGACAAGTCACTTAACCCTGTTTGTTTTAGTTTCTTCATCTGTAAAATGAGCTGGAGAAGGAAATGGCAAACCAGTCCAATATCTTTGCCAAGAAAACCCCAAATAAAGAGTTGGGGACAACTGAAAAATGACTCAACAATAATAACAAAAAACCTTAGCTAATAAATGTTCTTTGTAGGAAACTTGAATTTTAGGCCATCTAGGTCAGAGGTATCAAATTTGGGGGCCACGTGCTCCCCACTCAGCCTGAGCCAGATTAAAATGTAATTGGGAAATGTTTTAACAAAAGTTAAAGATGCAATACAACATGAATGATGTTAATTTGTGGTTTTCTAAGTCAATGTGTAGCCTGTGGGATCCATTTCTATTTGAGTTTGACCCCACTGATCCATGTGTTTTTGAAGATGCTTATAAAACAGGTGTCAGGTAATAGTTTGTTAAGCGGCTGACAAAGTTTTGCTGTCTGGCTGTCAAGCCTGATGATTTCTGTTCTTTGGGGGCTGTCAGACTAAACATTTGCAGTAGAGTACAGTGTGACCAGCTCTGGCAGTTAGTTGGGCACAGTGGGCACTGTCACTTAAAAACTAAACAATTAGCTGTCTTTTATTGGTCGGCATTTCTAGTTGGTATGTCTGCCACAGAAGGCTGTGAATGCTACAAGCAAAGGAAACGGTGTTCAGGACAGAGGCCATCTCTGTTTATCATCCCTTAGTGGCATAAATGAGAGGCCAGAAGACCTGACTGTTAGTTTGACCCCCCTGCCTATGCTGTAGGCGGCATAGCCCTGGGCCAGTCAGAGCCTCAGATGTAGACCAGCTGCCTGATGTGTGCTGGTCTAATAGGAAGTGAATGCGATGAAATCATTTGTCTAGACAGATAATCAAGGTATGGATACACAGGAATGATCCCGTGCCTTTTCTAACACAGATTTCCTCTCTCTTCTTCAACCGTTCTAGCATTTGAAACAACAGCAGGAAGGCCTCAGCCACTTGATTAGCATCATCAAAGATGATCTGGAGGACATCAAGTTGATAGAACACGGGTTGAATGAGAATGTCCACATCAGAGGAGGCGTCTTCAGCTGACGCTGCACAGCCTTCTGTCTGTCGGGTGTGGGAATTGACAAGTTATTGACAAATTATTGTTTATAAATTTTGAAATAGCATAGCTATCTCAACGGCTTTTCAAATTTGACCTTTGAAAGGTTTGTACCTAAAAACTATTTACTTTAAAATGAAGAAAGGTTCTAATTACCAATAAGATATGTACTATTGTACATTTTACAACAACATTGTTGAAAAATCAGTGTTTGAAGATTAATCTCCATTGAGCCTTTACTATGCTTTTTCACAGCCAATAAAAATATGAAAACAAGTGAATTTTGCAATACAAAATAACTGAAGGATAACCAGGCTGTTGCAAATCTGTACGTTGTAGAGTAAATGTGTGTCAGTTTTTCTATTTGTGTATGCCATCTTTGGGAAGAGTGAAGAAAAATCTGAAGAGTTCTTAGTCATTGGTGTTTTCTTTTGGGGACTACAAGGGTTTGAAAGCTATTTTTATATGGTTTTACTTATTTGCAAAATGAGCCCAAGCCCTTGAACAAGAATTACTTGTCTATTTGACAACATTGTCCTTTATTTTTTTTTCCTTTTTATTTCTGTAAAAGATGGAAACTTCTTATAAATAAATTCTTGCTTTGTGATAACTTTAATATAATACTGTCTGGTATTTGTTTATTTGGATACTGATATGTGAACATTTATATTCTACAAAAATTGTTTGATCTTGTATCATTATTATTATTTATTTGTGTACCTGGCTCTAATTTTTGTATAAGCCCCAAGTTTGTTTTTTTTTTTAAGGCAGTTGGGGTTAAGTGACTTGCCCAGGGTCACACAGCTAGTACGTGTCAAGTGTTTGGTCTGGCTCCGGATTTGAACTCAGGTCCTCCTGACTTTAGGGCCAGTGCTCTATCCACTGCGCCACCTAGCCCAAATTTTCTAAGATCACAAAGGGAAGCAGTATTTTGGGTGCTTTTCTTAACGTTGAAGCTGGCAATACCAAACCGAATATGGAGGATGTTGTTAAAATCTTATACCATGATAAATTAAAAATGGATACATGACCTAAATATTAAAGGTCATACCATAAAAAAATGAGCAGCAGTTCACATGCCTTTCATAGGTCTGGGCAGGAGATGAAAATTGTTTACGGTAGAGGCAATTTCAAAAGATAAAACGACTTAGATTATATGAAATTGAAAAACTTTTGCATAAAATTAATGCATCTGGAGTAAGAGAAGCAGTCCACTGGGGAAAAAGTTATTTGTAGCAAATGTCTCTGATGATGGATATCTATAGAAATATGTAAGACCAAAAGCCATCTCCCGCCAGAGAAATGGTCAAAGGATATCAATAATCAGTTCAATAGAATTAAAAATCATTAGCCTTATGAAAGAATGCCCCAAATCATCGTTATGGGAAATGTAAATCGGGGCAGCTAGGTGGCGCAGTGGATAGAGCACCAGCCCTGAAGTTAGGAGGACCTGAGTTCAAATCCAGCCTCAGACCAAACATTTGACACTTAATAGCTGTGTGACCCTGGGCTAGTCACTTAACCCCAACTGCCTAAAAAAAAAAAATGTAAATCAAAAAACATCTTTGAGGTTTCCTAGAGATGACAAAAGATGAAACAGTTAATATGCAAAGAGATGCCGTCGTGCATGTTGGTGGAGCTGTGAATCGACTCCATGATTCTGGGAAGCAATCTGAGATTATGCAAACAAATTGGCTACAGAAGACTAGTGTTGTTTGGCCCAGAGTGAATGTCCCCAAGGGAGATCTCTGAAGGAAAGGAAAGGTTCTCTATGCAACAAAGTATCTGCCCCAGCATTCCCTTCAGACTGCCTATGATAGTGAAGAGTTAGAAACAAAGCAGATGCCAGTTGACTGGGGAATGCGGTCATGTGCGGACATGATCCCAGAGAAGCACAGACAGCTGAGTCAGTGTGCACCCTGCGGTAGGCACGGGGGATACAAGAACAAATGAGGAAACAGTCTCCACTTATTAGGAGCTTGCGTCCTAATGGGAGACAAGTTTAATTCAATACGGGGCAGACTGGGAGGGACAGCACCAGCTGAGGTCAGTATCAGGAAAGACTTCAGGAGTGGGGGATGACCAGTGCCCTGGCAGGAATGGAGAGAAGGCTGGTTTGGCTGGATCACAGGGTCCAGTGAGGCTGAAGGATAATGTGGGGCAGGCTTGTGCAGTGCAGGGCTTTAAAAAACTACACAGGGATTTATATTTTGTCCTGGCACAACAGGAAGCCACTGGAGTCAGCGGAGAGGACAGCCATGGTCAGAGCAACGCTGAAGGAAAAGTGCTTTGACGGCAGGACGTGGGACGGCCTGGTGAGTGAGGAAGTGGGCGTTGCTTTCTCGTTTACTGCCGCCAGCGCCACCTTCACGGGCACCCTCTCGGGCCTCCAGCTGGCCCCGCCAGCAGAACAGTCCTGTCCCCTCCTCGCCTCTGCCGTGGCGTTCCCACACGCCTCCAGGCCCAGGACAGCTTCCCACACGGCCTCCTCAGCTCGTTCGTTCGTTCTCACTTGAACAAAAATAACTCGCCTCGAGGTAGCAAAGACCGGGCCGCCACGCAGGCCTGTGAGCCCGAGAGCGCCGACAGCCGCCTCAGCGGTCTGGTCTGGCGTCCATCCGCACCTCATTCCAGCTGCTCTGTTCTGAGGCCCCTTCTGAAAAGGCCCCAACCCGCAGAGACCGCTTTGAGGCGTACCTATAACTGATAACGGCTATCTATGGTGTCTAACCAGAAACCTGGCTTGGTATGGACCAAGCACACGCCCTCCATCAAACTGGCCTTCCGATGGCTCGCCTGGGCCCCAAGGACGGAATCCGTATTACTGTGAAGAGGCAGAGGAGAAGCTCGGTACCATGCCTGCCATACTCTACGCTGGAGTCAAAACTGGGGGGACAAATGCTGATGTAATGCCGGCTCACCCTGTGAAAGGACTGGCTTTCCCGTGTCATCCTCCATTGTAACATTTGATTCCAAGCCAGTCCCAGGAACCGGAATGGAGCTGGTTGCCACACTAAGTTCCACCAAGGGCATGAATGAGAGAGATGAGGATGGTCTGAGGTACAACGAAGCCATCAAGAGACTAAGTAAGTGGCACCAATATGGCAGCCAAGCCAGTGGCCCCAAAGCGGGTCTGTTCGACACGCTGCCCTGTCATGTTTCCACAAGACATCCAACATCAGCGAGTTCTCTGCTGGCGTGGCCAAGCGCGGCACCAGCATCTGCATTCCCAGGGTGGCTGGCTGGGAGGAGAAGGGCTACTTGGAAGATCGCCACCCCTCTGCCAACTGTGACCCTTACATAGTGACAGAGGCACTCATCCCGACCTGTCTGCTCAGTGAGACAGGAGAGGAGCCCTTTGAGTATAAAAACCGAGTGGACTAGACCTACAGACGCCTTCTGTATCCCCCACCCCACAACCCTTTCTCCATGCCCTCTTCCAAGTTTCCTTTCTAGATGTAACTATACCATGCCAGGGGTACCACGGTATTTTGTGCCCACAGGAAGTAAAAAACAAGAAGCCTGGTCCCAGGAATAAATGAAAAGACCTCTCCTGTGCCTTTGCAGAGCGGGTGTGGAGTTTTACATGGGTAGGTTCTTCTTCTATGTATTGATTGGCTTTGTGGAATTTTTTCTCTTCCTCCCTTTTCCCCAACATTCTTTGTGATAAAGGCTGGCTCTTTAGGAGGGAGAGTGGGAGGCATACAGGGGTAAATTCAGGAGGTGTAAAAACAAATAATTTTAAAAATCCTGCATATTCACAAATTATAGATGATTAAAGGTGAGCAGCACTTTAACACTGAAGTTTGCAATACCAAACCAGCCACGGCGGGTGCTGCCCTCAATCTTTCATCGTTAATAGTGAAACGCTACTCTTTTGGCTAGAAGAATGGAAAGGTTTCTGTACTGGAAGCCACCTGTCACTCAGAATAAAGTGGCACCTGGTGGTCCGCTCTCCTCCTCTCTGAACCACAGGAATAACAACTCCCACTTGGTCGGCGCCTGAACTTTGGCCTGTGAGGGCGGCCAGGTTCTTCCCTCTGCCGAGGCTCAGGCTGTGAGCTCCGAGGGCAGTGCGGTCACTCGGATACTCCTCCGACTCCACACCCAGCGCTTGCTTCCGGTCCTTTTCCATTCCATCATGCTCCTCCCCACAAGCTACTGCATTAAGTGGATGAGTCCCCCTTCGCTTCGCTGGTTTGAATTAGGGACATTTACAGCAGGATTTTCCTTGAAATGAAAAGGATCAAGTTTTCCCACCTTATGGATTTGGAGGCAAATGGCAATGCAGATGGGTGACTAAGTCAGAGTCCACGCTACGGAGGGAAAAGGGAAGTCCAGCCATAAACTATCCAAATGAGATCGTGGAGGGAGAGTGTTTCATTCACCAACAAGGTTGCCTCACGGTCCTTTCGCATGGTTAATTTTCCTAGCTTGGGGCACTAAGGCAGTGACTTATGGGGCCGATCGTAGACACATTCCCCGAGTCCAAGGACCCACTCCTCTGCACAAATGGTCAGGAGCACGAACCACGATGCCACCCTGCCCGAGCCAGGCTCCATATGTAAAACCTGCTCTAGGTGCAGTAAAGAAGCTTTTTGTTCAGGACTCGTATTTAGGTGTTCTGCTGCTATGAGATGGATCAGCAGGCAATCACGGTGGGAGGAAGGGGTTACGAGTTCTAATTTCTGAATAGGAAATCATAAATTCAAAGGCTTACAGCACCCTTTTAAAAGTGCTACAAACTTGAAACAAATACCTTTAGAGTTCTTGAAGATAAAACAAATTGAACCATAACGTTCATTTGCATTCCTTTTTAAAAAATTAAATGTTTCAAAACTATATATTCTGATATTTCAAATACATAAGATTTTATAGAAGACCCAAGACTAGTTTAGACTGAAAATGCTTACATTTATTTCACTTTCTCAAGAACCGAACTAAAAGTCATTTGTTACAAAGCAGAAACTAGACTTAGGATTCTACCTTTCCTTCCCAGGTCAGACAGGCTCGTTAGGTAGTTGTAGATCATTCAAAAGAACAATTCTGACAAAATCATTATCTTATTTGCTGAGTATAAGGTCAACAAAATGGTTCTGTATAATTTCAAGTCAAAGTTACAAAATGCATTCTGGCTGAGCCCTCTAAGACAGCTAAGTCCGCCTCCGTGCCATGATTCTTTGAAGAAGAATATTTACGTCAGCAGATGGAGTGGTCCCAGTCTGGGCTGCCCTGGTACTATCTCATGCCCCCTTTTAACACCCATGGAGCGCATGTCTCTTACAGTTTAATATTCTCCCCGGGCTTGTAGTTACTGCTACGTGTCTTAGCTTTCCTTCCCAACTGGAAAAACTCTGTGAGGGCAGGCACAGTATGACCTCTTTGCATCTAGTGAAGATAGAGAAACTGGCACTGATGGGCTCGTAGAGAAAACACAGTCCAATCCTTTTATTTTACAATGAAAACAACTGAAGGTCACGTACACAGCGTCCCCCAAAATGCCCAGCACGTTACCTTGTACATAGTAGTACTGAATAAGCATTCAGTGAATACTGGTCAAAGGCATGTGGATTATTAAAAAAAAAAAGTTATTAAACTGAAGCTAGCTATGATTATTAGAGCTGTTCAGCATTAACATTAAAAGTTTGCCAAAATTTCAGTTCTACTATTCTTCTTAGTCTTTTACTGAATTCATTCAGAAACACCAAATTTATACAATCATAAGATTAATACATAAACTCACAAGTGGAAGATTAATAAGTATTCTAAGATATCCTTACTACTAACATAGTGGGCTTCTATTTACACAGAGGATTACACAGAGTTTGATCGGTAGAAAACATGAAGAATTTCACTCACATGCCTTTCAATTTCCTTAAGTAGTCAATAATGAACAACAATGCATTTTAAGTAACGAAGGGCCTGTGCAGATCAGAGACGAGCAAAGAGCTTCACAACGAAAGCACCGAGCAAAAGAACAAGCCTCCCAACAGGGGCAGAGGCCCCCCGCCAAAGGGGGTGGGAGCTGACGCCGCGGTCGGGCGGTGGCTGGGAAACGGAACGGGAGCGGGAGCTGTTGATGAGAAAACACACACACACACACACACACAGACACGCACACACACGCGCACACACACACACGCACGCACGCACACACAGACACGCACACACACGCACACACACGCGCACACGCAGACACACACACGCACACACACACACAGACACGCACACACACGCGCACACACAGACACGCACACACGCGCGCACACACACACACACGCGCGCACACACAGACACACACACGCACACACACGCACGCACACAGACACACACACACACGCGCACACACACACACACACACACACACACACACACACACACACACGTCGGTAAGATGGGCTGGAGCAGCGTCGGGCTTTGCCAAGCAGGGGCCCAGCGCTTCTACCCGAAGGACACGACCCTTCAGTCTTGCGACGGGCGCCAGTCCCGCAGAATCATCCTCTCCAACGCCCTCACCTGACGCGTTCCGAGGCTTTCAGGGAGAGCCCGCATGTGAACGCTCAAACTACCCGGTGGCACGCTTCTCTTTAAAGATACAAAAGACTGTCACCTCCGCGGTAGCCAGATAAACTGAGGCAAAACGCTTCCTTTCCTCAGTCGTCTAGTTAGGTATAGAAATATGTACCAGCGCGGCCCACATGTTTCTTTCTTGTTTTTCGCCCTTTCTGTGTGCTTTTGAAGGCTGAGACCCCATTATTCCTGCTCCCTACACACCACCAGGCACTCTAGGGACTGGCCCCTGGTCATCTGCTTAAGGTAGGGGAGCACCTGCTTCTCAGGATCATCTACCTCATGGTTTCTCTTCATTCAAGTATCTCAGCTGAGATGCTTGAATGTTTTTATATGGGACTGGGTAAGGGACAGGCCAGAGGCACAGCACGCAAAAGGCTCTTCTTCTGAATATCACCTGATTTTAAAATGTCCTTCGAATGTTATTTAAAAGCTTCCGGTAAAACTAAGCCATTCTACCACAACGTGGCCAGCTACTGCTGCATGCCCAACAGAAGGCTGGAGCAGCCGCGACAGGGCCCGACGAGGAGGCTCACGGGCACTGGCATGTGTCAGAAGAGCCACTGCGGAGGGGGCTTTCCAGTCTAACCTGGCGGTGTTGAAGGATGCCGAAAACCACCATCTCAGCAGACACGCAGGTGACTGAGAGACGCGGCTCACTGCCCCCCGCCAGTAAAGTGGGAGGCCAGGTTTTTGCTCCAGGCTCCTGGAAGCTGGGCCTCAGAGGCTGTACAACCCAACAGGTAGCAGTATTTCAACTCTGACTCTATTTCTCTGTTCTTAAAGTGTTTTTAAATCTTCCCTTGCATGAATTTTTATAAAATATTTATGTGGTACAGTATTCTTAAAAAAATTTTCCCAAACAGCAGAAATAGAGGTGTTAACTAATTGAAGAAATAATATTTCTTACCAGGATTGTCGAAATAGTCTAGACTTCTCTGACCTAAGGAATAAACGCATTTTCAGTTAATTATGTTGTACTTGGCTATATATGTTAGCTCGGCAATGGAAAATTCTTTTATAAAATCTAGCAATCAAAAATCCCTTTATAAAATCCAGTTATAGACACCAAGTAATAACGATTTTTATGCAGCTATAATTTATGCAATTTTATATGTAAACCAGATATGATTTTATATATTATATGTACATGTTACCTATGTATTGTGTATTACGTGTGGCTATCTTTCCCCTGAATTCTAGACCTTCTGTAACAAGTTTATAGGCAAAGACAAGAGTTACACAGAATGGATGAGCATGGCTAGCTCTGACCTACATTACAGATCTTAAGTACTAGACTCAAGCAACCTCTCAAGTGGGCTCCTACTGAAATTCATTACTAAAGAAGAAGAGACACGGTGAGGACACAATCCAACTTCGAGTTCCATCTTAAGTCAAATCCATTTTTCTCTATTGGCGTTGCTTCAAAGGCTAGGAAACGGAGTATTTTTACTTTAATTGATTAAATACATATATTGCATACCCCTGTTGGATGCTAGAGGAGATGAAAAGTTTATATACATACTGTCCCTGCCTCCAGGAGGCTTACTAGTCTAGTAATGGGTCAGTATACGTGCAAATCATTTTAACACAAAAATAATACATGACATGGACAGACAAGACATGCAGACAGGTGCTATACGAGGTCCAGAGGCTGCATCATCCGGCCAGGCTCCCTGATGTTTGACAGGTGAGAGTGGCTGTCTTTGCCCAATCAGGAAGCGGGTTTGAAGGTCCCTCTCCACTCTGCAGCCCTCCGTCACTCCATCCTGAGTGACATCCTGGGTTGTGCCCAAGGACTCATCTGGAAGCCTAAACATACTGCCACCCATGGAGGTATTCCTAATCTGCTCCACCACATGTAACAGTGCTTCTACTACCTACACATCAGGCCTTACACCACAAGGATCCTGCCCGGACCAACAGTAGCACCTCCGACTCCAGGCTCTACAGTGAGCGTATTCTGTTCTGCCATCTTGGAACGGGGCTAAGACACCACCAACGAATGGAGTTCGGGCAGATTGCCTGATCAATCACTGGCTATTTGCTGACTGAGATGGCCATCCAGATCATCTCAGTCCCTCTTCTTGCCTGATGTTTATGAGAGAACAAAATGGCACCACCCGTCATCATTAGAAGAACTCTGAATATGAACCTCAGTTAACCTGTTTTGTGGCTAGCAAATTCCTAACTCATCTTTTAACTCCTGCAATTAAGATGAAGGCTGCCTTTGCCCCCGGGATTTCCCAAGGAGCCTGATCCAGTCCACTAACCTGTGACCTTTATTTTAACTTGGGAGACTCTCCGGAGCTGGGAGCCCTGAAGCTAGCCTGATTACCTCTGCCTCTGTCCTCACAGAAGCCCTGCATCTAGCCCATCGATTCCTTGCTCCTCAGTTTTCTGGGGGAGTACTGGTCCAGAAGTAGGCCTATCCCAAGGCCTTCTTCAGGAACCCAGAGGCCACTCCCAGATTATATCCACCTTGAACTGCCAAAATCCTGCCTCCTGTCCAGACTCTCTCAAGTTGTCCTCTCCTTTGCTCCGGCATGCTGTGAATTTGGCTTCCTGGGCCTCAGAGGATTCAATAAGCCACTTGCCACAAGGCTGGATGTCAAGGGAGGACCTGAACAGTTGAATCCCTTTCTCAATGGGCTGTGTTTCAGTCACTGATAATCTTCCTGCACCAATTCTTCAGTGGCTAGCATACTTCTACCCCCATCTCAGGGATTTCAAACCCCTGCTGTCACAGTCCAAATCCTGTTCCCCATTCCTTATTTCCAGATCTTTTCCTCCCGTATCCCTCAACCCTGCCCTCTCAATGTCGCACTCCAGATCCATCCACCCCTTCCACTATACTTTCTGGAAGGCCTGCTCCACAGTCAACAAATCTGCTTTCCTTTCCCACTCCCTCCACCTTCTGAGACGTTCCTTCCTTCTAATGGCTCTGCACCCCAGGCTACACTTTTACTCACGGCCCCAACTCACCAGTCATGGCAGGAAGAGCCAGAACACTCCCTGCTCCCCACGGCCACTTCCAAGCTCTCTCTTTACCACTGTTACTCTGAAGCTCTCTGCCTTTGAGGTTTATTCATTCCACACTTATCACTCAGTCAGAATTCTGGCAGCTGTTATCTGCTGAATCCCAGGACATTCTCCCTTCCTCAGTGAATGCAGAACTTGGTGCACAGTCTTTCCTATGACTGTGCTATGCCATGTCTCAACCTTGGATTATTCCCATAATGCGCTGCCTTCACTCTTCTTATTCATGTACTTCTGAACAGAGCTGGAGAAAATTCACAAAACCACACTGATAAGAAACACTACAGATGCATGTTACATACTGGGCTCTCCCTGCAGCAGGGCTGCCCTATGAGGCAGTCCCTAATAACTTCACTGTGCCATTTACCGCAACACATCTTCCCAGCTTTTTTCATCCCTCCTCAACTTTTCCATCGCTTCCCCTTTACCATACTCTCAGCTGAGAACCGTGCCTCGTGCTTCAGTAAAAGACGAGGCCATTTGACGAAGATTGCTCTTCTGCCCGTCTCATCTCACACACTCAGACGTGTCCCCCACCTTCTCCTTCACCGTCTCCATGAAGAGGTGGCCCTTCTCCTTGTCAGGCAAATCCCTCTGCGTACAGAAGTGACCCATTCCATCCCGTCCTCTCCAGCCACTTCTCCGTCTCTATCAAGCTTCCTAATAATAGCCAGCATCTCCCCGACCACTTCTCTGCTGTCTGTAAACACGTCCCTACCTCCTCCGTCCTCACTGTCCGTCCCTGCCAGATGCTGTCCTACATCCCTCCTCCCTCTCACAGCTAAACTCCTTGACAGAGCCATCTACAAGCAGGGTCCCCACTTCCTCTCTCCTCCCTCTTTTAAACTCTCTGCAGGGGGCTCCCAACCTCCTCACTTAAGTGATACTGCTTCCTCCCAAATTCCCAGTGATCTCTTGTTTAAAATGGAGAGCTGGCTCAGGGCAGTGCAGACATTAGGCAAGAATACAACGATAATCACATCAGGAACACACATTTGAATATATCAAGATTTCCTCTACATTTTGCTCAGCACCTATCAGCAAGCAGAGTCAGCGTACAGTTTATCTTGCTTTATCTACAGTGTCATCTCAGGTGGAGGAGGATGGGAAGATTGGAAGCCAATGTTCATGGCCTTCCAGGTGAGCCTCTGCGGCGCTGTTAAAGCGCCCATCGCCATGACACGGACACTTTGGAATCCAAGCCTCTGGAGGCCTTGGTGAAGTGCCAACGCCCTTTCTCTTGTTTCACACAGCTGCCAAAGTCAGCGGGATGAGGGACCACGGCACAGAAGATGCCCACTAGGGAACGCGCCACAAATGTCAACAGCCAGGTGTTCTCCCTTTGAACATTCACTTCCGGGCTTTGGAATGCTCTCCTTGTACAGGGCTTAGGCAGTCTGCTCAAAGCAAGCAAACTTCATCATGCCTAAGGTATCTGTCCCATCCAAAAAGGAGCAAGGCCTCTGGGCGTGCGTGCAGGCCTTCTTTAAGCATTTCGGGAGCTGGTCTCCTCACAGAGTTTGCATAGCTTGGCTGGGTTTGAATTCTAACTTCAGTAGCTTCTATAGGAGCTAGGGCAATATCACCAAAGAATTCAGCACTGGCAGAAGCAGCTAAATGAAGTGATGCAGCCAGAGGTCACTTGCCATCTCCAAGAATACTGCTACTCTCCCAGGCTTTGAAGCCTTCAAGAAAACCAAACCTACAGAGTCCCTGCATAAAGTATCTAATGAAAGCTGGCGTCCATTCTTTAGGCCGCAGGTTCCCAAACTTATTTGACCTACCTCTTCCTTTTAAAAAAAATTACTCAGAGCCCCCTTGGAAATCTCACAAACTAGGAAAGAAGTCTCAGATTAAGGGTACAATTGCACTCAAGGCTACTACTGCCCCCCTTATCTTTCCGGTGTTCCCCAGGGGTTGGTATCACCCTCTTATTTAATTGTGATGGGGAATCCATAAAAGATGCTCTGGCATTTCTAGGGATCCACCTGCATTCGGCATTACACCCCTAGTCTGCAGGTGCTTCATTAATGCTTTTTTGAACAGACTCAATAGTATTTTCCCCATGAGACTTTCCCCCTGGGATGTGGGACAGCTATTGATGAAGAGGGTCTTCAAGGACACTCAGGATGCCACATCAAGTTCTCCCCCTCTGTGCCCCCGCCCCCTGCACCTGAAGTAGCGGGGTCTCACTTTCTTACCCCTACTGATAGAAACTATTTCTTACCAGGGTCTTCAACAGGCTCCTGCTCTTCCTCCATTTCTGAATAAGAAGGAAAGTTTCAGGAAGTTATCTCAATGCAATTTAAAAATACAATTTCATAATAAACTCAAGAAACATGAGCCTGGGTGATGTTATGACTGTCAGGTTTTCTAATTTCCAAAGGTCCAAACACAGATATCCTACTTAACTGGGCAATTTTCAATTAAATTCAGGAGACCTCTTTTTTTTTTTTTTTTTTTTTTAGGCAATTGGGGTTAAGTGACTTGCCCAGGGTCACACAGCGAGCACGTGTCAAGTGTTTGGTCTGAGGCCGCATTTGAACTCAGGTCCTCCTGACTTCAGGACCAGTGCTCTGTCCACTGTGCCACCTAGCTGCCCCCAGGAGATGTCTTACAGGAGCATCCCACTGAAGACGCATGCTGAATGGATTGGTACCACAGGACACAGACTTGGAAACAACCTCTCAGCCCTTCTGTCCAGGCGATGAAACTGAGGCCCCAAAATGGTAAGGGACTTGCTCAAGGGGAATAAGTGAGATTGTGTTTCCAGTGAAGCATTCTCTATCTTATATCACACCTCTCTTTTACTGACAGTGGTTGTGATCCCACTGGTTTTCATAAACATCTATGTTAGCCAAAACTGTGAGACTGAGTGGGAGCATTCTGTACTCAACTGGAATTCTGACCTAGTTTCTATTCTGGTAAAGCAGCTGGTGGCTCTTTGGGGGACGTGGTTCAGGGCCCAGCAGGTGGAGAGTGGCAGCTCCGGCATGTGCCCTGGGATAAACACCCATTCCAAAGAAGATCCCAAATAGAACCATAAGAATGTGTATTATCTGAAAGATTTAAGAATGCTAAGTGGTGCTAATAAAAGACTGTGTCGATGACTCAATGTAAAGAGCCAAGCCTTCCTTTGGTACATTACACAGTGCTGTTAATAATTTATACAATTACTTTCCAATCCCCTGTCTCATTCTACTCTCACAACACCCCTCTAAGATAGGTTGGCAGGGGAAACATTATCACCCTTGGACAAAGGGGAAAATGAGGCAATGAGAAGTTAAGAGTAGCAAGTTAGTGAAGAAGACCTGATTTTTCTCTCAGGGTTCCTTTAAACAGAATATACATGGCCTGGTTTAAATCACAAAACGATCCTCATGAAAAAAATATCCATGAAGAGCTCCTAAGTCTTCACATGTATTACGTAAGCTACATTATTAGTCACAGAGCGTGAGAGGCTGGAAGGGCCCTCAGCAGCTATCCAGCTCAACCCACTCACAAAAGAAATCCCTGCTATAATGTGTCTGAGACCGGCGGCTGTCCAGTCTCTGCTTGAAGACGTCCAAGGAAGAGCCTTCCGCCTTCTCAGGCAGCCCACCCCACCTAAAACTCCAAGGGTTGGGAAGTTTTTCAGCACAAACTGGCCTCTGTAAGCACTGCTGCTGGTTCTGCCCTCCAGAGGGCTGAAGACAGCACTCTGTGCCCACACATATGAGCCAGGGCTCATGGACTCCAGGCCCTTGGCTGTCTTGCTTTCCTGCCCTCCTCTGGATCCTGCACAGCATGTGGATGTCTTCCTTGGACTGAAGTGCCCAGGACTACACACAACGCTCCGGAGGAGGCCTGATGAGGGCCGAGGGCAGAGGCACCATCGCCTCCTGACGCTGGGAGCCAGGCCGCTCTTCACACAGCCTGTGACTGCACTGGATTGCTACATCACACTGCTGACTCAGACAAAACTCACAGTCACTAAAGCTCCGAGATCTTTTTCAGAACAATTCGAGCTAACTGTGCCTGCCCTATCTTATACTTCACAGAATCTCAGTTTGAGAGCTGGAAGGGCCCTCTGAGCACATCTGGTCCAATCCTCTCATTATACAGATGAGGAAACTAGGGCTTGGAAAGTTCAGAGACTTGCACAAGGTCATATAGCTAGTAAGAATCCGAAGCAGGATCTGAACCCAGGGTTCTACAGCCAGTGATCTTTCTCCTGTACCACGATGTCTTCCCATAAAATTGATTTTTTTAACTCAAGCATAAGACTTTACATTTATCTATACTTAACCTATAAGAGTCAGCCCAATGCCCTTAGCTTATCAAGGTTCTTTTGGATCCTGGAGATATCCAATGGGCTGGCTAAACCTCCCAGCTTTGCGTCATCTGAAAACCTGATGAGCACACTGTCTATATCTCTAGCCAAGTAACTGATAAAAATGCTGAACAGCAAACAAGTCCAAGTACTGATTCCTGGGACATTCCATCTGTGCTGAGCCACCACTCAACCAGTTCTGAATCCATCTGCTTCTATTATTGTCTAATTGATACCTCTAGTCTAGTGCATATGTCTCCACTTTCTCCATGAGAAATGGATGAGAATTGTTTTAACAGGTAACTGGGGGGAAAATATACATACATATATATGTACATATACACACATATACATTTTAAAAAGATATATGTATATGTATATATGTGTGTGTGTATGTGTGTGTGTATATATATATATATATATATAAATGAGATCTTTTATCAAAGGCTTTACCAAAATCTAGATAGCTATGTCCCTTTATCTACTAACTCAATAATCCTGACAAAAATGAAATGAGGTTAGTCTGGTACGTACTGTTCTTTAGTTCTTGCTTCCCCAATCTAGATGTTCCCCAACTATCTCCTTAATTAATTAATTAATCTTAATAACTATCTCCTAGAATTTTCCCATGAAGTGAAGATTCTGTTTTTATCTTTCTGAAAGTCAGGACACCATCTGCCCTCTCCATCCGTGTGGTGTCTTTTCTGCTTTCCCTGATCTTTCCAGTATCACAGACAGTGGCTCAAGCATCACACCTGTTGGTTCTTTCAGGCCCTGAGAATGGATCACCTGGTAAGGGGACATGACGTCATTGGGGGTGGTGAGGTGCTGTCTGATTACCTCCTCACTCTTCTTGGGTTTCAACTCCCCGTTAGTCATTTCTGTCCTGTCGTTTCCAGGGCCAAGGTGGCTCTCTTCTGCAGAGAGACCCAGAATGAGCACTGGGCAGCTTTGCTTTCTCTGCTGTCAGTCCTCATTGTCTCATCCACCCCAACCAAAGGTCCGACACCTTCTCTGATCCTTCTTTTCCAGCACAGCTCTTCTGGTTGCTCTTGGATCAATCCTGGGCTCATTCTGAGCTTTACCACTCTCTGTATTATTTTTACAAGACCATGCTACGTTCTTCTATTCATTCTCTGCCATGTGATGTGGCCTTCCTTCCATCTTCTGAACATCACTTTTTAGAGTCTAAGTTGATTGGTGTATTCTCTGTGATACCACATTAGTCTCTTCAAACAAATCCTATCTTACCTCCTCACAAAAAGTGTTTCCCTCTGTGTCTTCAGAGTTTCCCTCATTCCTGGGCTGACTTACCCTGAAGCATTTTATTCCACAGGATCCGACTTCTCTTCCCTGAACCCTGTGCAAGCTGCTTTCGCAGAACCTCAGGTGCCTATCAGAAGATCTTTGAGTTTTCTCTCCTCTTTTACAAACCTGAGGATGGAGTGGTCATTTCCTCCTAGGATTCCCATTATTTCCACCCCAGCAACTAGCTCCTCCCATTTGTGAGAATCTGATCCAGAAAAGTCTGCCTTTGCTGCTTCCTCAAGTCATTATTAAATGCTTTTCAAATTGACTTTTCTTTATGTTCTTTTAATGTATCTGGATAGAGATTTGAATTCCTTTCAAACAGCACAAAAATTCCATCTAAAAATATCTGAGGTAGTTACACCCTCAAGCTAAGATGGCTCTTGCTCACAAGGGCCAAAAAGAAAACACATCTCTCTTTTTTTCTCCTCCCACTCCAAGATACAGCCGTAAAGGCCTCTGCAGGCAGCCACGAGAGTGTTATCTCACACCACGTTCTGGAAACAACTCTCAGCTCCCTTCAGAGGGCCTGCAAGAGTCATGAGAGAGTGAACCAGAAGACCACTCACCTTCTGGACCGTGAGGCTTATGGTTCTTCATTTCTGTGAAATGAAAAATGTTGACTGGTGAGGGTTGCCTTAATGGGGTGACATCCCAGTTCTACTCTAAAACCTTAATGGGTTCCCCATTACCCTTAGGATTAATTCTACATATTTCTTTCTTTTTTTTTTTTTAGTGAGGCAATCAGGGTTAAGTGACTTGTCCAAGGTCACACAGCTAGTACGGGTCAAGTGTTTGATCTGAGGTCAGATTTGAACTCAGCTCCTCCTGACTTCAGGGCCAGTGCTCTATCCACTGCGCCACCTAGCTGCCCCAATTCTACATATTTCTTAGCCTGATATTCAAGGCCTTCAATGAGTTTCCAGTCTCATCTCTTACTTATTCTCCCACACAAACCCTCTTCAAGCCAACTGGTCTATTCATTTTTCTCAGAACATACCACAGGAGCTCTCTTTGCCTTGGTTACACTATCTGGATTCCCTAGAATACCATCTCCCCTTCTCTTTTTAAACTTTCAATGGTCACTCTTTTCTTGGAGTGTTTACTGTGGCACACCCTATGCCATGGGACGGAAATTGGGATGATTTAGCAATAATTAGGCTGGGCTTGCTGTTCATCTCTGACTCCCAGCAGCCCAAGTAGAGAGATGAAGGCAGGATACCCTACATGGGCACATGAGGAACTTCATTCTGGCTTACGGCACTGAGGAGTGTGCAGCGAGAAGAATCCCTGATCCCCGCAGAGCACTGGCTGATCTTCTCAGCTTCACAAGGGGCTGTGATCCAAGGCAGTGGGAAGTACTTGAGAAGCTCTCAGACAGAGCCTATGCCCATGGGAGGTGCTGTCACAGACCCAGTCTGGCCGTGGGAGGACAGAACGGCATCTGCAACACCCGACCATGTCCCAGGCCAGGAGGGCATTTAGTCATAACCACCAGGCTCATATCTTCCTTGTCACAACTAATATAATCACCATAGTCGAGGAGTCAAGGGCTCCTCTGCATGTGCACCTTCTTTCCTCTGGATGGTGGTACGGTTTTGCTCTTTGCCATTCTAGACTAGCTCAACCTCTGGCTAAGGGATTTCAGGGAACAATAATGGAGTCAGTAAGGGCTAGACCAGGCAAACAGCTGGCCTCTGCAGTACCCATGACCACCCCTAGATGGCTGCCTTATCAAGCTGTTGGGCAGCTGACCGGAGCCCTCTGCCATGGGAATGTTCCTTCTTTCTGCCTCAAATCCTTCACACCAGGCAACAGCCCCCCGGCCTGCCTCGAGCCTTTTCCCATCCAGTCCATCACCCATTCAGCTGTCACATCGATCTTCCTAAACAAGACCACGTCAACCCCCTATTCGATAAACTCCAGAGGCTTCCTACTGCCTCCAAGATCAAACATAAAATCTTTCCCTTGGCTTTTAAAGCCTTCCATAACCTGACCCCATCCTGTGCTCTCTCCCCCATGCTCTGTGACCCAGTGACCCTGGTCTCCTCACTGCTCCTCACACACAACACGCCAAGCACTCCATGTCTGCCACCGTCTCCCCCTGCCACCTCCACCTTCTAGCCAGAAACTTAATAAAATCCCACCTTCTATGAGTAGCCTCTCCCAATCCCCCTCAATGCCAGTGCCTTCCCTCTGTGGATTTATCTCTAATTTAGCCTGTACACAGTTATTTGCATGTAGTCCCTCTCATTAGACCAAGAGCTCTGTGATTATCTTTTGCCTTCCTTTGTAACCCCTAATACTTAGCACAGTACCTGGCACATAACAGGCACTTAAAACGTGCTAGCTGACTGACTGACCCAAAGCATTTTTTTTTCTTTTGCTTTTTGGTGAGGCAATCAGGGTTAAGTGACTTGCCCAGAGTCACACAACTAGTAAGTGCCACGTGTTTGAGGCCAGATTTGAACTCAGGTCTTCCTGACTCCAAGGCTGGATCTCTATTGACTGTGCCACCTAGCTGTCCCTCCCAAAGCATTTCTTACCAGTGATCTCATCTTCTTTTTCTTTGAATTTCAATCCTAAATAGAGACATTATCATTGAATTGGGTTATGAAATAAATAGAAGAGAGCTATTCAACATGCAAACAAAGTGGAGATGAGAGGAGGGATGAAGGTAGGGAGGGAGGAAAGAAAGGAAGGAATGGAGGAGAAGAGGGAAGATTTAAAAAAAAAAAAGATTTCTCACCAGGGAAATTGGTGTATCTGGACTTCAGCTGTCCTGAAACAAACAAACAAAAACAGGTTTTCATTGCATTTCACTCAGTCTGGGAGTCAATGTCAAACTCAGCCAAGAACTCTCCGTGAGTCCAGGACTTTAATGTAGTTCAAATGACCCAACAAAATGGTGACTTAAATGAAGAGATTATCCAGCCACAAAGCAGAGAAACAAGCTCAGTTTCTGTTATTCAAAAGTATATCTAAGGGGATGCCAGCAAAGCTCCTACTTGAAAATTGAAACTGGTCCCCAGCAAAAGGAAACCCTTAGAGATGGGCCTAAGTGGTGTCTTTATCCCAGAAAAGGTTTTCTCACAGCTGTCAGATGGTCAGATCCTCCTGGGCTCTCTTTAACCCTGTGCTTGTCTAACATTCACATCTCTCAGTATCACCTTCTTGAGGTTCCCTGAAGAAGCCAGACAGATGTCTCGGCATTGTCCTTTTTCTGACAATGTTGGGTCTGGTGCCTCACATTTCATATCCTACTCTCCCTCTGACACACTATTCCACTCCTTTGTTGTCCCCCGAAACTTTATTTCTTAAAACTGATCAAACATATTAGCCTGAATTCTCCCAGTATGCTCTACTACGCCGGGAGAAGCATAAAGCCAGGGATACCTCGCTGTTAACATTGTTCCTGGCAGGGGGTGAGATGAAAGCTCTTGGCTGTCTAAGCAGCCCTTCTGGGTGGGCATGATAGCAGCATGTAAGGCAGCCACTGCCTGGGCACAGGAGGAGAGGAGGAAGTCCATGGAAGCCCACATCCTCCCTGTAAGTGGCAGCAGCAGACTTACAGAGAATCCTGGCCGGCACTCTGAGAGGTACTGACAGAAGACACCGATGAGATTCTGACTAACCAAGAAAATACTTTAAACCATATCTTACCAGTGCTGTCAACACAGTTTTCTGTTTTCAAGCCTGAAACAAGAGAGAAACATTGTTTATTCTTATAGCGAGAAGACTGTCAGCCGGCGTAGAGAGCCCTGGACTTGGAGTCCAGAGAGATCTGGGTTCAAATCCTTGTTCAGACACTTACTAGCCGTGGAATCATGGGCAAGTTATTTAACCTCTTTCAGACTCAGTTTCCTCAATTGTAAAGAGGATAATAAAACCAATGACACTACCTCAAGGGGTTATCGTGATGCTTCAACACATGAAAGCACTATGTCTGTAAATTATTATGTGCTCTGCTATAGGATTTAAGAAACCTTTAGTAACAAATAAATCTGTGAGCATGCAACGTTGGGACCCCAACAGTAGCCTGCTTAGTGAAGGAATGTCAGGCCAGAGACAATAACGAAAGAGCGCTTTCATTTTTCATAGGCATTTCCTCTGTTGCACTGAGTACTTGTCTGAATGAATGACACTCACAGTTTCCACCGTAGAAAGTGGTCAGTGCCCAGTGGTTAGGGGCGGGGACGTGCAGCCCGAGGCCACATGTGGCCCTGCAGGTCCTCAAGTGCGGCCCGCTGACTGAATCCAAACTTCACAGAACAGATTCCCTTCATAGAAGGCTTTGTTCTGTAAACCCAGACTCAGTCAGGAGGTGGCTCCAAGGACTCAGAAGGCCACATGTGGTCTCGAGGCCGCAGGTTCCCCGCCCCTGCGGCCTAGAGCATCCCCAGGCTTGCCCCACTCTGGCTCGAGGAGACCCCTGGGAGCTTGGGGACCTCTCACGGCCAGCTGGGCTGCACTTCACTCATCGCCTGTGTCACTGGAAGAGCCAGTGCCTCGGTGGCTACACAAAAGGAGGCATCCGAGCCACTTTGAGGGGCTTCCTGAGTGGGGGGCACGGGGGCAGGGCTGGAAGCAGGCCCCAAAGCTCCCTCGTGTTAGGTCAGAGTCAGGAAGCTGAACTAGGAGCAAGTTCCTGGGAACGGCCCCTAAAGGGCCATTCAATCTCTGCTACAAAGAATCTGAAGGCAGATTTAAATTCATTCTGTTTTCTGATCCCCCTTCAGAAAACAACGATGATTTTCTAAGGTACTGTGACAGAACAGCAATCATAGCTCACATCCATTCAGGACTCTAAGATCTGCAAGCACAGATTCCTTGGACTTTGCTACCACGCCTCAGCTGCCCTCCCATCCCAGAACAGCCTCTCCACTCTGGCGAGATCCCCCAGGAGTCCCATTGGGGGTGCTCCGGGTCAGCCATCCTTCATCACGCTCCCAGCTTTCTTCTGACTCTCTGGACTTGGCCACCTGCCCCCACAGGGGTCCCTTCATTCCTCTCTTCCCGTTTTTCAGATCTCTTTAGTGGGTTGTCTTCTCCCAGTAGAATATAAGCTCCTTGAAGGTAGGGAATATCTATGTTTGGGGGGGGCTTGTATTTGGTTCCCAGTGATTAGCACAGTGCCTGTCCCATAGTATGTGCTTAATAAATGCTTACCTGCCTGCTTGCATGCTACTGTGTGTGTATGCCTGGATGGATGGATGGATGGATGGAGATATATATATTTTTATATATATATATATATATATATATATATATATACACACACACACACACACACACACATATATAGTATGTATATATATGTATGTATGCGTGTATGTATGTATGTATGTACGTATGTATGTACGTCTGTATAAAATCTCCTCTGATCCTCTTCTCATCTGCAGAATGAGGAGGGCTGGCCTAGTGGGTCTCTAAGTCCTGTGAACCTTTAAAGTGCATCCCAACCTCTGTGAGATTCTCACAGATTCTGAGTTTACGGAGTTCCGGTTCATGAGGTACTACGTAAATAAGATCAGAGGCTCAGAGACGGACAGGGCCTCACCAGGCACTCGATCTTCCTAACAACCCTTCATTTTACAGAAGAGGAAGCGAAAGCTGAGAAAGGCCATAAGCTACGACTCCACGGCAGGTCTTCCTGACTCCCAGCCCTGCATCCTCTCCACTCAGCCACTCATGAGCCCAAAGGAAACACAGGGAATTCCAGAGGATTTGGAATCTGAAGACTTGGTTCAAATCGTGCTTCTACGACTTACTACGCCTATGACCCGGGGGAAGTCACTGACCCTCTCGGCCTCAGCTTATGGAGGAAGGAAGCTGCTGAGATAACCTGTGAGGCCCCTCCCAGCTCTGAACTTGTAATAAATAAAGTAAATAAATAATACCCCATGAGCCCGGACTCTGCTAATCCAGAACTTGCGATAGTCTTACAAAGGTTGGAATTCACTTTATAGGATCGAGCGCTAGAAGGCACCTTAGAGATTCACTAGTCCAACTCTCCCCATTCTGCAGATGAAGAAACTGAGGTCCAGGGAGGTTCACTGATTGCCCAAAGTCATGCCGATGAATTGCTCATAGAGCTGGTATTTGATTTTCAGTTCTCTGGCTCCAAATTCAAAGTTCTTCCCATCACAACATGTTATCTGCATTAAAATAAGTTTGGTGGGGGAAAAGAGATTTCCAGGGAACAATGTATTTTGGTTACTCAAACAGAGTATTCATAAATACTTTATATTTGAATACCAAATCATTTTAACCTAGTCACTAAAAACATCCTCTAAAAGAGCAGCCCAAGAATGAATAAATAAAGTTGCTTACCCTACTTAAAATTACTTTATGATCAAATGGATCTTTCCAAGTTAGTACAAATTAGTAAAAAGAGTGGCACACGAGGAGTGACATTTTTCTGTTTTTCAGACAGTGGCATCAGAAGCCCTTTACTTAGCTTCTGCCTCGACGCTTCCTATGGTCTGCCCTATTGCCGGCACACACACTCAAGGCCACTTGCCCAGCATGTGGGCATCCTCCTTGAGGTGGCACACGGAACTGTCCTTCTACCACAGGATTCGGGAACCTTTTTACTGTGGCCCAAATAAAAGAATCCCAATCAAGTTTTTCAGCTCTGCAGCACAGCATACATAGCGTTCACACCATTTGTTTACCCATTCATTCGGTCACCACTATGATGTGAAGAGCGTTAGTATTTGTACAGGGAGGGGGCTGGAGGAAGGAGTGGTACAAAGATTATGAAGACACAGCTCCTGCTCTCACGGAGCTTCACAAGCCTAGGCTTGGGCTCATCAAGCCCTTCTCAGGAGACATTCACATGTTCATATACAGTAAGTCATTCCATCCTTCTGGAGGATCGGGCGCTTGGCTCTAAGCCCTCTCTGGACTGAATTACTCAAGAGTGGGGTTCCATGAGCTCCATCCTTCTTATCTTACAAATGAGGAAACTAAGGGCCAAAGAAGAGAAGTAACTGGCCCAGAGACACACAGCTCGCACTTGGAGACAGAACCCCTGTCCTCTGAGCTCACGGATGCTCAGCACCATGCCAGTGGAAGGCCTCATTGCCTACCTACCCTCCCCTTAGAGACACAAAGACAGGGCACTGAACTTGGAATCGGCTCTAATGACCATTATCTGTATGCAAACCTAAATCACGACAAAGGTGACCAAAACTTCTGATTCAGTCCAGCTACGTCTTCCTCCTCCTGTTTGAGACTCACTCACTGGTACAGCTTGGGATTTCAGCTAGTCCTTCAGAAAGCCCAGTGCTTGACACACAGCAGGAGCTTTAATGACTGACCATGTAATATTTAGTGAACATCCCTTCTTGTGACTGGAGATTTATAAGCCTGGGAGGTCAGGCAGACATCTGCTTCCCTGCTCTGCTATAGGGGATTTGTTTTTTGACCCTAAAGGAAATGTAGAAAACTTTTTATAATCCAGGGGGCACACTGACATTTTTTCTAGTAAAATGATAGAGATTAAAACTGCATCAGCCACTAATATACAGACTCTGATACCTGCCAATTGATGCTAGAATTCAGGTCTTATCTAGAGAATCATGATGGCTGGGTAAAAGGCTGGAGAGATGACAGGACACAGAACTGGAAGATGTTTTAGGGATCATTTTGCAATAGGGAAAATGGGGAGTCCCAAGAAAGTGAAGTGATTTTGCCATGGCCACACAGGTGGGAGAGCTCAGATGCAATCCCAGGGCCTCAGTCACGTTTATTCTAGGGCTAGATCTCTACACTCATAGAGCTCCTTGAAAAAAATCTAAGCCCATGTATCCTTGTTCTTGGACTTTTTCAAAACAGCAGTCATATGCCCACCAGGAGCTAAGGCAGTAACAAAATCTACTGGCTGGAGAGATGGCCACAAACTTCTAGTCACTGAAGGTCTGGGATCTCTGAGCTGTGCACTTGTTTTCAAAGGGGGCCTCCTCTGAACTGGTCGGATGTGAAGGATCCAGTCAGTAGAAACTCTCCTTGTCAATTCCACCTTCCCAATACCCCCGGGTCTAAGGAACCCATGTTCATGCTCCTAATGTCAATAAAGAAGAGCAGACCCTCTTACCTCCAAGGTATGCACAGTCAAAATAGCTGCAGGTCTTGTTCATGCTTCTAAGGACCAAGCTGGCTCTGTTCCCTTCCTGGGTCAGTTGAAAAACCTCATTCAGAGGTATTAAGATGCCTCCATTTACTGAATCAGAAACTATTTCTGTAGAAATGCCAAAACACGTGTAGACAGTGAACAATGTTTCTGAGTCAGATACGGGCTCAGGTTTGACACTGAAAGAGGTAAAATGAGCAAACCTGATCCCATCACGTCCAGGGGGCCCAGATGAAGTTAAAAGGCTTTTGGCGTATACTGGATGTCTATAACTCTGCGAACACTCTCTGCTCAAAAGCTGCAAGGCTCTCGTCAGATAGAAGTGTAAAGCTTTGAACGGGAAGCTGTAGATATAATCATCTCGAGACCTTCCAGCTCTTTCTACGGCAGAGCTGAACTCTTGGTAAAAGGGGGTCTGCCTCTGAGCTTGTGAAGCGTATGCCGTGAGTGCTATGCCATGGTTGTCCTGAAAGCCTGGAGGGAGCAACAGCTGGGCCTTCTTTAAATCCCACTGGGATGTTGCTTCTGTCCACACAGAATGGAAGAGCTTATGGTTGTTTTTTTCCTCAATGAGCAACTTGGGAACAAATTTGGTCTCCATTCTTTCAGCACACTTCAGGTACTGGTCATCAAAAGTATTGGTAGACATGCTTAACATATGACCCTTAACCTGAAGGAGGAGAGAAAACAGACATTGTGGAAATGAGAGACATTATGCATATCATTTACTTTCCTGTCACTATCTCTCAAAACAGGGCAAGACAATGCGGCTCCCCATATGTTCACCTTCAGAGGCTGTCTTTGTACTACAGGAAATGTCTCATTTTATCCACTATTCTGTCCATCAATAATCCTTTATTAAGCACTTACCATGTGTCAGACAGTGTACTGAGGCTGGGCCTACAAAGGAAGGAAAGATTAAGCCCTGCCCTCAATGACTTGACAGTCCAATAGGTGAGACACCATAAATAACAACTAGGTGTGCGGAAGATTTATACAAAGCAGATGGAAGGCAACCTGAGAAGGGAAGGCATGTGCAGCTGTGGGACTGGGAAGGCCCTGCATGGGATGGCATCTGAGCTGCGTCTTGAAAGAAGCCAGGGAAACTAACAGGTGGCGATGACGGGAAGCCAATGCAGAGGCACAGAGATGGGTGACGGCGTGTCAGTAACTGCACTCAGGTCAGACTGTGTGTGGATAGGAGCAGGGCGTTAGAGATTGCAAAGGCAGGAAGGGACCAGGCTAGAAGGAGCTTTAAATACCAAAGAAAGGGCTCTATTTGATCTTGGAGGTAACAGGGAGCCAGGGCAGCTCACTGAGCAGGGGGAGACATAGTCAGACCGACACTTTAGAAAAATCACCTTGGCAGCCAGGAGAGGATGGACCACAGTGGGGAAAGACTTGAGGCAGGGAGACCAGTTGGAAGGCCAATGTCATGTCCAAGAGAAATGTAATGAGGGCCTAAAGCAGGGTGGTGCCTGTGTGAAGGGAGAGAGCCGTGGTAAACTAGGAAATCTGGGAATAAGTGGAAGTGCAGGGGGAGGGGGAGGCCTCCTGGAGGGCACTGAGGTTCTGAGCCGGGCTGCCCAAGAGGATGGTGGGAGCCTTAAGCAGTAACAGGGGATTTCGGGGGGCGGGGTTCTGGGGGACAGATGAGCTCTGATTTGGACATGTTCGGTTTGAGATGTCTATGGGACACAGTTCGTGTTATCTAAATGTCATTTGGTGATTTGTAAGTGGAGCTCAGGAGAGAAATTAAGGCCTGGATAACTACATACATGAATCATCTGCACAGGGATGATCACTGACCTCATGGAGGCTGATCAAATCACCAAGTAAGATGCTGCTGAGTGAAAAGAGAAGAAGGTCCAGGGCAGATCCCTGGGGGACACCTATATCTGAAGAACCAGCAAAGAAGGCTGAGAAGGAATGGTCAGACAGGTAGGAAGAGAATGAGGAGAGAGCAGTAGCAGGAAAACCTAGAGAAGGCAAGGTATTCAGGAGAAGAATATGACTGACACTGTCAAAGGCTGCCGAGAGGTCAAGAAGGATGAGGATTGAGAAAAGGCCATTGGACCTGGTGATTAAGTAACTCTAGTTACTTAAGGCCATTGGTAACTCTGGAGGGGGTAGTTTCAGTTGAATGATGAGGTTAGAACTTAGATTGCAGAGTATTTAGAAGGGAAAGGAAGTAGGGGTCCCAAGCATACACAACTTTCTCAAGGAATTTAGCTTAGAAGGGGAAGAGAGATGCAGAACAATAGCTCACTGCAGTGGCAGGATCCAGTAAAGGTTGAGTTGTTTGTCTGGGTTTTTTTAAACAAATGGGGAGACATGGACATAGTAGGAGCAATCTGCTAGAGAAGGCAGGAGGAGATGGGTTGGAAGGTGCATGCAGAGGGGCTGACTTTGGCAAAGGAAAGGCCCCCCTCCTTCATCCAGAATCTGAATTAAGGTTCCATAGATGACTGAATAAGAGTGTTTGCATGTCTAAATTATAATCAATTCAATTAAAAAACTTATTAAAAAAGGTATTGAGAAAAGTGTTAGGGATACTACAAAAACACAAGTCTTTATCCTCAAGGAATCTGACATTCTATGGTGGGGGCAGGGTACACTGATAAATAAATCCAAGATGATTTAAGGAAAGAGAAAGAAGACTAACAACTGTTGAGATCAAGAAATGCTCATATAGGAGACGGCACCTGAATTGGGCCTTGAAGGACGTCAGAGACAGTAAGAGTTAGAAGTACATCCTAGGCCTGGCAGCCAGCTTGTACGAACCATACCATAAAGGGGGTTAGGAGCATAATTTGGTTCCTCCCCAGCTGCCCATAGCATTTCTATTGAGTCACTTAAAATCACAATACTCCTCTCTGAAGTCCCATCATCAGCCACCCTAGGGACCACGTCACAGGTGAAATCTGCAATGCCTCATCTTTAGCTCCTCAAGAGCTAACTTTGGAGATGGGAAGGCAGTGTGGAATCAACAAGCAATAGGCTCAGAATCAGAAGACCTGAGCTCTAATATATGCTCCCTTATAAAGCAATAAGTAGAAGAAAGTCTGGATTCATGGGAACTCAGTCATGCTACTGTGCTACTTACTGGTTGCATGACTTAAAGCAACTCACTTAACCTTCTCAGGGCCTGTTTTTTCATCTATCAAAGAAGGAGGATGATCTAGAGCAGAGACAGGTATCAAACACACAACCTACCCCCGAGTGCAGGCCAAGCCAGATTAAAATGTAATTGAGAAATCTTTTCAAAATAAATAAAAATACGAAGAAACAAAGGTAGGAGGTAAATACGTGGCCCACAGGGACCCTGTGTGCAATTCCGTGGCTCTGGCCTCTGCCTGAGTTTGACACCACTGCTCTGAAGGATGGCCTAACACCCATTCCAATTCTAGTGTCCAGTAACTCTGTGAACTTTAGTACCAGGGAGGTAAGTAAAACCTTGATGCTCTGAGTAGAGGTTGGAGAAAATAGCTGAACAAGTCTCTGTGTGGACATTGTGTTTACAAAGGATGTTTGTCAGAGGCTCTGAAAGGACACTGGAGGACCAGAAGAAGTCTCCTGAATGCTGAAAGTGACTGTTCTCCCCTCTGTGGTTCTGGAAAATGATAGCTTTTCCTTTGTTCTTTTTTTTTTTCCCCAAGATGGCATGCATTCTAAATACCCCTTCCCCTAGTCTGCCTTCCCTCCTATCTCTCCCCCCCCTTTTCTTATCCCCTTCCCCTTCTATTTTCCTGTAGGGCAGGATGGATTTCTGTACCCCATTTCCTGTATTTCTTATTTTCCAGTTGCATGTGAAAACATTTTTTTTAAACATGTGTTTTTAAAACTTTGGGCTCCAAATTTTCTTCCTCCCTCCCTCCCTACCCACCCTCATTGATAAGGCAAGCAACTAAATATAGGTTATATATGTGCAGTTATGCAAAACACTTCCATAGTAGACATGCTGTGAAAAACTAACTCTATTTCCCTTAATCCTATCCTGCCCACCCATTTATTCTATTCTTTCTTTTGACCCTGTCCCTCCTCAGAAGTATTTGCTTCTGATTACTCCCTTTCCCCATCTGCCCTTCTCTCTATCATTCCCCTACTCTCTTGTCCCCTTCCCCCCCTATTTTCCTGTAGGATAAGACAGATTTCCACACACAATTGAGTGTGTATGTTATTCCCTCCTTAAGTCAAATCCTATGAGAATAAGATTTACTCATTCCCTCTCACCTTCCCCCCTTTCCCCTCCACTATAAGAGCCTTTTCTTTTCTGTTTTTTTTTTTGTGGGATAATTTACCCTGTTCTACCTCTCCCTTTCTCCTTCTCCTAGTATATTCCTCTCTCACCCCTTAATTTTATTCTCCAGATATGACCCCTTCATTTTCAACTCACCCTGTGCCCTCTATCTATCTAAATCTATATACACATACATATAATTTTTTCCCCTCCAACTACCCTAATACTGACAAAGGTCTCATGAGTTACAAATATCATCTTTCCATGCAGGAATGTAAACAGTTCAACCTTAATAAGTCTCTTATGATTTTCTCTTTCCTGTTTACCTCTTCATGTTCTACTCGAGTCTTGTATTTGAAAATCAAATTTTCTATTCAGCTCTGGTCTTTTCATCAAGAGTGCTTGAAAGTCCTCTATTTCATTGAATGACCATTTTTTCCCCTGCAGGATTATACTCAGTTTTGCTGGGTAGGTGATTCTTGGTTGTAATCCTATCTCCTTTGCCCTCCAGAATATTATATTCCATGCCCTGCGGTCCCTTAATGTAGAAGCAGCTAAATCTTGTGTTATCCTGATTGTGTTTCCACAGTACTTGAATTGGTTCTTTCTGGCTGCTTCTAACATTTTCTCCTTGACCTGGGAACTCTGGAATTTGGCTACAATATTCCTGGGAGTTTTCCTTTGGGGATCTCTTTCAGGAGGAGATCGGTGGATTCTTTCAATTTCTATTTTGCCCTCTGGTTCTAAAATATCAGGACAGTTTTCCTGGATAATTTCTTGAAAGATGATGTCTAGGCTCTTTTTTTGATCATGGCTTTCAGATAGTCCAATAATTTTTAAATTCTCTCTCCTGGATCTATTTTCCAGGTCAGTTGTTTTTCCAATGAGATATTTCACATTGTTTTCTAATTTTTCATTCTTTTGGATTTGTTTTACAGTGTCTTGATTTCTCATAAAGTCACTAGCTTCCAATTGCTCTATTCTAATTTTTAAGAAAGTATTTTCTTCAGTAATCTTTTGGACTTCCTTTTCCATTTGGCCAATTTTGCTTTTTAGGGCATTTTTCTCCTTATTGGCTTTTTGAACCTCTTTTGCCATTTGGGTTAGGCTATTTTTTTAAGGTGTTATTTTCTTCAGTATTCTTTTGGGTCTCCTTTAGCAAGCTGTTGACTTGTTTTTCATGATTTTCTTGCATCATTCTCAGTTTTTCCTCTACTTCTCTTACTTGCTTCTCAAAATCCCTTTTGAGCTCTTCCAAGGCCTGGGACTGATTCATATTCTTCTTGAAGGCTTTGGATGTAGGAGCTTTGGCTTTGTTGTCTTCTTCTGGTTGTATGTTTTGATCTTCTTTGTCACCAAAGTAAGATAATATAGTCTGACTCTTTTTGCACTGCTTACTCATGATCCTGGCCAATTACTTGAGTTTTAAGCTCTTTGTTAAGGTAAGAGTCTGTTTCCAATGTGAAGAGTGTACTGTTCCAAGCTTCGGGGGTTTGTACAGCTGTATTCAGAGGTACTTCTAGGGACCTGAAAATTTTCAGTTCTTCCAAGGTGCTATGATAAGGGGCAAGGTGTTTTCTCTCCACCGCCACAACAAGCTCCACCACACCACCATTCCTCCTTGCCCCAGGACCACCCCTCAGAACTGTGACCCAGATCCAAGTGAGGGCAAAGCAATAGATTCCTGCCTCAGCACTGGCAAAGAGATCCCTGCAATCCCCCTCTGATCAGCCACTCGATTCCCCCTCAGTCTGTGGGCTAGAAGCTCAGCAAAAAGCGGCGGCCCTGAGCCACACTTGACACTTGAGGCTGAGACCTAGCTCGTCTCTCACCGCAGTCACAGACTTTTCCCACTGACCTTCTAAGTTGTCTTTGGTGTTCAGGGGTTGAAAAGTCTGGAATCCGCCACAGCTGCCTGCGATTCAGTCCTCTGAGGCCTGCTCCAGGGTCGCTGCGGCCTGCACGCCCACACCGAACTACACTCCTCTCCCTGCCCGGCGCGAAATACCTTTCTGATCAACCATCTAGGCTGTCTTTGGCTGGAAATTTGTTTCACTCTGTCTTTTTGTGGGTTCTGCTGCTTTAGAATTTGTTTAGAGTCATTTTTTTAGGTATTTGGAGGGCTTTGGGAGAGAGCTCAAGACAGTCACTGCTTTCCCTCTGCCATCTTGGCTCCACCCCCAAGCCTGTAACCAGCTTTTCCTTTGATAGTAACACATAGATAACGATTAATTTTAACATTCCAAGATCATTTGAATTGAAATTTCCTAGAGCTGTAATCTAAAACATTCCTAGGTACTGATATATAGTGGTTGCATTAGAATTAATTTCATTGCTTTTCTTTTGCAAGGCAATTGGGGTTAAGCCACTTGCCCAGGGTCACATAGCTAGAGTATTGTGTGTCTGAGGCCGGATTTGAATTCAGTTCTTTATCCACTGCACCACCTCGCTGCCCCTAATTTCGTTACTCTTCAAAAGGTTCTCTTGCTTACAAGAGATATGTCTGGCCTGGGGGGAAAGGTTGGGAGCTGCTAGTCAGAGAAGAGGGAGGAGCTTTCATAGAGGAGGATGTTTGTGGTGGAAGTATTTCAGCAATGCTGATTGATAATGATGAAAACTCACATTGTATACAGTCCTCATAAATATATACATTCTTTTAAATTTTCAGACAGATGTCACATCTATTATCTCATTTTGTACCCACAACAATACTTGTGAGACAGGTACAGTCAGTTTTTCCCATTTTACAGATTATGAAACTGAGGCTCAGTGACCTTATTGAAATCATAAAGCTAGTCAGTGCATGGTCGAGAACTAAGAAATCCTGATGACCAAATGGTGCACTACCTAGCCCGAGAAGTCCCTTGGACACAGGGGTCTCCTGTGTCCTGTTCTCTTCAGTAAAGCAATAACTAGCAGAATAAGCAGGCCACAGCACTGGCGGATGCACTTCTGGGCTGATATCAGACCCACACATGGGGCCCAGCTCTAGCAGGACCAAATGGCGGCCACCTCTTACCCCATATGTGCTATTTTCCTGCGCCCTGAAGAAAGTACAAACAAGATAGGGCACCAGTAGAACTTAGGGACACTTACCTGGTTCAATTGTTCGGCCTGGAGCATAATGTAAGCCACACCCCAATTCTTAAAAAAAAATCTATCACTGTGCTAAATTAAGAACTCATTCATGTTCTTTTGGCCAGGAGCCACAGCTGACTATATGTTCAGAACAAAGAGTACCCTGAATTGTGATTTCACTCACACCAGCACTCAATAAGAACTACAGGGCTTGAGAGCTAAGATCAGACAAAAAAGCCTGGATGAACAGATCTGACGGTATATTCCCTCCTTTATCAGTTAGAAGAAATCAATTGTTTAACAATTAGAGCTAACATTTACAAAGCACTTTAACTTGAGGAGATGGGTGGTCAAGTGTTATTAGCCCCATTTTACAGAAAAGGAAACTGAGGCTCAGAGAGGCAAGGTACGGTGAAATAACTGCAGCTAAGCAGTTAGTAAATGTCAGAATGAGGATTTGAGACGAAATTCCTTGATACAAAGTCCTGAACTACCTTTTTAAAAAAATGTATCACATTGTTTCTTTACTTTGGCAAAATTCAATCTCTCTTCTATTTATTACTCTTCTGCCTTACTGTCAAAATTCCTCTTCCCCCCCCCCAAATGGCTCAGGAAAGGTTATCTGGAAGCTTTCCATCCCAATAATCAGTCACTATATCCAAACCCCTCACCCCTAGCAAGGTTCACTTTACCTGAAAAGTTTCCATCAGGATCACAGCCGCCAACATCACAGGGACCATTTCAAGGTAGTTTGTCTTCATTTTTTACTTCTGAATAAAGGGAAGTAAATTCGATTTAGTAGTGGTTTTTTTTTTAAGGGAATATTACAAGGTTGGGAGCAGGAGATGGAACATTTTTATTTGTGATGGGAATAAAAATCTGAGCAATGGGTTAGTAAATACATCTAGGAGATGGGGAAATGGATTTTGTGAGCTGTGGTGGCTCTATAGTCATGAACTTTTAAAAATAAATAAAAGTGTTTGGGAAATTGCACTTCCTTAGCTTTTTATAAGAGGGCTATGAGAGGGGAAGAAAAATGCCAGGTATGGAATGGTGAACTTTGGATCAGTGTCCCTTAGACATGTGAAAGGTTTCTGGTGAATAGTCTAAGGGGGAGTGAAGAAATAGCCAAACAATTAACGTGCTGTTTAAATGCTTATCTCATTTCCCCTTCATTCAAAATGATTACAAACATTTAAGAAGGATTTTATAAATTGGTTAATAGCTTTTTTGTTTTCTCAGGGAATATGCCTACCAGACATTCCAGAATGGATGTCCCATAGACACCTCAAATTTCACCCGGCTAAAAGAAAGCCTCTTCCCTTTCACCATTCTTACTAACTTCCCTCTTTCAGTGGAGGACACCTCCATTCTTCCAGGGGCACAGGTTCAGAAGCTCAGTGTCCTTCTCGGCTCCACACGCCCCCCTCAGCCTTCCTTGAGTAAGGAATCCATCAGTCACCGAATCTTGTCCCCTTCCCCCTAAATCATCTCGTATTTATTTCAGCTACACCTATATGTACACGTATCCTCTCCTTGAAGACAGACGATGCTTGGTTTTTGTCTTTTTATTCCCACAGCCGGCACGCTGCCTCACACAGTGGAGAATCATGGAATTTCAGAGCTGTCTATGCCACTCACTGCTCACAGATAAGGAGACTGAAGTTCTATCATTTACCCAAGGCCACACATAGTTAGTAGCAGAACTGAGTCTAGTACCTGGGTCTATTAACACTTGGGTCAGATCTGTCATTGATAAATTAAAACACCAACATGGGTACTAAGGCACATACTTTTGATACCTTGTTTTCTTCCCTCACAAGGGAAGAAAGGATAAGGATTACCTGAGTGTAAATACTGTGGCAATATTCTCTTCCTTTCTCTCTTAGGCAGAATCTAAGAAATTATAATTGTCAATCGAAAACACAACCTGTTGAAATTGGTTCCTTGGGTGTCTACTTCATTTTGTAGTGGGAGGATCGGATGGAAGACCCCCTCCCATGGAGCATGCTTAGTGCTCAGTCTGTGTCCTAGACACTGCTGACAAGACCTCTTCTGCTTCTTCTGGCTGCTCTCTCTATTTCTCCTTTCTCTGATGGAGTTAAAAGGAACTGCAATAACTGACCATGTGCCCATGTGACCCTTAAAAGAACGCCAAGCTGCAGTCAGTCAGGCCCAGAGCCCTGTGGAATGAGACACCTGCAAAAGAAGATAAAGCTTTCTCTCTCCTTCCTTCCCCATTATCAGCTTCTTGCCCAGTAAGAGACTCCACTGAGCAGTGTCCGAGTTCAAGATGCAGTAGAGAAAACAGCATTAAACATACATAGAGAAAAGCATTCACCTGAGGCGGGAAGCAATGCTGAGGAGCAGGGCTTTTGGCTGCAGAAAAGAGAGACTCAACACAGACTTGAGACAGAGCTAACGCTGGCATTTAAGAATGAAACAGCAGAGAAGAAGACACCCCCGGAGCCCAGCAGAGATGCCTCGCCCACACACGTGTAGTAGAGGAGCTTTGTGAGGACTGAACAAGGAGAGAAAGGACACTAAGGCCCAGAAGATCTGGAGCCGTGGCCACACGTGTTCTTCACATGCATGCCTCAGACCACAGTTCAAGCCTACTCTTCTCATGGAGGCTGTATGGAATGACAGAACAAGCCCCAGGATTATAGAGAAAATGTTTTGTAGCTACTATTCTTACCATGCTATCTTCGAATTTGCTTTGAGTTAATTATGTTTACTGGCGTATTATTGAAGGTAAGCATACCTGTGACAGTGACCATCTGGGGACCCAACCCTGCAAGCAGGATTGATAAACTGGGGAACATTCCAGAGGCAGTATTATGTGTAATTATAAGTCTTTGGTGTTAAAAGAAATAGCAGCTATCCTATGCCTTATGTAGTTGGTATTTTTAGTACTTTTCTAGAAGGTGAGGCCCTAGACATGAGTCAAACTTAAGTTTTGTTTAAGGGACGATCCCCAGAATTCCACTCTGAGATGGGAATGTAATGAACCAAAGACAACAAATAAGAATGTGCCCCTTCTCTTTGGAGGCTCCTTCTCCCTACACCTACCCCAGAACTGAACCTGAACCTGGGCTACCTGAGCCTCAAAGCTGCAGCTTCTCAGAGGGAGATGACCTGCTGTGCTCCCCGGACCACATACATTTTACAATACTAATTCAGTTCAACTTTTACTAAGCACCTGCTATATTTAGAACACTGATAAGTTAGAAAGTGCTAAGATTTATTACCTGACCTTGTGTAGCTTACAGAGTATTCTCTGCCTTAAGAGAATTTATGATTCAGTAGGATAACATTTAATGGATACAGGGACAAAAAAGGAGACCTCGTCCAAGCAGTTCACATTCTCTTTGCATTTTATCAACAAAGAACAGCAGGAAAAGAGAGAAAGAGAAATAGAAATTCCACTCTAAACAGTTACAGAAGGTCTACAACGTTTAGGAGGCCACCTGCTTCTATCCCTGGTTCAACCTCTGCCGCTCTGCTAAGTGATAAGGGGAGGGAAGGCACTTAAAATGACTAGAAGTCATAAAGGCTTGATGTAAGAGGTAGCACCTGAGGTGAGCTATGGAAGGGAGCTAAAGTTTCAGGGGACACTTTCCAGGCATGGAGGACTGCTCTGGCAAAGATACTGAAATGGGAGGGGTAACTCTCAATTCAGGTAATAGCTAGGCTAGAATAGAGGCTTTTGAAGGGGATGTAATGAGATAATATTCAGCTATCTAATATATTAGCATTAGTACAATTAAATTATATATATATATTAATATAATATTAGCACAGTGCCTGGTACATTGTTGTTGTTCAGTCATTTCTGACTTTTTGTGACCCCATTTGGGGTTTTATTAACAAAGATACAGGAGTGGTTTACCATTTCCTTCTCCAGCTCATTTTACAGATGAGGAAACTGAGGTCAACAGGGCTAAACGACTTACCCCAGAGTCACACAGTACGTGTCAGAATCAGGCCATAAACCCGCATCATTAAAACAGAATGTGCAAAAGAAAACCTAACATGTTGAATGAGGTATTTGAGAAACAAGCTATGCCATAATAAAGGTTCACAATTTTACAAGCAACGTGAAAAGTAACTTTACAAAGGGGCAGGTAGGTGACGCAGTGGACGGAGTCTGGGCTCAGCCACTTACCAGCTGTGTGACCCTGGGTAACAACACTCTTTAACTTCACCATTCTCTGGGCAACTTTCTAGCAGCACACGGTGAGGAGAAGGCACAGAAGTACAATGGCAGAGGGTCTACACCTTGGAGCTCCTCACGTGAACGAAACCTCGGGTCCATGCCCTATCTTGTTCTGCGTCAGCAACTTAGTCTGCGACCTTGGGTGAGCTTCTGCCAGACCCGTCTGTACTTAGGAGTTAGAACTCTCTAGTTTATCAAACACTATGCTTCTATGTTTGTTCACTTCGGCACGTTTTCTATCTGATCTACTCCTTGACCGGCCTATCTTTTTTTAACCACTACTAAACAGTTTTAATGATTATTGCTTTGTATTATAGTTTTAGATATGGTACTGCTAGGTCCCTATTCTTCAGCCTTTATTTTCAGGTCTCGGATCTTCTCAGACCTGAAATCTAGGTTCAAAGTGCTCTGGACTTCAAATCCTTCTGGAGCACCTCAGGTCAGAATGCAGTTAACTTTCGGTACCCCTGAGGCATACCTGTCTCAGAGCTGTGGGTGCCAGGTCAGAGAACCAGGGGTTTCCAATCTTCTAGGCGATTCTTCATCCAAGCACTCCAGGTTTCCTTCCTCTGGGTGCAAGGCAGACTTCAGATGTCCTGGAGCATTGCTGGTATGAGCACCGATAGGATTTCAGAACTGGCCAGTTCATCCCATTGCCTACAGGATTCTGGCCGTCTTTTTGTGTAGTCTGAGATACGTAATGGTATCTTGATCATTACTCAGTCTGGTTCTCCTGTCTGATCTTTAATGGAATACACATGAGAGACGTGGGCTCCTCTGTGGTTATTCGCACAGCTATTTTAACCATTATTCCTGTTCCTGTTCTTAAGCAGTTTGAATTATTTTTGCTGGCTAGATGAATCTGGCTGGTCCATCTGCTAATGATCAGTGCACTGCCTTATTTATGAACAATGGGGCTACAGCAGGATGGACCAATATTTGAGTATTCGCATAAGGACACAAAAAGATCTAGGGTTCAAGGACAGATTTTCTTCTGGCTGCGGGGCTGAGCCAAATTAAAAAAGAATGATGATACCATTAAAAGGAAAATTCTGTTTGGGCTTTTTCCTTGATTAAAGAAGCAAAACTCAGGAAGAGAAAGTTAAAAAGGAGTTTATTAACACACCAAGGCAGAAGAATGTTGGTGGGCAAGCCACTGGGCTGACCTGGGATTCAAAGTGGGCACTGCTTTTATAGACAGGGGTAAGCATCTTCCACATAAGGGCAAAGGTATTTTGACTGGATTACTCAATGGGTAATGTGAGGAGGTGGGATTAGTGCCCCCTCCGCTACTCCCTAAGTATCTGATTGGTCCACAACTCTAATGAGGAGATGGGGTGAGCATGTATGGCAGCTGCTCCCACTTTCCTCATCAAGAGGAGATGGGATTAGCAAAGGAGAGATATGATTAGCACTTGTGGGGCAGTTTCCTCCTGCAGGACCGGCCTCCCCCGTAGGCTGCTTGCATGTAGTCAAAACATGGGGTCACTTCAGAATGACTCTGCAGTAGTGACTTATTTTATACAATATTTTTGTATGAGAAATAACTTG